TCTCTCAGCGGCGAAGATCATAGAATATTTTGGCTGCCCCTGCAAAACATCTAACCTTATTTCTCGCAAAATTGGCAGTGATATATACTAGTAAAATCAGGGAAACTTTCCGGAAGGGCTGGTAAGACCAAAAAAGAATTTTTCTCCCTGATATACTTGGAATTCTTCTTGGTTGAACACTTGCCTCATAACGAAATCCCCTTAATTAACTGCTTACCATGTAAATACTGTTATATAATGCAGCTACCGTCTACATGGACTTTTATATAATTACAATATATTATACATTAAAAGCGTAACAACTTCTACACTCTGTGTTTTGAAATCACAGACTACATACACTCGTTGCCACCCCTTCATCCGGCCAGTAAGAACGTTCAGCATCTAATATTCAAATTGTGCTTGCAAAAACCAATTAGTGTTTTTTGACTCTCTTGATTACAAAATACCGTTAATTTTTCTTTCCATAAAATATGGAGAAAAATTATTGTTTTTCTTGACTCCTAAATCGGAAGTGTTCCAAAAGCAAATCTCAAATTTTCTTTGCATTTTGAACACTTACTTTGCTTAGTGGTCACAGGCCAATTCTTGAAAATTCTGCCTACGCGTTTCGTCGAATATCCCGGGGGCTGCCGGGATATTCAACGAAATTTGCAAAACCAGAGAGAACGAGAAGTTCGGAGAGCGGTCAGAGAGAAAACTGTGTTTCGCTGAAAATTTGTATATATGCAAAAACTGCCAAACCATCCCACCCAGGTTCTGTTACAGTGATGGACCTGATCCAATGGCAAAAAACGTCATATTTTGCATTCGGGAAGTATCAAAAAATGAAGGAAAATGCACTTGGACAGGGAGATATTTTGCTACATTTTTTGACACTTCTCGGATGCAAAACGGTACGTTTTTTGCCACTGGATCTGGTTCGTCTCTGTATGCAAAACAACCTTGATTTGTCCCAAGTCCCATGAAATTTTTTAGGCGCTTTTGATTACAAAATACTGTCAAAGATCCCAAAAACATGAACCTACCTTGTCCATGTTCCGAAAGAAACGAAGGCCACCGTTCTGCCGGCTTTATCCGACTTATTCATAGGTGTTTGTTCCTCTGATTTATGGAAAATGTCTTTTTTCGAAAGACTGCGTTCAAAACGGCCTAATGAAAAGGAGCCGGGATCTCGTAATAGGTGCTATTCAGTAGTATTTAAAGTCACTTTTAGAGGGTCTTAAGGCGACTGCAAAGCGAGTTTTTAATGAGGCCTTATCTCTTATCATATCTCTGTTTACGGTATCTTAAGGGATATCGGAGATACTTCCGGATTGGGCTGGTTTCCTTTGTAACCGTTTTCGTTGCATTTACAAGAACCTTTGGAGAATGTAAACTTTAGTTTTTTGTAATATTGCGGCGTTGATGGGCGGAGAAATGATTTCAGCGTACAAAGCTAGTAGTTAGTGTTATTTTAGGATTGTTTAACGGTTAATACAGGCCTTAAAAGCCAGTAATTTCATGATTTCATGCTTGTAAAATTAGACCATTGAACTTGTTCACGAAATTCATACCGGACTTGGGTCATTACGGTTGTAGTAACCTGAAATTTAACCAGATTCTTTGTTCATTGCGTGGTAGGCGTGCTTGTATTTGACCCTATCCGAATAAAGTTTATTGGACGCTATAAATGTAATCAGGAACTTATAGTCCAGTCATATATAGTCCAGTCAAATCTCTTTTAATTTTCACGTTCTTAGGGGCTATACCCAGGAACGTGCAATGCTCGGTTTGGTGGAAATTCGACGGTCAAATTGGCACTAAGTTTTACTCCAAATGTCAGCCAAGTTCTACACATTAATTCTTGAAGATTTTAGCTAGCGTCTTCAAGCATAAGATCCAAGAATTATTGAACTTGGACTTCACCTTGAACGTTAGAAAAGCATTGACTTTGAACTTTGGTTTTGAATTTTATCGGGCAAAATTTAAGCTAATCTTTTCCGAGACCTATTGCGAGATTTATAACCCGCGTTCTGCAGAAACGAAAAAAAGAAAACAAGGTTTTTACATCAAAAAAATTGTCTTGTTCGAGACGTACATATGTATACTATGGTCGCTGCTCTCCGTCTTATTCAATTATGTGTTTGGCGCTCCCAACACGTACGTTTCATTTCTAACGTGTTCTTCGGGACTAATTCTATAATACTATAAACTATAATACATGCCAAGCACGATATTGGCGGGATATTTTATCGAAAAATGGTCAAAGGACTTTGCTCCCATTTCCTGGTTCAGCAATTACTTACTTTAAAGTGCAACGCTAAGCTTTTGTTTAGGTTTTGCCCCCATCTCAGCCCGGGTCATCCATTCATTCCAGCAATTTTTTAGCTAGCGCTTACTGTCACGATATTCAGCGATGTTTGCCGTTGAGAGAGTACGCTACAGACTGAGAGCGGTCAGAGAATTTTTTGGATATAAATTTACCTTTTTTAAGCGGAGAAAAATTATTTCTTGTTGAGACATAACCTCTTGCGTTGCGGTAAAAATATGTGTAGGAATTTCGACACCTACGGTGGCAAACCTGATCCAGTGGCAAAAGATTTAGCATTTTGCATCCGGGAAGTATCAGAAATGTGGCAAAATATCTCCCTCTCAAAGTGAAAAACTCCGATTTCAAAAGCTGTTTTTGTGAAGGAAAGGGCACGCCCTTCAAAACGGAGTTTTTTTTGGGTTGGAGAGTGAGGCATTTTGCTACAATTTTTGATAGTTCCCGGATGCAAAATGGTAAATTTTTTGCCACTGGATTAGGTCCGTCACTATAAAGTCGCAATTCCAGTAACTTTCTTGTTAGTCAAAAAAAATCGAACTTTCTTATGGACTTGAAAGCGGAAATATAGTTAAGGTCGAGCCGATAACCATACAACTTTTTTATTTCAAACCTACTGCCACTTAGTTTTTAATTTCGTCATCTTAAAATTTCATTTTTTTTTTATTCTATCGTTGTCTTCTTCACACTTTAGGTGCAGAACCTTTTTGTCACCCCAAAAGAAATAAAAGTCCAGGAGGTTCAGCAAAATTAACTGTGTTTGAAATTCTAATTGGCCTCCAGACACTTACCGTGACCATTTTCCAAAGGACTAATTTGAAAGGAAAGATGTAGCGACGGCGTTCCAACGCAAATACGGATTGAATCATACGGCATACCGTATATGCGGAACGTTCCTCGAACTTGATTGACAACAAAATGTAAACTGAAATTGGCAGGAACGGAGAGAAGTGCAAGAGCACGAGGAAGTGAGCGCTGATGGGTGACAAAAAAAACGCCTGTCATCGGTTCGCGCAAAACTTTTAAAGTTCAGTAGGTGCGCGTGAGCTGTTTTTAGAATGCCTGCTAAAATAAGAATAGTCGACGTGCTTGCGAATAGTCGACTTTCATGACGTGTTTTCCAGATGAAAAAAGGAATATTTTACAGGAATCATTGTAACTGCTAAAAGAGAGGTTTATTGTCAGTCTGTCGGGAAAATAATGGGCAGTCTTTCGCTTTTGGTCTTCTTGCTCCTCGATTATAACCCAAACCAGAAGTTCATTCTTCACACAGAATATTCTGGTTGTTTACGGCCACAGACCCCCAATCTTTTAATTGTCTTTTCCAGCAAACATTTGGTGTTTCAAACCGTCCTTTGGGTGCCGTTTCGGTCGTTTTCGGAGATTGAAGGCTGACGTGAGAAAATGGGTGTATTTCGGTTTAGGATATTGGATTTTTAGGGATTTTTTTAAACTTTTAGCCGTTTTCGAATGTTTTATAGGATAAAAAATAATTTTTTGAAGTTGGAGATGGAAAAAATTGAATATTCAAAAAAAATTTATCGAATTTCTGCAAGTTTATGGATTTTTTACAGTGGCAAAATATTTTTTTTTTTTTGAATAACCAGAAGAAAATTTGGTGACAGAATGATGATAAAAAAAATATTTCAAACTATGCAATTTTTTAAACTACGCATTTTTTGGCGCGACAACTTCTTGGGTTAGCGACAGGTACTTGCAAAGGCTATGCCAAGTCTCCGCCGAGCCTTCGCCGAGAGTCCGCCGACCATCAAAAGGCTTTGCTAGGCCTCGCAAAGCACCTCGTACAGTAGTATATTTAGTCTTTTTTTTGAGTCTTCGCCTGTCATATCACCCGTATCGAATCGATTTTTTTGTTGACCCAAACTGTGGTCGACCCGAAAAGCCGGGAAATTTTTAATGTCATCATTATTCCCACTTGAACCGCAGACACAAATACACAAATTCCAGAAACTCATCTCCCATGGGTCCTTAATCCCGTCTAGCTCATCGTGAGTAGCCTTCTGTTATTTAGCTCATTCCCCGCCCTTCCCTTTGTGCCAATTAAAATTTGTAACTTTTTCCGTTCCGGCGTTCGCAAAACAAACTAATTGGAGGCGGAAACTTAACGGAAATTGAACCCAGTTTTTAATGCTTATTTTGGGAATTTGAAATTTTGAGGATGGTGTACCATTCGGTCCGCCATTAGTAATTTTTTAAATAATTTATTAAAATTTTAGCTTTAATTTTAAAAAAAATTTGTGTTTTCCGAAAAATAAAGTTTGCAAAAGAAAGTGCATAGACTTTTTGTCGACCCTCACAGTGCAAAAAGTCTACCGAAAAAGGTATTATAATTGAACCTACAAAAAATTGAACAATAATTATAAATATCGGATTTCCAGGAATCCCCGCATCGTTTTCATATCCGCCTTACAATCTTGCATTAAAAAACGACTGGCTCACGCAATAATCTCACGTTCTATGACGTCCAGCTTTAATTTTTACTGGGATTGCTCGAGGATAAAATTTCCTAGCTTTAAAAAATGAAATTTTCCATTTTTTTTTTATTTTTTATACATAATTTTAAACTGCCGTTTTGCGAGATTTTTAAAAAATTTTAAAAAAATTATTAAAAATTCGTTTTTCAGACTCAATCTTATGCTCACCCCACTCAGCTCAAGTCTCTTTTAGCGCCATGGAGCTGAATGGGAGCGCCGAAACGGTGGTCGATTTGGCTCCGCAGGATGATTGCCAACCAAATTTGCAGCTGTTTTTGGTAGGTTTAAATTTTTTGGTGTCTGAAAAAATACTTTTTTTCCTTCAAACTTTTCACGTATCTCGCGCAAAAATTTCAAAAAAAGTTTATGGTTTTCGAAGCCGGGGAAAAAATCTTTTATGTATACGAATTTTGCGCCAATAAATTATAACGTAGATTTCCACATTTTGATTTCTGATGACATTTTTTCCTCAAGCTCGGCAAAAAAATCGCAATTTTCGGTCCGAGTATTGCTCTGTTTTGTTAAAATTTTTAGCCCTAATTTTGCTCGCGCTCTGCAGATACGACCGAGGTTTTTAGCTCGAAAGTTGGCAACTTTTTCCAAATTCTAGCCTAAAATATTCCTTCTAGTCCAAGCTGGACCGGATCCACCTTTGGCGTGATTGAAAAATAAATGTACATATGGCCAAAAAAAGAATTCTTATCTCTGGCCCTTTCCTCAAACCGCAAAGATTGCTGAATATCTCACGTCCAATCCATTGATTTCTCAACCCTTCTCCCTCAATTTCAGCCCTTCAAATTCATTTTCGTTGGCCTGATCGGCGCCACCGTTGCCGTTTGCTCAATCATGCACAACCTCCTCCTCATCCACACCTTCCAAACCTCATCCACGCTGCGCAAGCGGCGTCTCACATATCTGAAGAGCGTGTGTTTGTGTGACATTCTCACGTCGGCCTCGTATCTCTGGATCATGAGTGGGCAAATCTACGCGGAATACTTTGAATGGGAGTGGCTGTTCCGCGCGTGGCATCATGTGTTGAACTTCACTTTTACAATTTCGAATGTGAATATTTGCACGGGCTCGTTTTTGCTGGTGTCCGCAACTTTGGAGAGGTATCTGCAGAGTGTGCCGAGGGCGAGGTGAGGAGTTATATTGGTTTTCGGAGGAAAAATAAAAAAAATTTTTTTTTTTTGATTTTTTTTTAATTTTCAAATTCAATTTTTTTGTCCCTTACGTCTAATATCATCTCCTGAAGAAGGCAAAAATAATACTTCGACTCCATTTCAGATGCGCAAAAATGGCCAAAGTGATGGCTAAAAATCGATCTTGCGGTGTGGCAATGGCACTGCTATTAGCGGTCATCTTCAGAGGCAGTATTTTCTTCGAGATTGAGGTTAGTTCTCTTCCTTTTTTATTAACTTTTTAAAAAAAAATAGCTCAATTTTCTTCGCATACGAACCTTTAATGTCTAAACCAATATAAATTTGCCCTAATATCCTCTCCGTTTCCAGATCTATTACCGCAATTGCCCTGGCCTCGCCGCGATGGGAGTAAAACTCAGCGACTTGGCGCTGGAGCCCGGCTACAATACAATCTGGCGGTTTTGGATCCGAAGATTGGTCACAATCTTCTTGCCCTTCTTCGTTATGGCTTGGTGTAATACGATGATTGTGTTGAGCACGCACAAAAACGAACGAGGCCATTTTTTGAGGGCTTTGGTCCTTTTCGGCGCGGATGGAAAACCGTGAGTTTGACATTCAAAAAATCTTTTGAAGGACTGTGCACGCTATTCTATTTTTTGTTAAATTAAACTTACAATTGCAAGAAAAGAAGTCTTTGACGTGGGGCAAGATTTTTTGATCAAAACTCGATAACCTAGAAGCTTCTTTTGCTATTTTGGGGTTATAAATTTTAGGATCAGTTCTTATACTACAGGTTGGGCAGATAACATTTTACAACACAATCAAATTAAAAATAAAAACTTTTTGGGCGAAAACCGTTTGTCGTCTGACCGACTCTCCTCATTTCGCATGGTCTCTCTCAAAAATAAATCATTGATTATCAAGGTCGCCTCTGAAAAAAGCGGGCAGAGATTTTCAAAAATTAATATTTCGTTATATATATGTAGTTCAGAACATGTATGCAAAATTCTAAGCAAATCTGAGAGCCTATCTTCAAGACTTTTTCCTACTACAGTGGCGGACCTGATTCAGTGACAAAAAACGTGCCATTTTGCATCCGGGGAATATAAAAAAATGTAGCAAAATACTTCCCTCTTCAAGTGAAAAATCTCCAATTTGAAAGGTCCCTCACAAAAAGAGCGGGCGCGCTTTTCAAATCGAAGTTTTTTCACTTGGAGAGGGAGATATTTTGCTACATTTTTTGATACTTCCCGGATGCAAAAATACTACGTTTTCTGTCACTGGATCGGTCCTTCACTGTATAAAGCGATACCTAAAAATCGTGCACTATTTCTTTTTCATACAAATTGTTCATCAAGACTTTTTTCAGTGAAACACCAAACGCCCCTCGAAGTCGGGTTCGGGCCGCAACGCGAATGTTGATCGCGGCCGTAACCCTCTATTTGTGCGCCAACTTTCTCGACGTCTTCATCGCCACCTGGGAGTACATTGACTCCGCCTCGTTGCAGCGTCTGGACGGGTTCTACACAATCGCCACGGACGTCTCCTCACTGCTGTCGGTGGTGGCGGCGGCGGCGCGCCTGCCCGTCTACATGATGACGGACCGCTTCATTCGGGAGGAGATCCAAGAAAGAGTAAGGGGTTTATGGCCATTGGTACGAAAATTGGACTACAGGTCTGGCCGCCACGCACCGATCTCGAAGCCGGCAAGGACATGAACTGGTTCTCGCGCCAAACGCTGAGATGGTTGGACCATGTGCGGCGGTGGAGCGACCAGGACAAGCAGCAGATTGTCATCGTTTAGGGGACTTTCGGGATTTCAAAAAGTCTTTGGAATCGGGGAAATTGAGGGAATATACTGGTATTACAAGGAAAGGGACTTTGCAAAAAATTTTTCAAAATTTGTTTTTGATTTTTTGATTGAAAAATGAATGTTTTGCATCTATTTCAAACACATTTATGCTCTGAAATTCTCCAGTCTCCGATTTTTGTAAAGTCCCTCCGATACATAACGAGTACTGCATATGTATAATATGTGTTGTTCATTATCATAATATACCGGTAATCATGGTAAAATCCGAACGTGGTATTCGAATTTTTTTTTCTTTTTTGTTATGTTGTATTGTAAAGTTGTAAACTTGCTTCTCCTACTATTAAACGATCTCACATTACTCGTAGTCATTGTTGATGTTTATGGTGTAAAACTGTGATAACTTACCCGTTTTAACATTGATTTTTTCACCATAGTTTGAAAGTGTCTGCACCTGACTAACAGTAAATACGGACGCTAACAGCAAGTGATGTAGTCGCCGTAGTTGGCGTCGCGACTTTTGCCGGCAACCACTTTGCTTGCAGTCGACAGTTACCGATATAGTAAGAATTACGATTTCTCCACCATGAAAGAAATTTTGCATTGTCATCTCTCTATAAGCACACGAAGCTATTGAATTCTTCTCTCGCTTTCAAAGTTATAGGAGGTTGTTTTCAAAAAAATGCATTTTGACCCTTTCAAAATGCTCGGTTAACCTCATAGTAACAATTCAAGCCACTTGTACACCTGGTAACTTAATGCGCAACATCTAACTGCCAAATCCATCTCTAGAATTTCCTGTTGCAAGCAAATGGTGGTTGATTTCCAAACATGCCCGCAGAATCTCCGTGGTTCTTCTATTAGCATTTTCACAAAGTGCAAATGTACGCCCGCGGTCCTGTTTCAAGTGAAAAGTAGAAAACATGTGTGAATAAGTCTGCGTTAATGTTATGGGGTTTAGCATCGAATTGATGTAAAAAAATGCATTCTATGTACAAACGCGTTGGTGTTCTGGAAAAAGTAAAACTACAGTACATAATAATATTACTTGGCTAAATGCACTAGATGACAAGTTGTTCGTAATTTCAAGTAAAACTCTGTGTTCTGTAAAAAATTTCATTTACTATCACAGCTTACACTAAGATCAAATACTAACCCCAGTCCTACATGATGATGAACCTCCACGTTTGATCCGAGCCGTCTGCGTGGAACGAAAGCGAAAAATAAAGAGTGTGTCGCGGATTTGCATTCGATATAATACGATCCCAGGAGGAAAACGATTATGGAAGTTGATAAAAAAAAAAGTTTTGGGAACTCTACTCTTTGATGTTGTTTTGTGCATTTCAATAAAATAAATACTTTTTATTTTTACTGTGTGAGTCATTTTTTGGGGCTTTGGGGAAATGGAATAGAGCCTGGCCTGGGGAAACATAGGGTGAAACAAGCAAGGCGAAGGTAATATTTCTGGTTCTTTTGGTATCTTTGACTTTTTCGAAGATGATGCCAAGGTGCCTAACTTTGTGAAAAGATAATATGTAGTGAAATAACCTAACCGCACTAAAAAAATGTTAATTTTTTTACAAAAAAATGTTGCCCTCTACAACAAAAATAGTGCTGAAACTTTTCGTACATAACAATGAACCCGCTAAAATACCGAATTTTTGGCAACTTCCGAACTAAAAACCTCGGTTGTTTCGGCAGAGGGAAAACTTGGCATCAAGTGTGTAAAAAACCGATTACCCTATTTTGAAAAAAGATTCTTCATCTTGAAAAATTTTTCTACAAATCATTGTCCTTTTTGTAATCCATAGTCATCATTTTTTCTCATTCTTCCAAAAAACAACAACAACCCTATAAAACAATGCCATTTTAGCCCTGAAATTTGCAAAACATTCGAAAACGTTCTTAATCCTACTGTAATTTCCTCATAAACTCTTTTTTTGCACTCGAAACAACCTTTTTTCCGCCGCATCTCAAGATTTTCGAGGAATTTAAGGCGATTCCGTCCAATTAAGTTCCGAATGGGCAACCTTCAAGGTCTCGGTTGCATCGCCTTCCTCAAAAAAATATTTAGAAAAAAAATAATCTACCCCTCCCTCCATTCGATCCGGATGGCTAATCGTGGATTTCCCAGCTTTTTGCGCCTAAAGATCCCACTTTTTGTGGGGCGGATTAGAGGCGGAAGATGCGCCAGTACAAGACGCCTGAATACATTACAGATTTGGAGGGATTAGGCGATATGACGGAGATAGGCGCGGGTTGGGGTTTGTATTGTTTCGTGTTTTGGGTGTTTTTTATTTCTAGGCGTTTTTTATGGTAATTTACTAACCAGGGGTTGGTCAAAAAATTTGATGACTTTACAGGGAAAGTGTGAAAAGTTTGACGGTCAGATTTTGATAGGGCTTGACTCAAATTTTTATTCAGCTTTTCTACCGGCTTTAAAATCAAGTTTAGCACTTTGGCTAGCCAATCCAAGTTTTTGCCCGGAAATTTAAAAAATTTGGTTTCCATTCTGATTCTTTGACACCCTTTCCAACTTACTACTAGCTTTTTTTGAACTTCAAAGCAAGTCTGACACCTTGGCAAGCCGATCTATTCGTTTGGCTAGCCATTTAAAAAGTTCTTAGTTTGCGGTTTGCAGAAAGAACCGAGATTTTCAGGCCTAAAGTTGGCAAAAATTCAACAATTTTTTACGAATTTCTGCGCACGAAAAGTACCCTCTTTATTTCTGCAGACAAAATATTACCAAAAACGTTTTCCCTTTGGCCACTCTCCGCTTTCCACGTCCTCTCTTTGTGCCAAACATTGTAAAACATTTCGGCCACCTCACAAAAATGGAACAGAATTTTCAGAAGCTGATTTGTGACCTATTCACAATGCATATGACAAATTTAGGACAAACCTGAGCGTAGCGCGTACCACTGTTCCCTTGCGGACAACAAATACCTATATTTATCTCCATTTTTTCAGGCCATGACCCCCTACTTTGTCTTTCTCCTCCTCCTATTTCAACCCATACCTCTGTTTTGTCAGACTCAAGGAGGTGGGTCGTATGGCGTTGCCCAACCCTACGGATCTCCCACCATTTTCTCCAATCTACCTCCTCAATATCAGCAGTACGCTCAGACTTATCAGCAGTATCAGCATTTATTGCCGGAAGCGCAAAGACGACAATACGAGTCGTATTTCCAGCAGCTGAGCGCTCAGTACAATGCTGGGGGTGCTGGGGCGACTTATCAGCCGGTTGGAGGTGCTGGAGCAAGTTTCCAGCCAGCTGTAGGTGCTGGAGCGAATTTTCAGCCAGCCAGCACCGCAGGAATTAACTATCAGCAAAGTGGGGGTGCTGGCATCAATTATCAGCCTCAAGGTTATGTCCAGCCCGTCCAGACTTCCTATTCTGGGTTTAACCAGCCAGTCCAGCCTCCCTACTCAAGACTGATTGGATACCCAACTGCCCCGGGGGTTTTTACACCCTCTCCTTTGCCCTACAACACAAATCAGGTCCCATACCCTGCACAGAAGGTTCAAGTTCTCACTGAAGAAGAATATAAATCTCAACGAGATCGCGGCGACAAGGACGCCCTTCCAGATTACAAATCATCCTTTCAACAGGATCCACGGCCAGCCAGAGTGATCCCGATTCCAATTCAAACAGTAGCCAGTGGATATCCGACCGGTCCGATTCAATATTCAACAAATCCGGGGTATCAACAAACCCAGCTGACTTATCAACAGTATCCAGCGCAAATTCAGCCTCAACTCCAGTACAATCGAGATTGTTACCCGGCCTATAGTAGGAACAGCAATAGTTACTTTTATCCAGCAAGGGGCGGATTCGGCCCTCCGCCACCGCTTCAGTCAAATGGAGTTATTTTGCCAAGTCAGCCGGTCCTAGGAACCGTTCAGGGATACAGTAGTCAACCGTATGTCCAGAACCCGCCAGTAGTAAATGTTGCGGCAGAGACCAAAAGCGCTGAAGTGGATGATGCAAAGATCTTCCCAAGACCCACAACGAAGAGTGGCTTTTCGAATATTGAAGACGAATTTGATCATTTCAAGTGGGTTTTTTGAGGAAATTTAGGATATTTGGGACGTATTGTTTCTCACCTAGATATCAGGTAAGACTTAAAATTTCAGAAAAATAGACACGGACCAATATCCGACTGGCCCGCCAGTTTATTCGACCACAACTCTGGCGCCTAAGACTACAAGACATCGTGGAAATAAAGTCTCTACGACCAGTACTCCGACTAGTACCACCGAAACCACTGTCCATACTGAAGCTGTAACGTCGGAGGATGAGCTGGTGGAAGCTACTTCTACAGGCGATATTCCGTAAGATTTTCAAGCCAAATTTTTATACCCAAGAATTTGCATATAAGCATGTTTAAAATACGGTAAAAGAACTGCTCTTTAAAGCTCTAAAATTTTTCGTTATAGACAGGTTTTGTTGTCAACCAAAAGCTTGATAAAAAACCCCTGTATCCAACCTTTTAAATTTCAGTCTGCGCTCCGCCGAAATCAAAGAAGAGCATTGGAAACCAGCCGCCCTCAACGCTGTTCCCACCAGCAATGTCAAATTCCCACTGCCCAAGAGTTTACACGACTATCAAGAAGGTAATTCCAGTCCACTTTCCCGACCAAAACGGCAAATTTCCACCAGCACGCCTCAATATTCGTTGCATTACGCTTTGATCACGTCGCCGCCGCGATATGCACGTCAGCTCTATGGAAGATACCATCCATTGTATGGGAATTCGTATCAACAGATCCCGGAGCCGCCGATAGATCCGATGATTACAGGTAGATACAATGACGCTTTAAAATCACTGTGTAAATGTTCGCAGACCCACAACTGCTCAGCACCATTTCACTTGTTGTTTTGCAAGCACTTCAGGGCCTCATGGCGTCGGGATTTCGCAACGGTTTGGGTGGCAACGGCTATAATAACAATGGATTTAACGGTTATGGCACTTTGAATGGTCCACAAGGCTATGGGATGCCAATGCAGCCACTGGGAGCCGGAGTTGGAATGGGATTTGGCCCATTGAATCAATGGGGTAGCTTGTCGAGTTGTGTAGTTTTAGAAGGGTAGTGCTCGCTGTGCGATCTTCATATTTGCTTGAAGTTTTGATTGAAAGCAGTACCAAGGCCTCTTATTTAGTGTTTAAAAAGTATAGATTCTTTTTTGCAGAGACTACCGGGATATAGAGGATTAACTTTTTTATGCCATAACGCTCAAGAAGTGTTCAATTTCACGTCAACTTTCAACTTACAGAGCTCCGTTGTTCCTGCATAACGCGAGCTAGGAATCTCACAGATTTCTTTGAAAGAATTAACTTAAATTTTCTCAAAGTTTTAAAGCAATCTGAGCGTCGCACTTTGCGCACTTCCTCTGTCAAGTATGTGTAAAACCCCTCGATCTTTGTCCTTGTTGAATGTGTGTTGTTTTTGCCGCACTTACAGCCTCATTTTTAGCCTTTAATTTCATCTTTTTCCATAGTTTAATACTGTCGTTTCCAGGCTACGGTGTGAACGCTGGAGTTTATGCCGGAATAAATGGAAACCAAGCGTCCTACGGCAATGTCCCAGGTTTCTTCCCCGAGCCGAATCGGCCTCCCTCTCCATTGGCCGGACGGCCTTATGGCCCAACGAATACGAACGTCGGCGGATCCTACGGTGGCCTCTCTCCGTGGCCATTTATGCCGCCTTCGGCGATAAACACAGGGTATGGAGGGTTGTGGAAATAATCCAGTTTTAATACACCTTTCTTTAATTTATTGTATTAATAAATATTTATAAAAGTCATTTTCCACGAGCCTACGGCAAATTCTATTTTCAGCGCCAATACAACCACCACACAGCCAACAAATTTCACGGTGAATAAGGAGCATCACGGGACGGTGAGGCAAATCCCAATCAAATCTCTTGTAAATAAGCCGGAAAACGATGACAAACAACATGATGATGTATTGTTACGGATTGAGGACCAATATAAACAGAAATAAATGTACAAATTTTGTAAAAATTAATAAATCGATGCGACATAAGCTTTCGTTGTACGAATTTTTTCATTTTTTAAAAAAGAGCCTTCAAAAAAATTGAAATCCAAATTTGAAAGTTTCAGAAAAAAGTTTATTCGAGTCAAAAATAAGTGGTTCATCACTGCAAAAAAATAAAATAAAACTTTTCAAGATACCGTATGAACCTACACAACATCCACAACAGCTCGATTTCTTCTTCTCTCTGGGCGGGGCTTGGGAATAAGTGGGCGGAGCTTGGGAATAAACGGGCGGGGCTTGCTGGTATTGGACTTGCATTGGCTGCTGGGCGGCTTGAACTGGCGAGTAAGTCTGAGACTGTTCTGAGGTTTTGATCTTGTACTTGCCTTCTGAAAACGAAAAAAAATGAAAAAAATAATTTTTTAAGAAGATTTTGGGAAATTTTCTCCAATTCCCCCCAAAAAATCCTAAAATCTCCCCGACATACGTTTAATTTCCTCCTCCGAGACCTCTCTCATCCCTCCCGGAGCGTCCTTATCCTTGACCATGAACTTGGTGGGCGGTGGAGCTTGTTGAATAACTCTTGGCGGCGCCTGTTGTTGTTGCACAATCACCGGTGGTTGCTGCTGCTGCTGAACATAGACCGGCGGCGGTGCGCCAGCCACAACCACTGGCGGAACGTAGCAGGGAGAATAGACGGGGCCGCAGCAGTCGTACCCATAGCCATAGCCGCCGCAGCCATAGTCCCAGCAAGGGTCGTAGCAGGCGTCGTAACAGAAGCCAGTGGATTCACGCGAAGCCGTCGACTTCACGCGAGGATGGACGCTCTTCATGCTGTTCTGGGTGCCATCTACAGTCGAGGATTGGGTGGAAGAGAGTTCGTGGATCGTTGGTAAGGCTGAAGGCAAATTTCAAATAGTAATAGTCTAAAGTAATATTGCAAAATTTACCCCAGATACAGTCTATCGATTTCATTCAAACTTTGCACAAACAATCTAATTAGATCATTGATAAATCACTGAAAATTTGGTCGTGCCCTATAGAAGCCAAGCCGAGATATTCAGCAATCTTCTTTACGAGAGATTACATAAAATGAAGAGACGGCTAGACAAAAAAAATAAATTTTTCCAGGCCAAAATTTCAATCAAAATTCCAATCATTTCTCTTGTTCCAGATCCGAAAAAAAAATCAAGAAAAAAATTTTATTTTCAAACCCAAAAAAATATTATCCTTGACACCTGATCATCATGGATAATATCCCACTCAACGCACCTTGAATTCTCACAGTTTTCTTCGGCTTTCCCTCCAGTTTTGTTGGACTCTCCTTCAGTTCGCTGATCCATGCCTCGGGGAATTCGTTGAAGCCGGGTTTCGCTTCGGTTAAAACTTTGGTGTCCGATGGTTGAGCCTCCGGAGCCGAAGTTCCATTGCCCATCGGGTCTAGTAGAAGGCAAACTGACTGTTCGCAAAGTCTGCTAGTTGAAAATGAATTTGTAAGGGTCATAGGAATGAAAATCAACCGAAATTTTTTGAAAAGAAAATTTGAATTTTTCAAGTTCAAGCCGCGAGGTGCAATTCAAAATTTTGATGATTTTCCCCGAATTCCAGATTTATTCAAGTTTACATCGTACATGTTATGATTGATAGAAAATTTACTGGCATTTGGAATCATCCTGATTTTTGTCATCGACCGGCTCACTAAAAAAAGCAACTTTTTTATAAGAAAAGTTATACCAGCTGTCATGAACAATATAAAAAACTCGTTTTCTATTTTTAAACAGCCATTCAGTTAATTTAGTATCTCTAAAAAGTCAATCTATCCGTTCTACATCATATACAGCCCCATTAACATCAACTTACCTAACAGCAACAGCAGCAACAACCGGGTTGTGAATAGACGACAGGCCCCCCACAACAAGGCCCGGCGACAACCACTGGCCCACAACACGGGTCATAGCAGCCTCCACAACCACCACAACCGCCTCCATAGCCTCCGTAGCATCCCTCCACCACCAATCCCGAGGATTGCCGGCTCTCTTCGCCCGAGGCCATTCGAAGATCTCCGTTGGTCAGGCAGCACGAAGAACTCCCAATTTCTCGTTCATTTTCGAATCGACCAGTCGGGTGATCGGAAGGAAAGTTAGGAGAAGTTGGCTGACAGATCACAGCGGCATTTTTCGTTGTGGTATCTGGGGCATCAGTGGCCGGTGACGACGAGGAAAACCAATTTCCCATTCTTCCTCGGTTATTTGCAAAAAACCCAGGAATTTCGATGAAGGCAGAGTCAAGTGGCTAGAAAATGGGCCAAGAACTGACCGGAAGGTGAAGAAAATTTAGAAATAATGATTTTTTTACCCTTTGAAGTGTAAATTTTTTTCTATGATATAAAAAATGATGATTTTTTTTGCAAAACTGCTAACTTTGCTCAGTTGATGTGCTGCGTAGTCAAGTAATAGGCGCAGTAATACTTCGGCATGTTTGGGTCAAGTCTCTCCCTCAAACAGAAGTATTGTGTCAAGTCTTCCTCCGAACTACTTTTGCCCACGCCCCTCGAAATTAAAAGCCGCTACACGTAATATTAGCGGTTTATTACGAAAGAAAATCTTGTCAACAACAAAAGAACCAGCAAGTGGAGCGCAATTAACGAAAAGTCAAAACAACATAACACAAAACAATATATACATCATGACACAAAATAATATCACCCAACTTATTAAGGCACCTCTCAAAGATGACACAAAAAGTCTTCGGCGCCCGTGATATCCGTGAGACGGGGGCGTTTGGCAAAGTCTTCGTGAGCGGTTCGATGGATATCATACAAAATTCGGCTGTAAAACTCGTCTTGATCGATTTTTCGATACTCCTCGAAGGTCCATTTCCATTCTTGCGATCGCCCGTTCACGTCGAAGAGGAGCCAATCAAAGTCCAGGGATCCCTTGCGGATGTGTAATTCAAGGAAAGTAGTGGAACGCTAAGAATTATATACAGTGGCGGACCTGTGCCAGTGGCAAAAAACGTACCATTTTGCATCCGGGAAGTAATAAAAATGTGGCAAAATACCTCCCTCTTCAAGTGAAAAAACTCCGATTTCCAAAGGGCGCCCGCTCTTTTTTTGAGGATGCCCTTCAAATCGGAGATTTTTCACTTGGAAAGGGAGGTATTTTGCTGCATTTTTTGATACTTCCCGGATGCAAAATGGTACGTTTTTTGCCACTGGATCAGGTCCGTCAATGTATATCCTACAATGTTGTGAAAATTTTTTTCCAACTTTTTTTCAAAATTTCAACCAATTAAAAATTTGTTGCCTCCTGGCCCGCAAATCAGGTACTAGACATGAAAGCAAAAAAATAGTTCATAAAACTTTCATAAATTTATTTTATAGATCAAAGAAATTTGTAAAAAATTTTCACAATCATTTCCAATGCTCTGAAACTCTTGACAAGAAAAATTTCGGGGTTTACAAACTGTTTTTTTACAAATTTACGACCCAAAGTACCTACTATAACATAATCTTCCTCCCAAATTCCCCAAAAACAACTAAAACTTCCTCTTTCAGACTCTAAAATGTTCATTCTAACTCTTATCTAACAAATCGCGTAGCAATTACACAATTTATGACCCAAAAAAAATGAATTCTCACCTTCTCCATGGACGCATGAAGATCCGCCGAGATCACATTGATCCTGGCCATAATTTCGATGTCGAACTGCTTCACCAGACTAATTGCCTCAGTCTCGATGAAGAACTGAAGCCAAAAAATGGATCCACACAAGTAGTAATAAGTTTCTGCGTTCGCTCGGTAATCCTGCAAGTATAACATAGAAAAAAAAGCCAATTTTTCATATTTAAAAAAGGTTTTTTTCGGCAAAAACATAGCGAAAACGAGAGATGGCGAATAGAAAAGCATACTGCGGTAATTACTTACATAGTCGACATCCAGAACTTGCTCCGCAAACGACCGGAATCTGACCTCCAACCCAGTGATTCCGAGGAATTCCAGAGTGTCCAAGTCCATTCTGTCCTTATTAATGATTGGCACAAAGGTGAAAAGCTCACATTCATCCACCACATCCAATGTCAGCCGCCGAATCGAAGGCATATCAACGTGTTGGATCGGAAAACTTCGTCGCAATGGGTGTCGGATGGATAAAGTGCCCGCTAATGGAAGACAAAAGGCTCCGCCGCCTGAAAAACAGTAACATCACAGTCCAAAATGTTCAACACTTCTTTGGTGATTATCTTTAGACCGTAACTTACACCACTTTTTCAATATGACAACTCTTTTCGGAGCTCCGGCGATATGCTTCTTTTGGTCCATAAGCTCGTTGTACCCGCGATACTGACGACAACGCAGCATGATGTGGTCAAGGGCTTCCGTCTCCATCATATGCTTGATGATTTGCTCATCTAAAAGCCGAAGAAAAAATTTATTATACCAGACATCAAGTATAATATACTTGATATTCAGCATAATGAAAAGAAGCTACCCTTACCTAAATCGGTCAAACACGCCTTTTTGATTGGAACTTGCAGTGAGAGTGCAAAAGACAACGACAGACTTCCGTAAAACACAAAGGATAATTGGCCATAAAACAGGACTGCTGCACGCCCAAATCCTCGTCCCATCCAGCGAATCTGCCCGATATTTTGTCGACGAAGTGAGGTAGACGTCAGTAGGTTGCAATCTTGAAAATGAGACAATGCTGAAATCAACCAATCAGCCAAATTAAAACATTTTGATGTTATACATTACGGCAGTTCGGAGAAAAGTGTAAGATAACCACAAAAGCAAAAAAACCTACGTGACATGGCCCGCAGATACTCTCCGTCCCTCAAGTTATTCCTCAAATGGTTCACATAGCCAAGACTCTGTAAATTGCGCAAATATATTATCATCCTTACGATTGATACCTAAAACAAGAAAAAATAACAGCTATACTTACCAAGAGCTTATTTACGACCTCGAAATCGATTGTCCTGTCAAGAAAAGAGTATCCATCCAAGTCGACGATCACCGTATCGTAATATTTCGAGCGACATAACAGCAGATACTGCAACGTGAACTCTCGCTGTCCAATGTTGAACAACCGTGGATGTTTCTTGCGTTTCCAGTTCATTGTGAGCCAGTGAAATGAGGGAAAAAGGTATGGAAATCGACGAGGACCTCAGATTCATCGACAATAATCGATTTATCGACCAATCCAGCAAAACAAAGTCGTGGGAGAAAAACTTGACCCAAAAAGAGGGATTCAAGTGGAAAAGTTGGCACATACAGTAATCGGATGTTGAAAGATTGATCACCGAACGTCCACAGAAACTAACAATTCTCGATTTACCAACTTCTACCGTTTTTTGCACCTCCAAATCAGTTTATTTTTAAATTTCGTCTCAACGTGCCTACTACAACATAAAAAATGCAAAATTTCAAATCCACAGACGACCAAAGCTGTTGACAATTTCCAAACATACCTTACACCTCTCTATTAACCCGTTTGCAATACCATCAACAAGTTTATTAATAACTACTCGCCTTATCTATAATAAACAACGGATAACAAATCTTTATCGTCCACTTAGTGGCGTCGAGCCTTCTTCTTCATGCGATTCATCTTGTTCTTGCGTCGGCGTTTGGTTTTGGGACGACTGTTGCAATTTTCGTCGTTGCCGACTTTGATTTCCTCATCTTCAACTTCTTCGTCCTCCACCTCGGAAGTTGGTGTGGGTGGAGGCAGTTCCGGTTTGTATTCGTTTTCTTTTTCGTCGTCCGAAGCTTTCGAGGCCTGAAAATGCTATATTTAATCGTAAATTTCACAAACATTAGCACAATTGTATGAATTCAGACTTTTTTATATTGTAATAGACGGATGCCAAGGATAATATAAAAAAGGTGCTATTTTGGGAGTTTTAAGAAAAACATCGACAAAACGTCTACTCCAAACAGCAAGAAGAGCATTTTACACGCCAATTTATTTTCTTCAAAAACTATTTTTGTGAGCTGCGCTCGAGTTTGTGAGAATGTTGGTTGCCATTTTATACGAAGAAGGCAAAAATTCCGTTTTTGGTGAAAACAACCGGTGAAAACAGAAATTAGTGCAGAATTTTATGTGTTTTCAGAAAAAAGGACTGTACTACCGCATCTTGGCAACTGTTGCGTAATAATTAGGGTAAAAATTGAGATTTTTCCAGTTTTATTGAGAATCCTATAAATTAAGAAGCAAAATGAGATAAATATAGGAAAATATAATTAACTGTAAGATGTAACACCACCGTTACCACCGTCGTCATTGTATATGTAGATTGGTCGACTATATTTGCTGGATTGACTAAGTTTTGACTGGTTTGACTTAGGTTTGGGTTACTATGTAGTAACTAGTGTTGGTGGTGGCGGTTTAAAAATTCCGGCTCATGAACTGTCGATCTTGTTTGTCATCTCTTTAATTCGCCATACATCTTTGTTTTTGCAACTTTTAGGACCCTAATTTTGAACCCAATTTTCTCAAAAAGTACGCGACCAATTTTCGATTTTTCAACGGAATTTGAAAGCCCACATGCGATTCTATGTAATATCTAAAAACAAAACCAATCTATAAGAAAAAACATACCTCATTGATGTAAACACTGAAATTTCCATTTTTTTGGGTTACTGTAGAATCGGGCTGGTCGACGGCCAATTGCTTCAGGCGCTTTGATTCACGCATTTTTTGGGCCTGCAGATCCCGCTGTCTCTTCCTGTCTAGTTTTCCATTCCTTAAGGCGTTGATTCCGCTCTCAGGTTGCGAGAATAAGTTAAAACTCATCTGAAAGAAACTCAAAATTTCACCATTTTTGACTTGTAACATCCGTGGCTTCTTATAAAATTTTTAAAAATCATGCCCATTGGATAGAGCATTAAAAAAGCTACAATTCCATAGACTCAAAAGTTAAGGTATGGCACCTCAATCAAAAGTTATGGACGAAATAAATTACCTTACACCAGGGGTAAACATTAAAGGCGCCGCCAATTATGGCAGATATTTATTTTTTTCTATCTTGAGTGAACGTTTTTCGATTTGTCTGTTATTCTTCTTTACTTTGTGCAATTTCCGAGATGATTAACACTTTTTCTACCATAAAAATGCAAAAAAAATATTGCAAAATCTTACATCATCTCCACCATGATCGCCTTTTTCCATTACACTCGGATGGAAGATGGCCGGGAAGTTGTTCTGGTTCTGACTCTTCAGAACCTCCAAAGGTCTTCTGTTTGGTGATAACGAGACGTTGAGGCGCTGACTAATCGATTTCGGAGTCAATTTGTTGAATTCGGCAGGACTGGAGACACTCGATTTTGGTGTCTCGTTTTGTTTGGATGATGAAAACTTGGACGATCCAAACGAGAGGTGACCAGAAATGGACCGCGCGGGCTTTTCTGGAGATACGACATCGTCATTCTGCGATTTCTGAGTTGATTTTTCACCGGGGGTTGAAGCAGAGACTTGAATCATCGAATTGGTAGGGGTAAGATGGAACTGAAACACATCGAATGAACCTTATTAGACCTTTTTTGAACTTACAGCAAACTGTTCCTCCAGCACAACATTCCTTCGAACTTTGTTCTTAAACTGTCTTTTCCGAGCAGTTGTATCCAAATGCGCCGCTTCCAAATTTGCCATGGAATCGTTTGGCTGTGCCTGAAAAAAAGCTCAAAATCATTGACAAAAGATCTTCTATGTATCAACAAATAATACCAGAAGGCGCAATGTGCTTCCTCACATCTTATGCAATCATAATTTGTGGTGACAAAAAGTGTTTCACGCCTATTGCGTCACTTCTTTGATGAAACACTAAACGCCAAACAATAATATTTAAAAACTCACATCTTCTACGATTAAAGCCGGAATATTTGAATCTAATTCATCTCCAGCATTGGTCATGGTGAACGAAAACTCGTGATCCTCCTCATCGTTCTTTCCGAACTCAAACAACTCATTATGGACATCAACTTCGGCTTCCGAAGGAGTCGGATTCACTTCATCCACAACGTCAACTCTAGCTGCAGATGCTTCACTGACGCTGACAGAGCGCGAGCCACCGCTTTCGAGGTTCGCCTGTGTGTCATTGCCGATGAGACACTTATCCTTCTGACAGACGCAACGGAAGAACCTGGTGTGCTGACATTTTCCACAACGGAGGACCTGAAAAATAAGTTTTAAAGGTCGCAATGACCATTTGGATGAACGCAGAGAGCCTTGGGGATTTTCCAGACCCTTATTCTTCATGGTACAATCAAAAATCACCATTTTGCCACCATTTCTTTAGGAAAATCTCAGGTCTTCCTGAATTTCAGAAGTTAAAACAAATCTGCTTTCCAAACTTATGTCGAGCCGCAGAAATTTCAAGAGAAAACTGTGCATTACGTCGCTGACGACCTTTCTAACACATTTACGCAACACTCCCCTTGTTTTTTACGGAACAACTGGAGATCTCCCAACCTTACACTAGACCCAATTCGAAAACCGAGTAAGTCTAATTTACATCACACAGAAATCAACATCCAATCTTCTCCCACTTTCCTCAACTCTTCTGAGAGCTCTTTCCTTTTTACCCATCAAACAAAACCCCGTTTACAGTCAATAAACACCTCCGAGCAAAGTATAATATCCACTTACCGAGAAACAAATACCCATAATACAGTTTTCTTGAAAACTGGCAGGAAAAAAACTTATTACAATGAGATCGAGGTGCGAAAATACTGTTTCCAACAAAAAACAAGATTTCGAGAAATTTTTTAGCGCCAAAAGAAAATTTCTTGGCATTCCGCAACAAGTGCCAAGTTTTGCGCAAAATTCAAATTTGATTCTGCCAAAAGTCGTCAAAACGCATCCAAAGTTGTCATCACCACTTTTTTGCCCTATAAGCATCACTTTTAAGTAAAATATCCGACATTTTTCACAACTTTTATTCAAATTCAAACAAAATGAAGAAAGAACAATAAAAAGAATTCTGAAGGGGACCGAGCTATGGGTACGGGGACAAGAAATAAAACAAAATACATACGCCTTATTAATTTGTATCAGTTTTATGATATTTGACGGGTTTACCTGTTAGAGACAAAAGAAAAAATTTCGTCAATGAGCAAATGAAAATGACAAAAATAAGGAAAATCTAGAATAAGATACGATTCCGACTTCGGGTCTTCATCGAAAATGAACAAAAGAGAAATTTTACATGCCCGAAACGCCTGTTGAACCAAGATTTCGGATCAAAAACAAGAAATAAAGACAGTTTTCACGTTGCTTACGACACTTGAAGGTAGTGTAACATAAAATTTGTGTTCCAAAAGACCTGTATGATGTGATGAAACCGACAATGTTTGAGATCTTGTTCTAATATACATTAGCTGTGTGTTTCAGCGATAATAGTGCGACACTATCCAATGTTTTTATATTATCCATGTCAGAAATTGATAACCCTAAGATTCGGATGTTGGTAGACCAGACCGAGAGGAGTTTAGTTGAGATGGAATCCCTTTTCGCTGGTCGCAGCCAACAACCGTTCTCTGAGGATCTCTGCGCTGCTGTATTCCGGGAGTTTTAGATAATGGACACAGGTGTTGACAGAAGGATAAGATCCATCTCCGCCGCCGTCAACCTTCCGCACAATAGTCAGTCGAGGATGCAAATTGGCCAATCCACCCGGTGGGAGACTTGAACAGCCAGTTGTGAACTGCAAGAAGGCCTTTCTTTCCTCTGGAGTCATGCCGGCAACCACATCCACAAATCTCAAAAATCCTGGAGACTCCTTGGTGTAGCCGAGCTTGGGCTCCGTGTAATTGATCAGGTCGTCTCTGGTCCACTCTGGGCACTGTTCGCCGGACAGCAGCTTCTAAAATTCCGATATTACACATGACCGTGCATTAACCTAAAACTCCAGCAAAGAAATCAAAACCTTACCTGAACTTCAGCTGCAGAGAAGGGTTTCAGAGCTCTCAGTGGGAAAACAAAGTCGAATCCTTCCCGGAATGCCATTACCTGCAAGAAATTATATTATCCATAGGAAGTTGAACCAAAATTAATTCATAAACATTCAAAACCACCTAAAAATCAAAGAAAAATACTAATCAAAGCTCTTACCTGTTTTCTAATTCCGGAATTGAGGTAGAAATCAACGCATTTTCCAAGATACAGCTCGATATTATCCACGGTAACGTCCACCGAGCCTCCTCCAGGGATCAGTTCATACTCCGAGTAATTGAAGACCGATGACGGCGGGTTCAAAACGAATGTCAAGTTGAGGTCTTCCACCGAGCATTCGTGATTTCCATCAAAGACCAGACGAAGTTGGTTGATTTTCTTGAGCTTTTCCGCTGGACTCAACGATTTTTCCGCTCGGATTTGAGCTTTCTGTTGGCAAAGGCGTTGAACGGAGCGGAGAAATCTCGCTTTGTGGGGGTGGATCTGTTCGAGGTCATCTAGATTCAACAAACCGTCCAATGAGACCGATTCAACGTCCGATTCTTGTCTTCCGGCCACCTAAAAATACAGACAATGAAAAATTCAGAACTTCAGTCGCCAAAAATTTTAATTTCGCAACTTTTCTCGCAAAATCTCTCAATTTCTTACCGAATCCGAAATGAGAAGTTTGAGGAATGGTGGTGAGAGTGGTAAATCGACCAATCTTCCGTCTTGAAGGACCTTGGCCAAGAAAATTCCCAAAATTCGGAACAAATCGGCGATCCGCTCGGCTTCGCTGCTGTTCTGTGGCGCGGGTGCTGGGAACAATCCTCCAGCGCGGCGGACATAAAATCCCGGGGGTTTTTTGCCTTCTCCAAGATCGAGGGACTCCTTTTCCAAGGCCTGTTGGGCTTCGTCGGAGTCGTCGCACAACCACATGGCCAGGGATTTTCTTTGGAACTCCGCTGCGACCAGGGCATAGAACTCCAAGGTTGGGCCGAGTCCAGTGCCTTCCTCGCCGAGGTACTCGATTTCGAGGATGGCCTTGCGGGCGGCATGGAATTTCATGACTCGGACCGCATTATCAAACAGTTCCTCTCCTTCTCTGTGGACCTTGATGCGTTCGTGTTTGATGCGGCCGACTCGGTACTCCGGATAGTGATCCTCTCTGCGGACGCCGGCTTGATTCGAGCCGGAGGCCGAGGCGGAGGTGCGGGCTTCTTCCAGGAGCTAAAAATCAAAAATTAGTTAAAAAATCAAAAATTTTTTATCTTCTCCATTCAAGCATAGATTATATACCAAAAAACCTATCTAAAACAATATTCCTCCTTTCTTACCATGTCTCTTCGATTCTGTAGCCAGACAATAGCTCTTGAGGTACCAAATGCGGTAGCGTTCATGAACATGCTTCTAAAAACATCAAGTTATGTCAAAAACTTCCATAATTTATAATTTTTTCTCAAAAACAAGTTAAAAACTCTCAATTTTACCTAGTTTCCAAGGTGAAAAGACATGGATACTTGTAGACGAGCATCTCACACCAACTTGGCAATGCTTTGGCCGACACCACAAGAGGATCGGTCAATTCTTGAGACAGTTTTTGGGTCAACTTTTGGCTGACAAAGCTGTCGGTTGAAGCATGATCCTCCGCCAGTTCATGGAAGGCTTGAAGGGTGTCGAGGCACTGTTTCACTACAACATTCTTCTCGCTTGTCAAATCGTCCAGATCCTGCGGCTCCGTGGCTTGAATTTTCTGGGGAATTTCTTCTGGGAGCACATTCTGATACATGATGATATAGCTGGGTTCCCAAATTTTCCTGGATCGATCCGTTTTCGCGGCGTAATTGGTGAGGTTGAGGAGTCTTTGGACGGCCGAGAACATGGATTCTTCGCCGTCTTCCAGGGAAATTGTGGCATTATCTACTCCATTGATGTTGGGACCTCTAAGGAAAAGTTCCAGAGAGGCGGTTTCCTTAGTTTCGTTGTAGCTGCGCTTCCTGAAAATCGACAATCAGGCTCTACTTTCTCTATTCAAACTAAATCCAAGCAATTTTTTGTAACTTCAGCCCCAAACTCTCCCAAAAATAAAAATTTTTGCCAAAAAAATATCACCATCTACAACTTCCTCCCTTACCTATTCAAATCCTTGACTTTCGGGCATTTCACGTCTTTCGGTGGCAACTCCATATCCGACGTCTGATTAACATTATTTCTTCCGGGTCTGGGGTCGAAAGCAGGGATCAGAGCGTGGAATTGTCTTCTCAAAACATATTCATCATCCCAATTTCTGGTCGGCTTGCGCGTATTTCTACCGCCAGTGTTGGATCGATGCTGATTTCCGCTTAGACTTCGCAGACCAGCCGCATCGAGCATGGACAGTACCACATCATGCTGTAGGCCTCCGTCTGATCCACTGGACTCTGCCAAAAGCCTGACCAGTTCGGATCTCAACGGAATCGCGGCAAATTTGGAGGAACTTGGGGTTGAATTGGAAGCGGCAGACTCTGAGGAGGATCCTCGAAGGAGATTTCGCCAATTGATTCTCAACGGCGCGTTCACACTGCTGCTGGAGCTCGAGTTTTGCGGGGTGGTGGAAGGGCCCGCGGTTTCGGTGGCCGGCTCGGCTTGGCGTCTCAAGCGGTCCACAAAGTCGGAGGAGACCGGGAATGGGGCCATTGAGGCCAACCGCTCCAGGGTTGAGCCTTCTGTGCCGGGGAGAGAGGTTCCATATTCATCATCGCATTCTTCGTCATCATCGGCAAAGAGTTCTTCGAAGAATTCTTCCTGAAATCACAAAATTTGAATACGCAAAAAAACTGCACGCCTTTTCACTGCTATTAGGGTGAACCAAAAAAAATCCCGATTTTTGTTGTAAAATTATGTTGAAATTTTTAATAAAAAATCGGATTTTTTTTGGTTCACCATAATAACAAAGAAAATTTCTCGAGCAAAATCCTACCAGATGGCTAGCCAATCCTCCAGTGGGGTCCTTCTTGGCCGCGCTCGCTTCCTGATTCGGTTCCACAGCTTGCGAGACGATGTTCTTCAGAGCTCCGGCGTAATTTCCAATCTTACTTTTGATGCCCTGCCCAATGGTTGTGAGGGTTGTTTTGGGGTTATTTTCATCCGAAACCTCCGGTTGTTCTTCCTGTTCATTCTCATTGAACTCGTCATTGCTGAATTCGTAATTGTCAATGTCATCGGCTTCCATGATTTCATCCAGAGTGGCGGCCACATACGAGCTTGTTAGGCCGTAGCGTTCCATTTCATCGACGTCTTCAATCGACTGGCCGTTCTTCACAATCTCCTGATAGAGGTCGACAATGCCGTTGTAGAGTGGGCGAGGTGGGGGCTTGGCTTGAGTTGGGGTGGTTTGATCGGCTGGGGGCTGAGGGGTGCTGGAGGCGATGGAAAGCTCGGGCTGGGCTAATTCCGGAGTACTGGCTGAGAGACTGAAATTTTTAAAAATCAGATGGGCCACTATTAGACGATCTTCTTGAAATTTGACAAAAAATCCGTTCAAAACTTCTTTTCATTCCTAAAAACAGAAAACAAACAAAAAATAAACCAGCTTACTTTTTATTTTCCTCATGAGTAGCAGTGCTGGCCGTGTCGATATGACTTTCCCGGCTTGAATACTCATCCAGTGCGTCGTGTTCTGGCACCGGGTCGGGGATTCTTCTATCGCCAAAAACTCTTGCTCTGGAGAGCAAATTCTCGAGTGACGGTGACTGGCGTTGCAAGCACTCGGCTGATGAGGCCTGTTGAGTGGCCGAGACCGAGTTTGTCGACTTCTTCTGTCCGGCATTGACGTCTAGGAGGTTCGTTGTTGACATTGACTTCTGATGGATTGAGGAGTTCGGGGATCCCTGACTTTGAGCGGCAGTGTTGTTGGCCAAGGCGGTAGCGACTGTGGCGGGGTTCATGGCACTCGATTGGGCAATGTGAATGCTGCCGGGGATTGAGGAGTTCGAATCTGACGAATTCACTCGTTGAGTTCTTCCGAATCCGGTGGGTTTTGACGATTTAATTCGTTTTCCCTGGAAGAAAATTTTTTTTTACAAAAAATCATTTTTTCTGATCTTCCCTTGCAAATAAAAGTGTCCTCCAAACTTACAGGCATTGTGACATGTGGTCCATCCTGAGATTTCGAGATTTTCGAGTCCAATTTCACCGGCAAAACTTTGATTTTTTTGGATGAATGTTTTTTCGGATGTACCGGGTTGAACGAGTCTCCAATGGCGCTATAAACCGTTCCGTAAACTTCGAATCCACTCAGGGATATGTAATGAGTCACTCCGGAGGCATTCGGTCCACGTTGGCGAAGTCGGAGGTATCGAACTTTTGCTGAAAAGCATATCAAGTTAGAAGGTCAAGTATAATACAATTCTAACAAAATTCATGTCAAAAACCTTTAATTCCTTACAGATCTGTTCATTTTCGGGGATAAAAAAGGTCGAGGTAGATCCGGCATCATTCAGGGAGGTGTCATTTTCATGTCTTGAGAGTAAAACAAAGCCTTTTCCATCAAGAGATCCCTCCAGATCCCACGTTCTCAAAGCCGATTTTCCATAGCCTCTGGCGTGTCTCAGGGTATACGCCGAGGGCTTGAAGACCACTCCAAGGTCGATTGTGATCGCTATGTCCTTATTATCGCTTGTGTGGCAGTTCAAAGGGTTCACATCTCTGCTCAGGATGTCTTCATAGCATCCATAAGGTAATTTCGATCCATCAGTCGACGTGATGTGCAAAACTCCAACCGCAGCAGGGTTGATCCACTCTGATTGTGTTGTTCCATTCGTTCCAATGTACCAAATCAGGCCATTTGTGTCAAAATCCGACTCGTATTTCAGTTCCAGGGCCTCATTTTGGGCGTGTTTTGCGTTCAAGTTTCGGACAAATTCCATGGACTCCCTGGGGAAATCGTACCACATCTTGGCGACCATTCGATGTAGGAAAGTCTTGACCTGTCCAACCGTGGTCAAGGGCTCCGTTTTCAATACTCTTCCAGTCCGGTCCAACAATTCGCTTTGGGTGGGGCAGCCGGGATCGATTTGTTCCATTGAAAATCTCAGTCTTCTGGTCAATAACTGCAGTCCATTTGCTGATCCTCCAGGGGTGTCATACAAGTGTTGAGTGAATTTCTCCACCGACTCTAGGACATCGACAATTCTATGGACCATCGAGCTTAGCAATACCTCATTTTCGAACACTTTTTTGAACACTTCTTCCACAACTCCTCTTCTCACTTCTAGGGCGGCCGAAACAAATCCCAAAATGGCTTGGATCACTCCGCTTGTGGCCAATTCAAAGGTCGACAAGAGACGTTCATTCACCATTAAATCTCGTACGGCAGAAAGCTTCTCCGCCAGCTCGCCGGCTCTCGATTGGTCGGCCTGATTTTGGGCGCAAATCTCGGTGATTTCGCTCAATTCTTCGGCGGCTTTTCGGAGCTGAACAAACACTTCTCGGGGTTTGTTTCTCGCCTCCTTCAGGTGTTTGTTCCACAATTCCTTGGCCAATTCGTTGATTCTTTGCTTCTGAGCTTCCGTTCTGAATCTGAGGCGTCTTTCGCCGCCTCGGGCCGCCCATCCGGTCACAAAATTCGATCCAAGCGTCGACTCGGCCATAAAACTCTTGGTTGAAAATTTGGAAGTCTCGTATTGGAATCCGGGGAGGTCGTCCTTGATTATGACCTTCTGCTGGCCTCCTTCCTTGTTCGTGATGACCAATTCGTCGACTTGGGTTGAGCTGATCTGCCAATTGCCCGAATCGATGCTTTTTCCGGGCAGAGGGTTCGAAAAGATCGGCTTTGGAGACACTCCATTGCCGCCCATCAAATTTCTATTCGCCTGGAACTTGCGGATGAAATCAGAGCGTGTTTCCGAGTTGTCGGGGCCACTTTCGGGGACTCCACTACTATACATTGTGTTCAGTTTTCCATCGAGGAAGAATCTGAGCCATCCATTGGAACCGTCGCTCAGTTCGATGGCCACAGCGTCGCACCAAACATACAGGCTGTCAGTCGACCGCATGAGGCGCCAGTCCTTCCATTTGTACAGAGATTTGTCCTTCAGAGTCCACGAATCTCCGCTGGTCGAGGTTCCGGGCTCCTGGATCGTATCCAGCGCCTCTTTCAACGTCTTTTTCTCTTCGATATCGGCATTTTCCGGGGTTGGCGATGGGGTCTGAGTATCCAGAAATTCCTCCTCGCTCTGCACTGGGATATTGAGCATTTGCTGGCGCTCCGCTTGGGCAGAATCCGACCTCGCGGGGGTTCCTGAGTGGGATCGAATACTCGGCGCGGAGATGGTCGTAATTTCCTGTTCTTTCGCGACATCCGCGGCGGTTATGAACTCATTATTGGGGACTTCTTGGCTGGCCAAGTGTTCTACGCGCTCTACAACGCCCAGCCGTACTAGTTCATCAACCCAAAAAGTGGGGTTCTTCTCCAAGACGGCCAACAAAATCTAAATTTCGAAAAAATCAATAATAAACTTGGTCAAACATACTTTTAGCACATATTCGTGTCCTTCGGTGTTGTCTTCTTCATTTAGAACCATCACCAATACCTTGGTCAGGCCATCAACGAAGGCCGCACCATCGTCGGAGTCAATGGATTTGACTTTTCCTTGCATCAGCTCATCAAACGCTTCAGCCGAACAATTCTGAACGCATTTTCCGATCAGACCTAAGGCCGCTTTCTTCACAGAAGTCACCATCGAGTTCAAACACACATTACAAAAGACCGGGATGAGTTGTTGGATCACTTTTCGGCTGAGTTCTGGGTCGATTTGGCAGGATTCTTGTTCCGATTGTTCTGGGATTTCGACAGTTTCTCGACGTTGAGAGCGTTCGGAATCAGAAGTCATGTAAGCAGATGGACTTTCGAGGATCTGGATGACTTGTTGATGCGATTCATCGGCGCGTTCGCGGGCTTTGTCCAAAGCCGTTCGACCTTCTTCGTCTCGGAGCTCGGGATTCGCGCCATTTCGAAGCAGAGCGGTGACAATCTGAAGGATAATGTATAAAATAATATAAATTTTTTTTAATCTTCGTCCTCAAAAAATACATCATTCTCTCTCCCCAACTTACATCAACTCTTCCAAAGCAAGCCGCATAATGCAACGAAGAAGATCTTTGGCCTCGATTAACATCAGCTCCTTTGTCACAGAGGTACTGAACCATATCCAGCGTTCCGAAGGCCGCACACCAGTTCAACAGGGTCTGTCCGGCATCATCGGTAAAGTTTGGATCCACCTAAAGACAGAAATCAAAACATCAAATCAGAACTTACATTTCCATGTTCAAAAGCGTCGATAAGAGCGTCAGTGTCGCGCTGACGGATGGCATCGATTAAATACCGGTGGCTTTTGTCGTAGGAAGAGTTGGCCGACATCGAATCGCATGAAGGGATAATGGAGTTGTTCTTGGGGAGGGAGCTTCGACCATCGCACATCAACAAGACCAACAAATCGACAAGGCGGAGGGCGTCGAGCACACAGCGCTCATCCTTACTTGAGCAAATGTTCTTCAGAGCCGGGACCAACTTTTCCGAGCTGAAAATTAAGCATTATTTTTTTAGAACTATATTACACATGACGAAAATTTTTGAAATATCTCGAAAATTCCTCTCAAAACATACCTGACAACCTGCATTGTAACCTTGTGGGACCCTCGGCAAAGATTACTGAGCAATGAAAGTACAATTGATATGAAAGAAATGGATTTATTGGTGACCATCCCATCCGAATGTCCGCCGCCACTGGGCAACAGTGAAGTCAGCAAGTGTTCGATAAGGTTGGACGGCTCCGCAAGCTCGGTGGGATCAATGGATTTGCGGATGAATCGGTCTGTGAGGGCGGCGAAACATCGGAGAGCACTTTCGGCCACTTTTGGGTCATCATGGGTAAGAAGTCGGCCCAATTCGCCGGCACATTCCTTCAGATTGTTGTCAGTGGGCTCCACACGACTGCAGAGACGCTGAACCACGGCCATAGCCGAATACAATGTGTCTTTGTGGATAACATTTCCTTTGTGACCGACCAATGTCAACATTGCCTGCAGACCTCCGGCCTCATAAACTGCTGGAGTTTCACGTTGACAAACACTCTCCAGCAGCTTCACACATTGTTCGGCAAGATCTCTGGAGGTTCTGTCATTCATATCGGCCAAAGTAAGACGATGGCAGATGGCTTTGACGGCACCTTCGACTTGAGTAATCCGTCTGGTACATTCGTTCGACACATCAAGATAATAAGTGATGGCTCTGGCCGTGACCTGCAAATAAACGTCATTTTCGACCATAAAATCTTGCAACCGTCTGTTGTTGATCTAAAAGCCAAGAAGAAGATTGAAATACTCACCTCCAAAACATTCTCTGAAGCCGTTTCATCCAAGAAGATTCGACATAAGGCAGGGATAAAAGATCGTGGAGGACAGCTCTCAAAACATCTGTCAATGTTGTCGGACATCAGCAGCAACATGCAAAGCTGCTCCAACGCCATCAACTGTAGATCGCGTTCTTCCCCCGCACCCGTTTGAAGCCATTCCAAAAGGGTATCCGGGTCTATACCCTCCATATTTCTGTGAGGTCCTGTAAAATAACACGATTAATTTAAAAACGAATTATAAAGTTATTACAAGAAAAGGCCAAACACGAGTACACGAAACAAATTACAACATGACATCAAGTTTGACATAATAATCCTTCAAGTTTTCCACCAGTCAAGTATAATATCCTAATCCGGCAGATTCGTCAAATCCAGTGAACGGAGAATGTTGAGCAAAGTGGATTAAGCTCAAAGAGCACTAAAACCTACATACATAAGAGCAAATTTGTAGTTTCCCTTCAAAAATAATTTTACACCACCAAGTACAATATAATTTTCGTTCGCTTCGACTACAAAAAAATCTCCCAAACTCGATTCAAAGGCGAAGTAAGTACTGTAAATCTCTTATTGACTCATAATTTTGTCTCAATTTCGCGAACGAACGAGACCAGGTTGAATGGGGAAGGAGGTGAGGGGAGAGTCGGAATCCCGAAGACATTTCGAGTAAAGAATTCCATCGGAAATTAGTAAAACAGTGCAAAAAACCTCGGGGTATTTGAATGAAGAATGCCCGAAAGACTCGGCGATGTTTGAACAATTCGGGAGGAGACCGAACATCTGCGAAATTCGAGAATAATTTTTTTTGTCCTTCCAGAAAATGCGTCATCACGACAAACAGATTATCGAAAGTCTTGAAACATTTTTTTCGCTGAAAATTATGGAGAGTTTTCACACGGATTAGCATAAATTTTTGTTTTGTCTGACTCACCAAAAATAGTGAGGAAATCTGGTCAGAATGACGGATTTTCTGGACATATCATAATTTCGGCAGAAAAAGACGAAATTTACCTCAATTTGTTCGAAAAAGCGACAAGTTTTGATCTCGAAAGCTTTGTTCTACCCTCTACAATCAAGTATGATGTCATTTCTCAAGAGCTTTTCTTGAAATCCCACTGAAATCGGCTAAAAATCCGCGTTTTCTCGGAGGTGAAAGTCTATTTCTTCGGGAATTTTGATGATAAGCGAGAAATGAGCGCTCTCCGAGCCGACCTCAGCCCCTCCAACGGTAAAAACAAGTCTTCGGGCTGGGTGAGCGCGTTTATCCGGCTGAAAGCCGTCAAAATCACCATCTTCTCGCCCTTCCACCTATCTTCACCATGGTGAAGGTCGGGATTTAGACGTCTCCAGCCATTATGACGCAAGATTAGACGGCGTCTTGGTTATGGAGGGGGGGAAATGAGAAAGGGACGGGAATTTTTTTCTGATTCCCGGCTGAACACACGGGACGCCTGCGGCGCTTTCGCCGAGAGATTGCGGAGAAGCGGGACGGCGGGCAGAGAAAGAAAGGGAGAAGAAAGAAAGCGCTCTGTTATTCTTTTTTTCGGAAATAATAGAGGGCTTTTCGGTGTCCGCGGACCGTGTGATCCATCGGCTGTGTTTTTGTGTTCACGTGATAGACGGATGGCTGTCAGTGGTTTAATTAGGACTACTTGTGCGTTCCGCAGGCTTCGGTAAGCAGCTTGCGGCGGGTGTTTGAGCAAGAACACAAAGCGCGGGCCCTGTCTGAGGCCGACAAGGGATAGATTTTTATGCTTAATTTTTATATTATTTTAGGTGACTGGTCTAATTTTAGATGGAATTTTCGTAAGATTTGATCTTTGAAGTGGTGTAGGGCAAGCTAAAAGGGGGTTGGAAGACAAGTCATTTAATTTGAAAGGCGATTTAACAAGTTCGAACTTTAATTCAATCTAGTCGAAAAAAATTTCCAGAAAATTTTATAAAAAAACATTTTAGTTTCTAGTTAGTCTTGTAATCTATACTGAATGGTGTAACATCACCTCTGGGTTCCTCAAATTCCTAAATTTCCTATCAAAAAGACATGAGTTTAGACAGGGATGGGGAGAAAACTGAAAGGTACGGTATACAGTGACGGACCTGATCCAGTGGCAAAAAAAATACCATTTTGCATCCGGGAAGTATCAAAAAATATAGCAAAATGCCTCCCTCTCCAAGTGAAAGACTCCGTTTTGAAGGACATCCTCAAAAAAAGAGCGGGCGCGCTTTTGAAATCGGTGTTTTTTCGCTTGGAGAGAGAGGCATTTTTCTACATTTTTTGATACTTCCCGGATGCAAAATGGTACATTTTTTGCCACTCGATCTGGTCCGTCATTGTATTTAACGTTCTCTTTTGTCGAGAGAGCGCGCAAAAACGAGAGAATCGACCAGACGAAAACCGTTTTTGGCGGCTCTAACTTTTTTCTTCGGAAAAAACGAACGCTCTTATTGGAACAAAAAAAAATCATAAAAGTTCACAACAAACTTGTAAAATACACACTACAAACGAATCCCCAGCCGTAATGAAGAGAAAATCTCAGTAGGATAATCGCCTGATTAAACATGCGGAGCAGTACGAATAAAAAAGTTATTTTTCGCCTCCAAATTCGCTTTTATTGTTAGTTAGAAATTCTGGCGAACTATGCAGGGAGCAGAGTTCTGATTGTGCTAATAAGTGGAAAAGCGTTGTAAAAAACAATTAACAGAGTAGTAATTTTGGGTGTAACATTTTTGAAAGAGCTGGGAAACTTGGAGAGCTTGGGATTGAGGTGATTTAGTTTAGAGTTGGAGTTTCTCGAAGCACAAAGCTCGGATTTACTTCAAATTTCGCACACATCCTCTGGATAGGTCACAAATTAGTCGCTAAAAATTTTAGACCTCACTTTTAAAGAGCCTCCGAGATATTCAACAATCTTTGCACATGAAAAACTACGAAAAATGATAAGCGTGAGTCCCATCACGAAAGAGTCTTAATTAAGAAATTCTTGGCATTTCAAAGAAACTGGAATTTCCAGTGGTACTGTTAGTGTATTGGCCAAAAATTAGAGTTGAATGGGACCGGAAATTTTTCGGTTAGAGTGCAATATAGGTCATATGACAAGGGCATTTCTCATCTGTGGCGGTAAACAATAACTTTGAAAAGGAGCGTAACGGTGACGAATGGAATTCACGGTCAACTTGGCACATATTCAGGTAGAATTTTCCTAGACATGAGTGAAATTTTTGACTTACGAATTTTTATAAAAAAATAAAATTTTTAGAATTTTTGGTCAAAATTTGAAAAAAAATTACTTTTTTTCTGAATTTTGGTTTGAAAATTTTCATGGTTGTATTGGAAGAGAGAGGAGCGCAATTTCTGCAAAAATATAATTTTTTTCTGATTGAAATTCAAACAGTTATGGGCCAAAAACGGGTTTTCTCTGGCGACTCTTCTCATTTTGCGCAGTCTTTCGAAAAAAGATCGTTTTAAAAAACCCCGGCTGCGCTTGCAAAGCTTGACTTAAAATTTTCAGGCATTGAAATATGGGCTATTTCGAGGATCTAGGCAAAATTTGATTAAAATCGGAGAGAAAATTTTAGAGTACTCCTCAAAAACGTACTCAAAATAATTATCATTTTCAAAAATTTTTCCTCTAATTACGTTAGACAAAGCAATTAAACTTTGAAGAATAAACGACAATTTCCGAAGGGTCACGAGAATGTTTTTGTAACCCCAAGACTATCACTGACAATGGCAAAGAAACCAATCCAATTCCCTTGTTTTTTTCGCCGCCATTTCCTCATCGCGTCTTTTCTCGTAAAAGCGAGTAAACAACAAAAAAAACGAAGATTACAATGGCCAGAGAGAAAAAACGAACAGAAAAATTTGTGAGATCTGGCGGGTTTGAACGTGTAATGTGATCCGATCTGTCAAAATGAAAGTCTTCCACAACGGGGGACTTTGAAAGATGGACCACAAGAATTTATTGGCATGTTATTGCATTGGTGATAGAGGGTTATATATAACTCTTATAACAAGGGAAAAGCCAAAGAATAAAAAATGAGGGCAAATATAAAATTGCTGAATTTTGATAAAATTATATTCTAAATCAAGTTAAACCCCTCCGATTTTTTAAAAATGTTGCCTACACTCTCTAAACATACTATGTACTTAAGACAATTGTCAATTCCTGAAAAAAAATTAGTCAAAGTATTGCATGATGACATCGAGAAAAACAAAAAAATGTCTGGACTCCATAAAAGCAAAATAGAGTCCCAAGGGTATCTTAACGTCCAAAAAATTGGGCTAGGGCGTTTTTCACAGAATGAAAATTTGCAAAACATTAGACGAGAAATTTTGCCTCGCCGGCAGGGCCGGGATTTCAAAATTCTTCCTATTCGGTCGGAAATTGATTCAAAACCAATTATTTTTACGATTTTACGATCTGTTCTGCAAAATCGTCTATTTATAGCATTCAAAAATCATCCAAATTTCCTTCGGGTTGAAAAGAAGGCTTTTGTACCAATATTTACAAAAAAGTGAAATTTTTGCCGGCTGTTGGGGCTGAAAAATTCGGGCGTTTCTGCAAAGCGTTAGCAAAAATTTAACACTAAAATTTGGCCGTCTCACTTTGACAACTTCCCCTGTGAAATCGAAAATTTCACTCAAAAAAGGCAGAAAATGAAAAAAAAATTTAACGGTAAACACAATGAAGTTCAAAATTTTCACTCATCACAAAGCGGAAGTCGTATAAAAAAACAATTATCGGTATAATTTGTTTTAGTGGTTCCCAGAGCTTGTCAGTCTCGACGCGGCCCAAAAAACGACAATTTAAAAGAGTAATTTTCGCATGAACGTTTTGCAAAATGGACTGTAAATCCTATCGGACAAATGATAGTCTATCAAAGAGCACGTTCAAGCAGACCGAATGGAAATGACCCGGTCTCGTAGCAACGTAGAATCCCTATAATCAAATTGAACGAAAAAAGGCTCGCACTTTCAATGAAAAACAATGGGGCTTGTTTTTGGCGCAGCTGTAACCATATTAGGAAGTTGATTAGTGTGAGTAGTAAGGTGACTAATTTCAGGGGATTATCTCAAAGTTGGGTGTCTTGATGAAATTGGTACAAGTTTGAATGATGCGAGATTTTTAGGTCATCATTTTCAGAAATCATCGAAATTTTTTGGGGAGGAAAAGTGGAAATCTTTTTTGTGATATTTCATATGAAGATTTTAGGGTCTGTTAGATGTGGGTTTTGCAATAGTTTCACGAAATAATCAGTGTTCTTTTAGAAGAGGTCAAAAAGTTATCAACGAAAAGCATTTTTCGTCTAGCCGACACTCCTCATTTTGCCTGCTCTCTCAAAAAGAGATCGTCTAATAAATCTAATATCTCATACAGTTTGTGTTTGCCACATCTACCTCCTGAAAACTATAATTCCAAAAAAATTTTTCACATTAACTATCTTCTAGAGTGTCTTTTTTTTGCCTTGAGAATCTCTAAAATGTCTAATTTCTGCTATGAAAGTTATATTCAAAATCTGAGACTTATGTTCTCAATTTTTTAAGCTGAATGTTCTTGAAATTTCGAGAATTTCGACCCGAAAAAATCATCAATTTCTTGGCCCAAGTCAATTAAAAATCCGAACAAACAGCTGGAGAAAGCAAAGAGATGTGAGAAGAAAGTCTTACGAGACCATAAACAAAGTCGGATGAGAGAAAATGGCTGAGGAAAGGGGAATAATAGAGAGATTTATTTTTTTTGCCTTCCTCAAAATAAACCTCATAATTCGTTTTGAAATCAGTCCAATTGATAAGACTGTTAAAAGGAGCAATTTAATTTTGAAGCGGTAAGAAAGAACGTGAGGAAAGAGCAATTTGGAGAAGATAGAGGGAGAAAACGCGACGAGGAAGTAAAATTTCTTGACGGAATTATCAGTTATTTACCATGAAGACTTTTCGAGATGTTTTCAGGAACATGAACTCTATTGGAGTTGTAAAAAAAGTGCCCTGGGGGTGTATTCGAAATAAAACTCTTTTTAATTTAAAGGTAGCCTTAAAGTAGTGATTTTGAGGGATAAATTGATTTGAGGTACCAAACGATGATAAAATAAGACTCGTTGAATTAGAAGTCGTCTTTATGCTTTTTGAAATACGTTTTCCTACAAGCCGAGATTCGTGGCTACACGAAAATTCAAACTCTTTCAAATTCTACAAAATTTGAAAATCTATACCTTCTGAATATCACAAACAACTTTCCCATCAACTTTTTTTATTATAAAATTCTTACCGTATACTGTAATTTAACCGCAAATTCCATGTCTCGAAAACTAGATCTCCTCCAGGGACGGGACTTTCACCACTGTGTTCCCCATGCAAAATAACGGGTTTTTGATAGCGATGCCTCAAAAAAACTTAGCCTAAAAGCTCTCTTGAGCCGTTGTCTAGCCAATACCAATAATTGTGACACAAAAGGAGACAATATGCTACGGCCGGGCCATGATTTCGGTCCGGCCCAGGGTCATGTCTCATTCAGAGTTAAAAAGAAATTCATCTAATGCCGTACCGTAAGACTTCCATCACATTTTGGGTGTTTTCCTTTGAAAACTACAAAGAAAACGCTCCAAAATCCACCTCACCGTTCCCATCACAATCTACTGCCTCTGTAGCCCTCAAAAATCTGTAACCCTTCTTCCGAGATTCCAACGGTTTCCTCCTCTAATCAAATCAAGCGCAATGAGAATGCAAAAAGAAGGTGCATCGACGGTGAAATGAAGAGAAAAGTAAATAAATAGAAACTACCTTCGAACTCAGTTATTTCGCCTATTAAAACATTGATATTGCTAATTAATCATGCTATGCAAGCTTGGATTGATTTTGTTGTTGTCAATTGGAAATTTGGATTGTGAGGAGGAAAGAGCGAAGCCATCGCTGGGACTGTCGTATCGGTCAAAAAGTAAGAGATTTATGTATAAAAAAATGAGAGTTGGAAAAATTTGCTATTGCTGAACGAAAAGATCTCCTACAAATTTGGCATATTTTCGCTAGCGTAGTACTTTATTTTTCACACCAAAACCTCCTATCATATAAAAAAATAGGGCAGTAAAAACCATCTTTTCCAGCTGGTGGAATAATCTCCTTCCTCAACTTGAAAGCCCATTTCTCATCGCCCGACACTGTCTCCGACGAGGATGATCAAGTCGAGGACACCGATTTCTATGACTATGACAAATCTCAGACTCAATTTCGGGACGTGAAGGAAAAAAGTAAGTCATCTGGGTTTATGTACTGTATAACACCAGCCTTACTAGGCGTTAATAAGAGAAAGGTCCAATATGCGAATCGCATTGTCAGTTTTTTTTTAACCTTTGAAGACACGTTGGGAATAGACCACACATCAATTTTATAAAACTTTAGCTTGCGGTTTACAGGGGAAGCCGAAATCTTCGATGATCTTTCCGGCCGAGAGAATACGCAAAACGCGGAGTACGGCCAGAAAACTTTTCGGTCTCATTCTTGAAAGTTCGCGTAAAAAATAGGCTTTTTTGCGGGACATTGCCAGATATAAGCATGAAATTTTTCATGCCAAGACCACCCCATTTCCGCCAACTTTTGACCTAAAAATATCTGTTAATTCCTACAAACCGAATGTCCATAATCTCTGATATGCATTGGAAAAAATTGTTACGCCAAAACTGTGCTAACAAGTAGGTTTCATTAAAATCTGCGCTCTGCATTTTGAGCCCTTTCTCTGCAAATTACATACATCGATTACTTACCAACTCCACAAGAAACACTAGGAATGCAGTCCAACTCCACGCTCGCAACAGATAGATTTTGTCGTCGTCCACAAAATTCGAATAGTTTCCGGAAGATTTGCGACATTTCTATGTCAAATTAAAAAGGACCGCGGCCGAAATTAATGCATGAAAGAAATCTAGCTTATCCGATTTATTTTTTATCCTTTATATTCATCAGGATAATTGAATTAAACGGGAGAAAAAAACCAGTGGAAAAGGGCAGAATATTTGCACTTATTATGTATACAGTAGAGGGTATGTTTTTCGCTTGATAATATGAGAAATTATTTTTGATAGAAGGCTTATAATCTTTGTAGAAAACTCTGTTTTTTACCGCAACCCTGTCTCATTTCTCTCCAGACAAACTAAAATACAAAGTGAATGCTGTGATGAAGCAGTTTCGAAAAGCCAACGACCATGGTGATCTCGAGGATGATGACGATGATCATATTTACGATCAATTTGATGCCGAGTTGGATGAGGAAATGGAAGAGGAAGATCAAGAAGACAGTGAGGATATTACTGACGAGATTTTAAGCGAGAAAAATGAGGAAAGAGTAGACAATAATGAAGAAGATAGGGTAGAAAAAAAGAAAGAAAAAAAGAAGAAAACAAAGACAAAGAAACCAAAGAAAACTAATGGGAAAAAGAAGGATAAGATGAAGCTACAAAACAAAACAAATATTGAGAATATTCACTACACCACTAGTAAGTCCAAAACCATTTTTGATGATTTTACAAATCCATTTTTTGCAAAGTTTTCCTCGCCTTTCTTTTCTAGCAATTTTGCCAACAATTGAAGTAGAAAATGCGACCTCAAATGCCACCTTATTGGAGGACTTGGCGGCAGAAGAAGAGAAGTTCGTGTCTACAAGTACAGTTGATCCGGAAGACGACCGAATCATGAGCTTCTTTGGGATCCTTTTTGAGGATTCGGAGGAAGATGAGGAGGCCGATGCGGGTAAGCAGCCTTGTACTTTTTTCAGAACCTTTTCGCAGTAGAAAGTATAATATTATCCCAAATTTATAGTTGTTATTACAGTTATTAGTAGATAAATAACTGTAATACCTATACATCATACGGTGTCAAAACTTAATTTCAGGTAATGTAACCGTAGTCAAGGACAATTGGGTTTTAACTGCCCGAGAGATCCTCCACACGGACTCATTGGGTCGGTCGGAGGAAGAGCTCCGAGGATTGTTGAGTGATCCGGAGAAACTGGAGCAAACTTTCGGTCAAGCTCATCGAGATCATGGCGCCAGTTACTTGCTGCCTATTTTGAAGACTGTCCAATATGACAACAACAGTGTACCAGTGGTGTTTCCAGGTAAAGGGAAAATTTTTTAGTCATCAAAAAAACTTCTTCATTTTTTTGAAATTTTGTATGGGTACCCCAAATGAAAGTTACAAGACTTGTCTACCAAATTGAACAATAAAATTTTGTCACCTAAAAAAATCAAAAAAAAAATGTTATTTTTGAAAACAGGATTTTTTATAAAAAATTGCGTTTTCTCTTCCGAAACTCTTTATAAACCAAGAAAAATCTTCCAGACATCCCAGTTCACGTTCGCATCGCCCTAAATGTCATTCATTTGGGGAATTTCGACAGTCAGAATATGGAATATTCCATTGACCTAGAGATGCATATGAGCTGGTACGATGTGCGTTTGGCGAACAATTATTCGAAGCCAATCCGAATCCGAGAAAAGGAGATTCTGGATCTGGTGTGGCGTCCCGACCCCTACTTTGTCAACTCCAAATTCAGTTATTTCCATGTGGTTTCGTTCCCCAATTTCCGAATGCGCGTCATGCCAAGCGGATTGGTCTTCTACACACTGCGCGCCACCCTGCTTCCGGTTTGTTTGATGACTTTTTGTCGACATCCCCACGACCATCAACAATGTGATTTGAAGATTAGCTCAAGTAGGGATTACTGTAACTTTTTGGAAGATTTTTAGTCGCCTATCCGAAGTCGTTCGTCAGCTTCTCTTGGCACACAAATGCCGTGGAATACAACAGCAAAGTGACGTTGCCGGAATTGAGGATCAAAGGGCTCTTCGCGGAGACTTGTAAAGTGGAGGGGAAATTGGGTGAGTTTGCCGACAACTTATCATTTTTATTTTTAGGAGATTACATGCTCTTATTTTGATGAGATTGGGCAAGACTTTTGACTAAAATTTTCGAAGAAAAATACAGTGGCGGACCTGATCCAGTGGGAAAAAACGTTCCATTTTACACTCGGAAAGTATCAAAAATGTACCAAAATACCTCCCTCTCCAAGTGAAAAAAACTCCAATTCAAAAGCGCGCCCGTTCTTTTTTTGAGGGGCGCGCTCTTCAAACCGGTTTTTAGTTAGAGAGGGAGGTAGTTTGCCACATTTTTGATACTTCCCGGATGCAAAACGGTACATTTTTTGCCACTGGATCAGGTCCGGCAAGTAGGTGTGCTTGAATTTGGAAAAAAATTGAGATTTTTAATCCGAGGACGGAAAAAATGCTATTTTTTGCGGTTTATTTTTCGCATCCCTTTTTCCAACCAGCCAATTACCATCTGCTGAAAATTCTTATCCCTTCCTATAGAAGAAAAGCCGAGATTTCCGACGCCCCTTTTTGAAAGAGACTGCAAGAAAGCAAAAAGTTGAAATGTTTGCCCAAAAACCCCAGAAATCGCAACAATTTTCAGTCTCTTCCTCTTGCCTCCGACTCAAGATCAATCTCGAACGGGATGGCGCCCGATATATTGTCGAGAAATACATCCCCAGTACTCTGGCTATGATGTTCGCGTGGGTAGCGCCTTATGTCCCCTACAACTACGAAGATGTCCGCATTATCACTCCGATTACTGTGCTTTTAACACTAGTTCAAATGGAAAAAGGAGATACGGATATTCACACATCGTATCTGACTTCTATGGACATTTGGTTCGCCGCGATGAAAACTTTCAGCGTTCTTTCGCTGGTCGAAAGTTTGGCTGTGTTGGCGCTGATCAAGCAAAGTCGAGGAATGGTCAGTTTTTGGAGTATTTTTAGATCAAATTGAAATGGAAAGCCCTCTAAATGAAAGTTTATGAATCCCTTCAGATTTGACAAAATTCTTTTCACGAGCCACACATTAATTTTCGAATATTTTACGTCTCCTTTAGCCGGGGTAGCTGAGATTTTCAGCAAATTTTTACATAAAAATTTCTTCGAAAAATCCTGTGTCAGCTTGTCCCAAGACTCCTCATAATTGAATCTGCACATCCTGCGTTCTTCTTATGTTAATAACAGTCTCAAAATTTCAGGAAAAAGAGATGATCCGCGCCCCAAATGAATACGAAAGAGAAAAATTCAAGATCCAAAAGCGGCGATTAACTCAATTGTATCATCGACTCGACGCTACCTCCCGATTCTTGTCGCCAATCGCATTTATCTTCTTCTTCGTGTATTACGTGCTCTACGTAACCCAACGGGACGAAAAGACATGCCTAGGACAATCAATTTTTGATCTACCATAAAATAATTTGCAGAATCCGTTGTTTTTCTAATCATAAATTTGTTCAAACTAACTACAGACTCTTACCTTAAAAAGTTTCCACCATAAAGTTAAGGCCAGTTTGATTCAAACTTTTATTTTTTGCATCAAATATATTCTCCTTCGTATTTCACATAAATTCCTAAAAAATTTGAAGGAGAATAGATCTAGTGGGAGCGAGCCAAACGCGCGGCGCGATGTTCCTCGAGGGCAGCCTGGGTTTCCGGCGACAGCTCATTGTCCGGCTTGGGGCGAAGTCTGTCCAATCTGAACATGACGTAGGTCGGGTAGGAGAGGAAAGTGAAGGCGATGAACAAGTAGGTAGCGACTTTCTCCTGCAATGAATAAAAATATAAACTTTGAGCTCCGTAAAAAATTTTTGTTATAGAGCCTACCTAAAACAATTTATCTTTCCAAAAAAACTCCAAAATAAAGCCGAAGAGCTTTCAAAACTAAGGTAATACACTATCTTCCTTCGAAATTACAATTCGCAATTTCTATTAGCATACTATTCTTCTTTACACTTACGACATCAACGACTCAAGTTCAACAATCTTCCCGTCTTAAAGACAGCAAATCTACCTAAAAATCGCAACACACAAATCCAAAACTTACAGGAACACTGATGAAGCGCATTGGAGGAGTACCTTCCGTGGCTTTGTGGACATTACGCACGGCGGCGATTTGAGCAGAACGCTTGGTCAAGCCGAGCAAGTTCCGGGCAATCATGTTGGTCGCTTATAACTGAAAACACTCATAGGTTAACTGGAACATAACAACGGCAATCGAAAAAGTAAAACGCGTAAAAACGAAGCATGTTTAACAACTAAAACAAAACATCTTACGATTAGTAAGTCTAAAATAATATTTTCTTTGCGTTGGCACTCTACCTAGTAAACAACAACGGGTAGACGTCAAAATATATCAAGCAAAACAAGGAAGATGTGTCTTACGTGCAATTTAGACCTCGAAAACCATGCGAGTGGCATTCTGTGACGCTCTTTTTGGCATTGGTTGTTTTCGTGGCGGGAGTTTGCTCGGATTGTGTGGATTTGGAAAAATGGTCCTACAAGGCCGGAAATGTCTTGTTTAGTTCCACATATACATTTTTGGAAGATTTGGAAAGTCTTTACACGATTAAGCTACAACAAGAATATAAAAAACGGTTTTCAGAGATTTGAACCTACAATAATGTTTTCACGCGTACTATCCAGTTGAAATTAGTCACTTTGACATGTTTTCTGACATCATGAGGCCACCTGGAGTCTTAAAAAGCCATAAAAGCATAGAACATTGAACCAAAAGAACGTATATTCCCAAAAATCCCGTCGATATCCAAAAATCCGATCGATTTCATTTCAACCTCTCCTCAGGCCTTGACCGGTCGATGATTCGTCCCATTCTCTATTCCCAACAAGTTCGCAATGCTCGATCGACCAGTCAAAGCGTTGTTCGTTGGACCAGCCAGACGCCGGTAACTGCAATCCCACCCGATCCCAATTGTGATCCGGCGAATCCGCGAGTCCTGCAGTTCGGGCAGATCTCTTCGGCCGCTTTCTCCATCCGCGATGGGATCATGAAGACAGAATGCCGCCGTTCATATCGGTTTTCGAACCACTTGGGGATGGATTTGTTCTTGAAAATGGAATTGAATCAAGTTACTGGAAGCTTCAAGGTAAAATACGACGGTAACTCAAAAATTGGGCTACGAAATGACAATCTAAATGTCTTTTAAGCTTTTCTAAACTGTTACTTTATTATTTTCTCTGCTTTTCAGGAGCGCGGAGCCCGCTGTGCCCTTCTCCGACTGACTGAAGAACAACGAGCCGCTGGAGTTTGGGCCGCGTCTGCCGGAAATCACGCTCTGGCCCTGTGTTATCACGGAGGTCAGCTGGGAGTGCCGATCAACGTTGTCATGCCGAGATATGCTCCATTGGCCAAGATCGACTTTTGCTCAAAGCTGGGGGCCAATATCATAGTCAAAGTCTGACTTTTTTAAAATACGAGACAATTTCTTTTACAAATTTTTAAAATAGTTCAAAAAATGCTTTCATTTTGCAAAGCATTACTGCCAATATTAATGACAAAAATTTTCAGGGCAAGGACATCTCGGTGGCGCGAGAAATCGCCTTGGAAAAAGCTGCTTCCGAGCCAAATGCCGTGTATATCAATGGCTATGATCACATTGACATCCTGGCTGGCGCAGGAACCGTGGCGCTGGAGATTCTCGACCAAATCCGACACGTGGACGCCATTTTGATCCCAGTTGGAGGCGGAGGGCTGATCGCTGGAATGGCAGTGGCCATCCGAACCTTGTTTCCGAAGATCCAGATTATTGCCGTGGAGGCCAACGAATGCCCGAGCTTCACGGTAGGTGGGCGTTAGATAAGTTGGGCTTTCATTAATAGTCGTATTTTTCCTTTATTTTGCCGAAATGTAAAAAAATTTAGCCTAATTTTATTTTATTTATTAAAAAATTAGTCATCATTTTTTCATGATGACTTAATTTTCATCCCAATTTTTTTGAGAAATTCTATACTTAAAGAATGCCATGAAGCAAGGAAAAGCCGTCTACACGGCTTCGCATCCCACTCTGGCCGATGGTTTGGCAGTCCCGACCGTTGGGATCAACGCTTTTGCAACGGCCAAAGATCTCGTGGACAAAGTGGTCACAGTCACCGAAAAAGACATCGCTCTGGCAATTCTGAGGCTTGTGGAATGGGAGAAAGTGATCACAGAAGGCGCTGGAGCAATTTGCGTGGCAGCGTTGTTGAGCGGTAAGTCGGCTTAGGGATTTTTCGAACTTTCTTGACACTAATTGCATATTGTACATGAGATCAAAAAATTTTTTCAGATTCCTTGCCGGAATTAAAAGGAAAACGGGTTGCCTGCGTCCTATCTGGAGGAAATATCGATTCTACGGCGTTGGGAGTGATCATTGAACGAGGTAGCCACATTTTTTATATTGATTTAGACATGATTTTGATGATTTTTTTGAAATTTTTGGTTTTTTTAAAGTTAAAACTGATTTTTTTCCCTCAAATGACTTTTTCAGGTATGGTGACGGACACTCGTCTCTGCAGTTTCAGCGTTGTCGTGTCGGATCGACCGGGCGGTGTCGCCGAATTGGCCGATATTATTGCCAAATGTGGAGCCAGCATCAAAACAATGCACATGGATCGAACCTGGCTTCAGCAAAACGTATTCTCGGTGATGGTGAAGAGCAGTGTGGAGACGAGGAACTATGAGCATGCCAGCGAACTCAAAGAGACCCTTCAGCAGCGCTACGAAGAGGTCGACTTCAAAATGGGACCAAAGTGAAAAAAATTTTTTTTTTCGATTCCTCTTTGAGTAAAACAGACTGAGATAAAACTAACATATTTTGAGGACACACAGTATTCAAAAATGTCAAAAATTTATTATACAATCTCGAGTTACTCTAGCTTTACACTGTTCCAAAATTTGTTTGTTAACCGGATAATTTGGAGAATTTTCAATCAGCTCTTTTCCGTCATTGAGACCTTCGAACAAGTGAAATCAACGGGAATACGAATCGGCTTTATGTGGCAACGTCTTTGGTCACAATCCGTGTGATTATAAGATCGCTGAGGCTTTCCGCCGCCAGTGCTGGATCAGACACTTTGTAGATCTAAAATCATATCGAATATGCGTTTAAATCAAGTCAATATATAACTATTATCACGAATCTAGAGCGTATTTTACCTTTTTGATTTTATGAATATTTGCTAGCTGAACAATATTATCCAAGGTAACAGCTGTTCCCTTGATTTTCTTTGCCAACTTCGTCATTTTGGATCCCTTCTCGTCGTCAAACAAGGCTACAATGAGGTTCGTACTGTCTTCTCCAATGCCAAATGTGTTGAGAGATTCGGAAATCTAAAGATCGAAAGTAGTAATAAAAATAATTGATACCTTAGGCATCAAATTGAACTTACATTTCTGGTAGGCGATAATGAGTAGATTAATTCTGCGGATAATGATCTGGTAAACATTCTGTTGTGAGCTGATTGATGAACGGCACGATTCGCCGCCGCTAGAAGGACGAATGGTTCAAGAATCTGAAAGAAACAGGGGTAATACAGAAGAATCAAGTCCGTAAACCGTCAGATTAAAAGATAGGGTTCTAAAATTTTGTGAAAAGCAAGCTAGCATAGTCCTTGTTGTCGTAATAATAGTCTTTGCCAAAATGATACCCTGTACGCCCACAACAAATTCATCAAATGTAATCTAGACCAAGTACAAGGTCTTGCTTGAAACTTTCAAACCGGAAACGGTAGAACCCTACAATTTTCTGCAGAGCAAGCCCATGACCTTGGAAAGATGTTCTAATTCAACAAAAAATTCTTCCATGAATTCTATTTATCTTATACTAGACAATAACAAAAGGTCTTTCCCTCTTGATCCTCTTCCTTTCTAAACCCAAAACAAACAAAAAATAATAAAAAAAACATACCAATTCAGCTCGTATCATAGCCGCATCAATTTGGCCACTTCTGAGCAGGTCCCTCAACTCCACGGCATTTTTGACGTCCTTGAAGACACAAACCCGGATATAACGTCGTTGTGTGACGTCGTACGGGTCGGGCTGTAGCTCAAAAAGCCTTGACAAGCCAGACTTCATTCTGTAGCGAGTCCTGAAATCGTCAAAAATTGTTGAAACCAGCGGAAGCGGCATTTATTCAGCTCAAGCTCGACTTGTCTCCAAAGCCTCATGCCAGAAATCCGTCTCTTGGCCAACGGAAACTGGAATTGGCACGCGAGGAAAAAAACGTTTTTGCGGCTACAATTTACGGGTGGAATATTAAAAAACCCGACGGACGAGCGGATAATAAATGGTTTCCTTTCATCCCGACCTCATGTATAATATAATTCGAAAAAAGTTCTGGAAATGGAGAAGAAGAAGGCGGAAGAGACGTGAAAAATAAACAAACAACCCCGGCAATGTATCGGAATTCCAGCCGGCCTTCGTTTTTTATTGTTCCGAGCGAAGGCGAATAACATGAGGAAGAAGACGCCCTTTCTCCATAAAAACGCAGTAAAAAACATAAAAATTAACGTTTTTTTCGAAACAGTCTTGCTGTGCCACGATTTTTGCACCGGCTCTTTTCGCGGCGAGACGCACGAATGTCGCGGGAACAGTTGCGATCCTCCGCACTGTGCGAAATTCACTTGGAGCCGAGCACTGTGCGACAAGCATTGTGTTCACCGCACCGTGCAGAAATTTTGAACCCTGATTTTCGCGTTTTCCGGGAAAATTGGGTCGTTTTGGAAAAAGAAAACAGTGCAAAAGTGCCGCGCATTTTCGCACCGTGCGCTTGAATTTTGTCGCTCATTTCGCACTGCGCCGCCCTACGAAAGGGTGGGATTTTGTTCTCGCACAGTGCAATCGAGTGCGCTCTTCTTGCACAGTCGTAATCGGCTTGAAAATATGCCTAGAATACCCTATTCAATTTTGTCGCTAGTCGGGAGTTCGCACAGTGCAGGGAATTTTTTCGGTTTGCACTGTGGCAAGAGAATCGGGGTGGCTGCACAGTGCAAAATCGGTTTTCCTTGGTTTAAGGTCGTTTTTGACCGAATCCGGCCGGAATTTCGAAGAAAATTGGTCGAAAACAGAAAACTGATGTCAGAAAACCTATGAAGTAGCCTGTTATTACCCATAAAAATCGATTTTTTGCCAGCTTTGACTTCAATTTATGCAAATAATATCAAGATTAATATACACCATAATAAAAAATCATTGTTTTTCTTCTCTTTTTGCCCTTCCGACATGCCTCCAGCCTCAGATAATTGAGACTGACCTTCAGAGCATGGAGAATGATTCAATATTTGATTGGTTTTTGCAAAAGATTGTTTGAAAAATCATGTTTAATATCCGGGTGAGTCATGAATGGGAATCCAAGACGTAGACAAAAAATAAAACTGTCTTTGATCATAAATTAAATCGAAATGAACTGAATGATCTGCGTTGCAAATATGGTGACTATAGCACTGTTTAATGTTGCATTGTATAGATGGTCGTTGTAAAGACAGAATTAGAATTTTAACAGCTCAATTTGGGCTCGCTAACTTGTCCTTATCATCTGTTATTGTCTGAGGGAGCACTGATAAGACCAGGAACACAAAGTCAATCATAAAGTTGTAAAAAGTTGTAAACATTTCTATTTTTTTGAAAAAAAATTGGCACTACGTGAAAAATCCAATGTTGTAATGAATCACTTGTGTTTTACGGTAAGATGCTTGAAAGATCAAAAAAGTTTCAGCTATAAAATGACCAAATTACACTTAATTTCTTCAAAAAATTTCAGTTTTTTTGAAATTTTTATACGAAATTTTCGCGCAAAGTTCGAAAAACATCCATGGTTTACAGTAAAATCACACGGAATACGATCTCCCGTGGTCGGAGTTTATGATCACCCCACGCAATGCGCAACTTTCAATCATCTTTTCGATCGGTTTGTAACTAATTACAGGAGAATACGTGTAAAAAATATAACAAAAAAATAAGCCTCAAATAAAGTATAAAGCAAATACAGTATTTTCCGCTAACAGGGAAATGTTCGAATTATAGAACTTGATGAAACTTGGCACAATTTTAGCATAGTATTTTTAAAGGCATATGCGAAATTGTAAGTTCGCGTTTTGCAGAAACAACCGAGTTTTTCAGGTTAAAAGTTGCAAGAAATGAAAAAATGTGGCACTGTTCGACAAATTTTGTCGTAAAAAGATGAATGCCTTGTGTTTCTACCACAGAGTATAATTTTACATAACTTAAAACCGTCAGTTTATCGTTGTGTGCATGGGGTAGGCTAGGAGAAGGCTTAGTTAGCAGAAATAATAAGATTGATCGGGTCCTAGGATAGTTTATCACCTATTTTGAGGTATTTCACATGTATTCGCATCAATAATATCTAGATAAAAGTTACGCTTCGTTTTTTGCCGCATATTTTGGTCTTTTATATTTTACAATGACACAGGGTAAAGAAAACTAACGTTAGTGAGAGCTAAAGTTAGAAAAAGTGGACACATTTAAAGCCTCCGCCAAGTCTCCGCCGAGCGTCCGCCGACCATGCGATGGCTTTGTCAGGCCTCGTAGGCACTTCCTACAATCATTTTTTGAGTAGCCACCTGCCCTACGCCCCGTATCAATTGTTTTTGCGTTGACCCGAACTGTCATCGGCCCGAAAATTCGGGACGCGACGTTGAGCTCTTTCTTTGTTAAATTTGGGCGCGGCATATAAGAAATAAATCTCTGAAAATCTAATTTTCTGCTCTGCGCCCACAACAGAGATAAGCGCTATAACAATTTTTGCAGAATTGTCTTTTAGACAGTTCTCGAACTCTATGATCTTATGTATACAAAAGCTCTGTTTATGACTTGTGCCCTGCCTTTCTTCGTGGTCCAATTACAGCCGCACGCAAGTCGCTGAAACACCATTGACCAAGAAAACAATTGATAACCTCCTCGAATGCCCGCAAGAGCCACCAATGCTCTCTGATGTCACGTTCGGAGATGATCGCAAGCGGGGAAAAAACTTTGTTATCAACACTATAAAAGGGGTCAGTCATGAGAAGCTTTAGAAACATCAAGTCATTACTCTCTAGTTTATATTACAACAAGCATTCCCGGTAGCCAAAAACGGTGATTTTTCGGGGACCGCAAAGCTTGTGATATTTTCGTGGAGAAGTTGGACTTTTTTTGAAGTTTTGATGATTTAGGGGTACTGTAGGATAAGAAATTGAAATTTTAAAGGGGATCTGGGCTCAGATTTGCTTGAAATTTTGCAATCATTGTTGTTCTAGGCCAAGTTTCAATTTCTGAAAATTTGAATTTATGCTTTGGGGTTTTCAGATTTTTCTAGAATAAAAAAGAAAGGTTTTAAGGTGTGAAACTTGATTTGCTGCACTTAGATTAGACTCAAGTTTTTCCTGAATGCTTCAAATAGCCTAAAAATCAATTACTAAAAACTTTAGTACGTGCTGTTCTAAACAAGCCGAGATTTTTGACGATTTTCGCAGATAAGATATAAATAAAATACGTGCTTCAACGCAACATTTAAAACTCTTATATCTTCTTCAAATTCTGCCTGAATACGCCAAATAGCCTATGAAATTTTAGTCATTGTTTTTTGGCCCAAACGTTTCTAAAAATCCCGAAAATTCTTTGAAAACCCCCCAAAAAATTGCTATTTTCCCTGGAACCCCCAGATTTGTGTACTAATTGACCTCAATAGTCCGATATATCAAAGTTAAATTTCTTCCAACATCCTTTACAAACAATATTTTTTCCAGCATTCTTCACAATGCCTCTCAGCTATATCAAATCCGATTCCGCGCCCGTTCCCATCGTTACTCGGCCATTTCACGTCGAATTCAACAACGACCTTCAACGCTACGCCAACGAAGGACGAACTGCTTTTGTAAGATTTTTGGCGTAGCAAAAATTTTTGCAATTTGGTGACATTTTATACGAAAAATTTTGAATTTCTTCAGAGATATTTTTTTAGATTTGCGCCGAGACTGGAGCGAAAACGTCGTATACAGAGTTCCTTCATGCGGCTGACTGTGTGAACGCCTACCTAAAGTCGATTAAATTTGGCTACAAAGACGTCGCCGCGATAATTACGCCAAATTGTTGGGAGTTTCCCGCGATTTTCCTCGGTGTCACCTCAAGAGGAGGGGTTTTTAGTGGAGCGAGCCCACTTTTTACCGAGAGTAAGTTGTCAAAATGCTATTCAAACATCGGATAAATTTTCAAAGTCCCGTTTTATATCTTAAATTTCGTATTTTAGCCGAACTTTCCCAACAATTCCAAGACAATGGCTGTAAAGTCGTCTTTTGTGCCAAAGATTCCCTGCAAACGGTGCTGAGAACTCGGAAATTGTGTCCAAAGTTAAAGGTAAAATACGTTACGGATATTTCTGATACTATTATTATTTCGTAATTTTGAAAAAAAAAATCAATTTTTGACCTTATTTTAGCACATTGTTGTGATTGATAACGCACTCAGCAATCCAGCTGAAAATATCACCTCTTTCCCCGAGATTTTACGCCTCAGTCCCGCTGATCGAGAAGTTATTAGCAGCTTGAATGCAGCAAAGGACTTGATTATGCTACCGTATTCCAGTGGGACCACCGGAAAACCAAAAGGAGTGATGTTGACTCATCAGAATTGGGGGACCGTTATGCGAATAAATAATAAGTAAGTGTAGTTAAAGTTTTTAGAAGTCATTAGGACCAATCAAAAAATGAATTCCGGCGATTTTGACGACTTCCAACAGAATGCCAAAATTTTAAAAAAATGGCGGGAATTTAAAAATTTGAATGGTTTATGCAAAATTGAAAGCTTTTTATAAAATCGACCTCAGGATGGTGAAAAACCCTTCAGATCAATTTAAATCGCCTTTGATTCATTTAAAAATTTTAAAACTTGAATTTCCCGCCATTTCAGGAAATCTTGGCATTATGTTTCAAGGCCAAATTTAGCATCGGAACGACGAAATTACCTACTAGTTCGTCGATTTTTAATGCAAAAAAAAAAATAAACCAGAAAATTTTCACCTTGAAAAAATTAAAATTAAAAATTTCTTATCATCAGGCCTAGTATAATATGGATAAGATGTGGAAATTATTATTTCAACCAATTTTTTAGGCATGCCAATGAGAAGGTTTTCTCCAACTTTTCTCCCAAATGGGATTGGCGTCATGAAAACATTCTCTTTGTTCTCCCCTATTACCACGTTTATGGCTTTGGAATGCTGTGGATGTCCCTACTGAACGGCGGAACAGCCGTTGTAATGCGGAAATTTGTCCCCGAATTACTGCTAAAGACGATCCAAAACTACAGAATACGATTTGCCCCCTTAGTTCCGCCAATTATGGTGTTCATCTGCGGCTCGAAATTGGTTAAGAAATACGATCTGACTTCGCTGGAATTCATATTGAGCGCTGCCGCGCCCGCGGGCAAAGAGTTGGTCCAGGAGCTAAAGAAGGCCCTACCGTCGCTGAAGCAGGTTGGACAAGGTGAGAAATAACAAAAATATAGTGTGTAGGGGTTGTGGAAGCTATTGGAGGCGTTTTTACAAAATTGATTGTTTTCGTGGTGGGACCCAACTATGGGCCATTTTTTGATTTTGTGGCCAAGATTTTGCTGATAGCATAATTTATCGACTGTTTCCATGTACTTAACGGTGAATAACAAATTTTTTTGGTCAGAATTGATTGTTTTCGTTGCGAGACCCAGAATTTGAAAATATCGTCTCAAATTTTCCCCAAAAATCAAAAAAATTTGGTTTAATAGGCAACATCTCAAAGCCCTAAATAATCTAATTTTTCCAACATTCCAGCCTACGGACTCTCCGAAACCTCACTAGTCGCGCACTGTTCCATCTTCGGAGAAGATGTCCCCGGATCATCCGGAAAATTAGTCCCAAACTTTGAGCAAAAGATCATCGATCGAGATTCGGAGAAGATTGTGCCCTTGGGCGAAGTTGGCGAGATCTGTGTTCGCTCGCCTACAATTACCATTGGGTATTTGAATCGTCCCGTGGAGACGGCCGAGACCATCGACACTGAGGGTTGGCTGCATACTGGCGATCTGGGATATCTGGACAAGAATGGGTATACGTTTATTGTGGACCGAGCCAAGGATTTGATCAAGGTCAAGGGGCTTCAAGTGGCTCCGGCGGAGCTGGAGGACATTCTTTTGTCTCATGATAAAATTAAAGTAAGCAGGGGATTTTCAGACATGGAAAGAAGGGGAGGGGGGAGGCTTGGCCGGGCCATGGAGACTTCGAAAAGGGTCGATCTAACTGTGATCCTCACCAGGGCTAGACATGGCTCACGGGTAGAGACTTAGATCCCATTTTGCGGGCCATAGCAAGTCGGCCCTGGATGATCAGCTTCAAACTTTCTTCAACCCTGCCCGATGGAAGTCCGGCCTGTCCCCGTTAGGCTAGCTTATGTATCTCAGTAAAAAATTCCCGGTTAGGCTAGCTTATGTATCTAAGTCCGGCCTGTCCCGGTTAGGCTAGCTTATGTATCCCTTACAAAAGATAGTATTAGCTAGCTGGGCACAGCCAACCATTTATTTTGCAGGACTCTTTGTCTAATGAGTTCTGGTCCTAGCCCTGTAGACATGCCTGGTCAGGAGCTGGAGAGCCGTAAAAACAAACCCTGCCGTTCGTTTTAGCTATGTCCCCCTTTTGTATTACAGTCGATAAAATTTTATTCTTACACTATGCAAACTTCAGGACGCAGCTGTGGTTGGAATTCCCCATGCCAGATTCGGCGAAGCCCCTAAAGCATTCGTTGTAAAAACAGACTCCATGCTCACGGCACAAGAAGTCGACGAGTTTGTGTCAGGTATGTGAGAGGAGTAACTATACGCTTTTATCATCTTAGTATTGTACTTGCATATAATCCACAAAAATTTCAGCGAAATGCGCGCCATACAAACGACTGGTCGGTGGGATTGAATTTGTGAAAGAGATCCCAAAAAGTGCCACCGGAAAGATCCTACGACGACAATTGAGAGACAGCCGAGCCAAACTGTAGACGTCGAGATACTAATTATCTAATTATTTTCACATTATATTATATATCATACTGTACAAAGATTTTCCAAAATAAACATGAGATTCTATATACCAAGCTCGGAAAATTTTAGATTGCGCTTTTCAGGGACAGACAATATATTCAACAATCTTTGCGCCGGGAGAGCACACAAAAAGCGGTTAAAGAGAAAAACAGAAGAGCAGTTAAAGAGAAAACCCGTTTTGGCCTTATCTTTGCCAGTTTTGAGTGGAAAAAATTAATTTTTTAAAGGAAACATTACTGTATCCAGCAGAAATTGGTATGCAAATTTTCACGCTAAAATAGGCCAAAAACGTGTCGTATTTTTGCCGAACTTTCATCTAAAATTTCGATCGTTACTGCAAAACGTGAGCTAGGAGTCTTGCATACTTCGTAGAAAAAATCATTTAAAATTTGCCCCAAGTTTCATAAAAATCTGAGAGTCGTACATGGAGTACTTGTTCTGCAAGCCTAAGATTCCAGAAATTATCAAAAAAATATATTGTTTTACCCCCAAAAATAACAGTAAAATTATCCAGTAATTCTGACTTACATCTTCTTTTCCAGACTGATCTTTCCGCATCCACAACACCAACAACACATTTGTTTAGAACAATTTTTATATTAGTGTCTAGTACAATATAACTAGCACAATTTTTTGAAATTCCAACAACAATATGGCCTTCTCTCTCTCCAAGAATATTGTTCCGCGAATAATTTTAGGTTCTCATAAAGCCGCGCAGCTAGAAGTGGCTGCTTAATCACATATCCCGCTTTATAGCCCGCTCTTGACTGCGCGACGAAAAGACGGGATTAACCGGGATTTGTATTCAAATTAATTAATCAAGAAGATTGTCGAGAGACCGTTTTTTGATGAAAACGGATTTTCTTTTTTTCTGAAAAAAGAAGTGTTGCTTCTTGAGCAGGAAACTCCTTATGGATGACATCTAATATAACATGTTAATAATGCAATTCTTTGAGGTAAATAAAAAGATTTTTAACTATCAAATAATTCGAAAAGATAAAATAAAACGATCATTTTGGAGACTGTTATACGTAAACTTGATTTCAGCCGTTGCAACGGCGTTTCCGCCACGTAATACGATGTGATTTTTAAAAAAGGCCCTAATTTTCTCCGCCGAGAAATGGGCCCTCCGCCGACGAAAAAAATTTTTTTTAGAGATTCTGAAAACGCACGACGTCAATTTTTAGAAGCAAAAAGAAATTCGTTGATAGCTGCAAAGAAAAAAAAGATATAAGCAAATAATTTGTTTCAAATTTCTTGAAACACCCTGTAGTACTCAGATTTGCTTAAAAAATTTCAGGCATTCTCTAGACAGGCCGTAGATTCAGCCCTCAAAATTTGAGCTCATAATTTTTAGACGCGTTTGAGATATTCAATGATCTTTTTCGACGAGAGAGCACGCGAAATTCGGAGAGTCGGCCAGATGGAAGCATTTTTGGATACGTCGTCTAAATAGGCCGTATTTTCCAAAATCCGTTTTTTCTTGAATTTTGGTGCGTAACAAACTATGCCGTCGATGCAACGTATTTTACAATGCAGGTTTTATAGGAAACCAAAGGAAACGACCCCAATTTTTTGGATTATTTAATTTATTTCTACAAAAATTACATTTGGAAAAATCGTATCATGTACAAATAGTGATGGTATATCTGACAAAAATACAAAAAATCGGAAGGGAAATTAATTTTATAGGAAAATTTGAATATTGAGTAAAATTTGCATATTAAAAAAATTTACAATGATTTCAAAAATTTGCATATTTTAAAAAAATTTGCATTTTGGCAAAAAAAATCTCTGCAACGTTACAAAATCGTAAAAAAAATTTCGTTTTTGGCAATGTAGAAGTTTACAATTGTAATCGGAGATCGGTACGAAGAAAGAGGGCTATATCTGAGGCTTTGTTCCCGGCCGCATTTCACTTGCACACGTGGACGGTGGTCACGTTCCGGCACATCTCGCACACCACCTCGCAACACCATTGGAATTTACAATTACATTTCGTCACTTCCTCGCGCTCGAACGTGTTGTAGCCCCGACCGCAGCACAGCACGTCGCAGGAGGCGGGCCCGTGCGTGTTCAGGCTGCAATTTGAAGGGGTTAGAAAGGCTATGGGAGCCTCATTTTAGTGGGATTGAAAGCTGACGAATCTTTTGAGGCTTAGGCTTCGTTTCCACTAGACAAATGCAAGATTTTTTTATCCAAAATACTTTTTCCACACAAGCGTTCTTTTTCTCTAACCGCTTTCCTCAATTTGCACATACTTTTTTGTGAATAATGTTCAAGATCTTGCCTATAATCAACGACAGAAAAGTTTGTACCTTGCAAAAACAGCCGATATACTTACAGGGAAGTACTCCAAGTGCGACGCTCAGATTTTCTTTAAACTTTGCACACACGTCGGTTATGGACTAAATATCAATTCCTAAAAGTTTTAGCTCGCGCTTTGCGGGCGCCGCCGAGATATCGAACGATTTTTTCCGTCGAGAGAGCACGCTAAACGTGGAGAGCGGTCAGAGAGAAGAGCGCTTTTTGGCCATAACTTTGGCAGTTTCGTGCAGAAAATTTTGATTTTTTGTAGAAACATTATCCTTTACGGTAGAAATAGGCATGAAACTTTTCGTGCCGAAATTCGGCAAAAAGTCCTAAATTTTCGCCGACTTTCGATCTAAAAATCTCGGCTGTTTCTGCAAAGCGCGAGCTAGGATTCTCGCATATATCTTACAAGGGATCGGCAAATAGTTGCACCCTGCTTTCTTAACGAAACATATATCATTTGAAAGAGCATTAAAAATAGTGTACAATGCAAAAAAAATTAGCTGCCCAATATATGTTTGGGCAAAGTTACGGCCGTTTTATGAAAGGGGTCATATGCGGCCAAAACGCCGGTTTCTTATATTACAGTAGTCCTAGCGGCCTGAAATCGTTTTCATTAATTTCTTAGCATCCCAAAACGTCTATCACGGACGTTTTATGGATTTACTATTCCTCGGTTATGAGTTATTAGAAATTACTGCGAGTTACAAAAAATTGTAAATAAAACTAGGTTAATGGGAAAATTGAAGCAAAAAGCTTTGTAAATACATTTATATGATCATCGTGGTCATTCACAAACAAAAATCTCAAAATCAAAAATTTTGTATGTCCTAGCCTTACCAACGATTAGTCCACTATGTCAGCAATAGCGTTTTTAGCCGATTTTGCAATTTTCTCGTGGTATTTTTTCGAAAAAATTTATTTATATGTCCTTGTAAATTGAATTATCGTCTAGTAATTATAATCGGTCAGGCTACTGGCATGACACCCATACGATAGTGGCAACCCCACTCTCATCACCATCAAGTTGGTGGTCGTTTCGAAAAAAACCAAAAACTCCCAAAAATTCCGTAAATATGGATTTTGTCTGTGAAGAAACAAAAATTGTAAAAAAATGTCAACATACCACGGTTTTGTGGTACATAAGAGACGAAATGCAAAAAACTTGCAGAGCCCGGGTTCGAAACCGCGACTTGTTGCGCCGGAAGTAGGCTCACTACCACTCGGCTAACTGGACACAACTTCGTTGCAATTCGAAGAGCTTATAAAGTGAGACAGAAATTAAGCTAAAATCTGTATTTTGGCCATAACTTTGCCCAAACATATATTGGGCAGCTAATTTTTTTTGCGCTGTGTATTATTTTTAACGCTCTTTCAAATGATATAGGTTTTGTTAAGAAAGCAGGGTGCAACTATTTGCCGATCCCTTGTTAGACAAAATTATTCTAAATTTGTGCCAAGTTTTATCGAAATGTGAGCGTCGCACTTGGAGTACTTCCCCTGTTAGTACTTCTTTAGCACAGAGAGTACGCAAAATGAGGAGGGTCGGCCAGACAAAAAAACCCGTTTTTTGGCCTTATCTTTGTCAGTTTCGTGCGGAAAAAATTGATTTTTTTCGACAAGGATCACCCTAGGAATAATTACAAAATTTTTCATGCCAAAGTTCACAAAAAAAGTGTAAAATTTTTTCCAATTTTTGGTGTAAAAATCTCGGATTTTCCTCCAAATTAAGAGTCACAAATCTTCATATATCCTGGAAAACTCTAACTAAAAGTTTCGTTGAAATTTCAGCAAAACAAAAACCCTCAAATTTAAGCGATCATTCAACTTACAGACACTCCCGTCCCGCCGTTCCCAGCGTCCCCTCGTTCTTGTCGCTCACACAATAGTCGGGGCTGTCGTCCAGGTAGACCAAGTCGTACAAGCTGCGGTTCTTCTTTTTGTGCAGGTTCCGCTTTTGTTTCTCCGCATCCTCGAACTGCATATTACCGCGGGAATTGATTTGAATCCTGCGAGCGGAGCGATACTTGGCGGTGAGGAGATTCCCGACGTCCGTCACGGAAGGCAGCTGCATCCAGCAGGTCTTCAGATTGCACGACCCGCTCACTCCATGGCATTTACATTTGGGCTTGGTGTGGCGTTTGAGGATCTGGAAAATTGGAGATGTAAAAAACTGTCTAAAGGATCATTTTTAAAATGGGATTTTTGGGTAAAATACGGCAGAAGAAAACATAAAAATGTGACAATTAGATTTTACAGAAACTTGTCACAACTTGGATTAATTTTTTTCGGGACGCATGCTAGATTCTTAGCTCGCGCTTTGCAGAAACAACCGAGATTTTTACCCCGAAAATTGGCGAAAATCCAAATTTTTTTTTGCGAATTTTGGCATGAAAAATTTCATAATTATTTCTACTTCAGACAGTAATGTTTCCACAAAAAATCAATTTTTTCCACGCAAAACTGGCAAAGATATGGCCCAAAAATAATTTTGTCTGGCCGCTCTCCGCGTTTCGCGCAATCTCTCGGCCGCAAAGATCGTTGAATAACTTGGCTGGCCTTGCAAATCGCAAGCTAAAAATTTCAGGAATTTTATGTGGCCTATTGACAAAATGCTGGGTAAAATACGGAGTCACAATGAGAGAGAGCATTTTTTTGCAAATTTTTATATTTTTATTTCCGAAAAATACGGACTATTTTTTTGAGAAATTTTGTTAAAAAATCAAATGTCAATTCGTGAAAACTGAAAAAAATAAAATTTTTTAGGACCCTACCTTTCTGCCAACCTCATTATTCCAGCGATTCATTAGGGCTCGGCCCCGGTTTTCGGCTCTTTTGGCGTTCTCTTCCTTCTCTCGGACATCAATGAAGTTTCTAAAAAGATTTGTTAAATTTTTGTAATGTTAGTGCTGAAATTGAAGACAATTTTTTGGCCAAGATATATAATCATAAAATTTGTAAAATACGGAGCGGAAAATTATTTAGTTTTTTTTATTTTGGCAAAATTTATTCTGAAAAATAGATATTTTTTTTACTTTCAAAAAATCAATGATGACTCAAAAATTTTTTTGTATCTTCCAGCCTTGAGAATAAAATTTCAAACTCCGTTTTCCCCACTTTTCATTCCAACCAATCTAAAAAGATTACCTGGCAAATTTATATCCATAATCCACATTGTCCCCGCAGCCTCCCCAGCCAAACTCCTGCTTCAAATCATCGGGTTTCGGGCTCTGCGAGCATCCGCAGCTCTTCAGCATCCCCAACTTGCATCTGCGGCCAATTTCGTGCGTCACACCGGCGGACAGCATGGCGTAGGTGAAGGCGGCTTCTCGAGTGCCGTATTTGTGAACGGGACCGATGATTCCGGCTTCCGGAGGCGTGGAGCAGTTCCATTTTTGGTAGCGGAATTGTGATTCGCATTCCTGCAAAAATTTTGACGTAATTTGATGAATTTTGTGGTTGCACGGTGCCGATTTAAATTTTGGGCTGGGCGCAGCTCGCGGATTCGAAAAAAGTTCAAATAGAGTGTGCAAAAGTTCATAAAAGGTCATTACGGAAACAGTAAAAATACTTTTTTACGATATTATCAATGACGCTGAAAATTGAGACAATTTCAACGTTTAACTAGGGCGCAGCTCGCGGACTTGAAAATGCAATAAGATAAGAACTTTTATTGGCAAAAGATGACAGAAAACGAGTAGCAAAAAAAATGTAAAATGCGACAAGCACCGTTGAGCCGTTGATTTTGAAGCAAAAGGCGTAATATAAATTAATCCTAGGGCGCAGCTTGCAAATATTTTTAATTGAAAAATTGGATGGCTGAATTATACAACATCAAAAAAATAGACGTAAAATAAAAAGGCAAATGTTGAACGACCCGAAAATCTATGTCAACGATAAGGAAAAAAAGGATAGGGCGCAGCCTGCGGACCAAAGATTTCGTATATTTTGTATTTTCAAGCTAGAAAAAAAGTCAGAAAACTCACCCGAATCGCTTCTCTGGCTCCAGCTCCGACTGCTGGCATGTGGTCCTTGAAAAGCTCACAAATATGCCGCTGGCCGGGCGACAGGCCCGCCAGCTCCAAACATGGCGGCGGTCGGACTGCACTGCTCGCCAACAGATTGGACGCACTGAGCTGGGCAACTGATGACCTAAGATAAGTAAAATTAAATAAAAATTTATTTAATTTTAATTTTTTTATTTTTCAAAATGAAAAATTTGTATGAAATGGCGTATTTTACAAAAAAAAAACAAAATTTACTAACTAAAGAAGTACCCCAAGTGCGACGCTCAGATTTTCTTTAAATTTTGCACACGCGTCGGGAATAGACCAAATATCAATTCCTGAAAGTTTTAGCTCGCGCTTTGCGGGCGCCGCCGAGATATTGAACGATCTTTGCCGCCGAGAGAGCACGCTAAACGTGGAGAGCGGTCAGAGAGAAAAGCGCTTTTTGGCCATAACTTTGGCAGTTTCGCGCGGAAAAATTTGATTTTTTGTAGAAACGTTATCCTTTACAGTTGAAATAGGCATGAAACTTTTCGTGCTGAAATTCGGCAAAAAGTCCTAAATGTTCGCCGACCTTCGATCTAAAAATCTCGGTTGTTTCTGCAAAGCGCGAGCTAGGATTCTCGCATATATCTTAGAAAAAATTATTCTAAATTTGTGCCAACTTTCATCAAAATCTGAGCGTCGCACTTGGAGTGCTTCCCCTGTAAATTCGCTAAAATGAAATATTATTCTTACCACCATGAGACATCCATAACCCCTTCAACATTGCTGTGAAACAAGGTAATGCCTATTAGTAGTATTGGGACATTCCATAATGCCTTGGCCATTATCTTGGCCCCAAAAATTGGACCAACTTCACAGGACTGGTTCGGCTTGGGCAAATCGAAAATTGAAGGGTAAAATACGCCTAAAATAAAGCAAAAAAAAAATAAAAATTTCAGGGAAAATATTGAAAAATTAAAAAATTTTTAAATTTCAAAAAAATTACAAAGGATCAAGTTGTATTTCACCCCTAAAATACGCCTAAATCCCCCTCAAAAATTCGATTTTTTTTTGTTATTATTTTGCTCCACGCTTATTACGGAAATTAAAAACACGCGCCAATTTCTCCCCCAGCTATTCCCCCAAATGCCCTGAAGGCAAAACAGGTGAAAACACGCAAGCCCGTTGTTGCTGCGCCAGAAGAGAAATCGAGAGCTGGACCGAATGTGTTTGCTTAATAATGGGGCCGAGGGATGGGGGATGATAAGAGTTATCGATGTCGCCACACATTTGCTACAAGAAACTTGACCCAGCCGCGACAATTTTTTTTTGGGAGGACCGGGGTTGATAGGGCAGGTGATAAAATGAGGAATGGGTAATGAAAATAAGAGGGGAAAGGAATTGGAGGCCCAGTTTTTGAATTTCGCGGTGAGGGAAAGAGTTGACTCAAAATGGGTCAAGTGTTTCTTTTTGGATAAACAAGGTCATAGAGTGGTGGTACAATGTGGATATTATATATAGTAAATGAGAAATGAGTAATAAAAGTAACAAAAAATGAAAAAAAATTTAGATTGCGGCATAATCTTTATGTTTATTGGCGGGGAAAAGACTTGACTCAAAATGAGTCATGTTTGGTTTTTTTCGTTATAACGGGTAATAAAACAAAGAATAACTGATGGAAATGAGTGAAAAATAAACATCACACCTCGATTTTTTAATTTGCATAACGAGGAGAACGCTTGACTCAAAAATGGGACAAGTGTTTCTTTTTTGAAAATAATGCTGTAATAGCCGCTAAGAGGCAAAAAAAGGCTTGCTAAACACAATTTTGTTAATTTTATGGACGATGGCCAGAGATTATGCCGATTTTTGGTAAATAAAATACGAAAAAATACCGAATTTGAGGCAAAATCCGACCTAAAAATCCCAATAATTCTTGTCAAAATAATTGAATCTCAACTGACCCAATTTTCACTAAAATTCATCACTAAAAACATGCATAGAAATTGACCAAAAATAGACGAAAAATTCCCGCTCCCAAACCGAATCAATCGCCAACTTGGGTAATATCCAAAATCTCCAAAAAAAAGTTTAAAAAGACCTTTTAAATCACACGCTAATAACTCTCCTAATCCCGCTGATTTTCTCGAGACCTGTCGCCGTTGATCTGTCCCCCAAAAATATGATTTTGCGCTCGCTCGAAAACTTTTTTTTTCTCTCTTTTTGGGATATTTGCATAAAGGGGAAAGCCGATTAGCGCTCAAGATAAGTGCACTGTGCAAGAATTTCCAGCTCTATGGTGCGAGTAGAGTGAGGAAGAAAGAGAAAATTATGGATAAATACGACAGGGAGTAATAAAAATTTATTATAAAGTTCTGCAAGTGCGAAAGCTTAGATTTTAATGCAATTTTTTTTATTTTTTTCACAAATTTGCATGATTTTTTTTGGGATTTTTAGTCTGAAAATGATCAAAATTATAATGACAAAACAATTTTTTACGACTTCAAAAAATATTAGTCTTTTTTTCAACCGAAAAGGGCAATTTTTCTACAAAAAATCGACTATCTCCTCGAGAAATTTGCAAAGATGTATCCGAAGGGCCTTTTCTGGCTGCTCTCCACATTTCGCGCACTCTCTCGTCATCAAATCTCGTACTGGTTTTTCCGGAAAGTCGATGATTTTTTTTGGCGTTTGCACTGTGCAAAAAAAGTCGTGCGAGCGACAGCCCAAAAAAGCCTATTGCACGGTGCAAAGCGCAAGAAATTGCACAGTGCAATGAAAGCTTCTGTTTTCGCGCAGTGCTTGTCGCAAAAATCACTCCAGGGACTTTGCACTGTGTGAAAAAAGTCAAAGTACAAGGGACAGCCCAAAAAAGCAAAATTGCACAGTGCAAAGAAAACATTTGTTTTCGCACAGTGCATATCGCCGATTTCAGTCCGGCGGCTTTCCGGAAGGGCTAGTATTACATAATATCTCAGTTTCTGCTGAAGAGTGCAAGTAGAATTTTTCAGCGATTGATTAGTGTCCGAGGCTAACAAGTAGGCCTGGGAACTGGACTAGACCAGTAGTTTTTTTGGCCCGGCGCTGGGCTTGCGTTTTTTGGGCCCGGTCCGGTTATAAAGGTACATGTTGGGATCAGAGATTGCCACGGCTCCGGAGTCGGCTCTTGGCTCCGGCTCAGCGCGGCTCCGGCTCCAAGGCGGGAGCCAGAGCCGGAGGCGGGAGTTTTGGGTCCGGAGCCGGTACTCCGGGCCCAAAGTCGGAGCCAGGCTTCCAGCGTTCAGAAAAGTAAAAATTTGTTAAACCAATTGCTTGAAAAATACTGTGGGGTGTGTTGCGAACGACTTGGTTCAAAAATATTGGGTGTGTCATGCGACATGGCCATCTCACAGTCAAATAGCCACTCTGCTGTTGGACTATTGTCAAGTAGTCCAGTAGTCCAAGAGCAGAGCTGACGGCTTTCAACTATGTCTTTTAGGGCCAAAAAGAATTTGAAACAACCCGGGCCACCAATACCGAAATGGCCCGGCCTGAGAGCCGTCTCGATCTTCAAAGCATGCCTTTATCAAGCTGACTGTTCTTATTGAACAACAAAGGGAAATCCCGAGATTTCCTTTTCTATCACCCACTTAATAATTTACCCTCAGTGGAAGAAGAATGCGGCATTGTTTTCATCCCATGATCCTAATCGTTTCCCGAAGATTATTGCGTAATAAGGAGATGGAGGGTTCCGATCCGATGGATATGTCAATATTCCAACTTTTGGAGGCAAATAAAGGTGGGCTTTTGTATAAAAGGATTTCGAGTTGAGAGGGTCAGAAATACAATTATTATGCAGTCTGGGTGCTATAAGATGTGTAAATTTTTCGGAAAAAAATTTTAAAAATAAAAAAATTGAAAAAATTCAAAATAAAATTTCTGATGTTGCAGCGCTCGGATTTTTTTAAAATTTTACAGGTATGCTTTTCAAAGGCCAGATATTAATCGCTGAAAATTTTAGCTCATCATTTGTTAGGGCGGCCGAGAAATTCAACGATCTTTTTCGACGAGAGAGTATGCAAAATGCGGAGAGCGGCCAGAAAAAATCAATTTTTTGACTGTTTCTTTGTGGATTTTGCGCGGAAAACAATGATTTTTTGTCGAAAAATTTTTTACGATATCCTTGAAACAGAATGCCAATTTTTGAAAAAAAAAACTGAAAAAAAAATTTTTTTTGGAATGTTCCTCATTTTTCGCCCTAAAAATCCCGATAAATTCTGCAAAACGCGTGCTAATTATCTCGAATAATTCTCAAAGCCAAGTAAAATTTTTTATTTTCTCCAAAAATTACGCCAAAGTTACAATTTTAGCCACCAAAGTGTTATAAAAATAGGAGACGGTCGTTCGGCGGAATGCCCCGAAGGCACGAATAATTTGCCGCAGAACAAAGCGCGTCTTAAATCTCGGCGGGTGCCAGAACAATTATCTCGCCGTAATGGCCCGCTTAATTGGCCTTATAATGCACTTCAAATTGTTGGACAAACTTTTCGGAGTGCGAAATTGCGTTTTTTCCAGGCGAAGAAAATAGCCGGCTAATGTTGCAAAGCGAAAATTTAAGCGAGCTGAAGAAGTTGAGGGGATGAGAAATGGGATTAGAATTTGAAAATAAGGGAAAATATACGAAAAATTTGATAATCGACTTGATTTCGGCGACGCACTGTGCGAAAACAAAAGTTTTCTTTGCACTGTGCGATTTCTCGCTTTTTGCACTGTGCAGTAGGTTTTTTTGTCGCTCGCACCCTGACATTTTTCGCGCAGCGCAAACGCCAAAAATCAGTCCAGTGACTTTCCCGAAGGTCTAGTATTGGACAGAAAACCTAGCGCACAGCGTTCCGAACATTTTTTCCGCCGCCGATCGGTGTCGAAAAAAGGAAAAAATAAAAAGTAGTGCTTACAAGTCGGTGTATATTTGGCTAGTAGCAATAGATGTAACAAAACTAAAAAATGGCTGTTAGACTATAAGACGTTGCCATTCCACGTATTCAAACTACGTCATCATACCTTATGTTAATGTTGAGAAAATAATGATCGAAGAGTATTAAAAATTCAACCTTCAGGTAAAAAAAAGTGTACCTTCCAACCCTTAAGCACACAATTTTTTTTCTTCCATCGTGTGCAGAATTTCAAGAGCTACAACATAGACAGATTCAATAATTTTCCTGGGCGTTTAAACTTAGTTATGACTCAAAACAGCCTAATCTTGGTAATTTTGGCCATTTTTTGCACTTTTTTTTCTTATTTGCACTTTAAGACTAAAAAGTGAAGATATTCTATATAAAATGGATTTCATGATCATTTTGGTCATCCATGCCAAATTTCAACTTTCTCTGACACTCCAGAGTCGTTGAATACGAACGTCAACATGGAAACTTCGTATCTTCAATGAAAATGAAAATGAAAAGAAAACTCCTTTGGTTCCCAATCACTCCAGTTACTTTGCGAACGGACTATTACAAGCCTTGAAAATACTCTCAGAATTTAATGAAACTTATCACAAATTTAAAGTAATGTTTTCTAAGACGTATGTAGAATTATTATCAACTTGCGCTTTGCAGAAAAAACCGAAGTTTTTTTTGTCCAAAAGTTGGCAAAAAAATCAAAATTTATTTTTTTGAGTTTTGGCCTGAAAAATTTCTGCCGGATTTCGACCAAGGAGCACTACGTTTCCATAAAAAAAAATAAAAATTTTCTGACCGCTCTCCGAACTTTGCAAACTATCTCTTCGGTAAAGGTAATTAGCAAGGTTCAAAGTCAAAAAATTCATTGGTTTAAAATGGGTTAGTTCTACAGAGATTTAGGTGTAAAAACTCTTGGGACTTCTGAAATTCTTTGTCATGGAGAGGTTTTGTTGTATTAGAGTTTGTTATGCAGAGGTTCTACTTTAAACTTTAAACTGTTGTTCCCTGAAGATGACGTAAGACTTGTTGTGCCAAACGTCTGGCCAACCAATGTGTTGCGTCATATAGCAGACGTGTGAAAACAGGGGCATAATACAGAATTACAGCACATTTCCAAAGTCCCAGGAGTCAATTTTACTTTGAAAGTAACCGGTAAATCATTTAAAAAATAATTCTTTGGACACCCTCCACCTTACAAAGAATACATAAAGTTTGAAGCTCAGATTCTCTTTTGAACCTCTATCTAATCCCAAAAATGACGTCACGTTTGTTCAATCAAACTAATAAGCGCACAATAAAATAATATCCGAAAATGAAATGGATTGGGAATGGGAGAGGAAGAGGGGGACCCGATAAAAACGATATGTTTGGACTGAGGGCCGAGGAGTGATTGATTCGGCCCGCCTGGGCCCGTTAATTAATCCCCCCACGACACTTTGATTAATGTGTCATCGGCCCCCAACCGTTAAAGCACCGTTAAAGACGAGTTGGAGCGAAAATTCAAGGTAAATTTGGAAGAATGGAGAAAAGACTGGAGAAGCATGGGTAAGGTTGGAAATTCGACCGTGACAAGAAAATGTGACGGCAGAGTGACTTCAAATTTTCAACATATAATCTTGAGAAGATGAGTTTTAATCACTGGAAATTTTAGCCCACGTTTAGCAAGGGAATTTGAAATATCTGGCGATATTTACAGACACTATGGGAAATGAGGAGAGTCGGTCAAACAGAAATTGACCAGTAAAAGAGCCAGGTTTTCGCTGTGTGAAAGCATTTTAATTAGTTTTTTTAATAGGGAAATAACTTTTTACCTTCTGTCTGCGCTAAATCTACGAGAGAAACACTTGACCCAAAATGAGTCAAGTCTTTCTCTTGGTTCAAAATTTTGAGTGAAAAATTGAAATTCCCAAGATTTCTTATTTTTTGAGCTAAATTTACATAAATTGACCTTAAAAGTCGAATAACCACAATTTTTCCCCAAAAATCCGGAATTCTCAAGGATATTCAAATTTTGGAGAGCTCAAAAATCCAAATTGTTCTCAGTCCTGTGTGTGAGTGAGTGTCAACCGGTCGGTTTCTCGTCTCTTGGTTCCAATCCCGGCTATTTGGAGATCAAGTAAGGATTACGGTAGTTTTCGTGGTGGAACCCAGAATTTATATCCTTAATTTTGAAAAAATGTGATAGGTGACCTATCAAAGTAACAGATTTACTCTATTGGTTTACAGAATGTTTAAATCCATCGTTTTCCTCATCTTCCTTATCGCTCTCGCCACTGCCGAGGATGTGCATGGTCGTTGTGAGCGCTATTCCAAGGCCTTTGCGGAAGCTTTGGAGGGGCATGCCCAGTCTGAGGAAGAGCGCAATTTCGTGGTAAACGAAGAGTACAGTAGTGCTATGGCTTATGTGGGTTTTAATTTTTGCATTTTAAATTTTTTCGTTGAAAAGATTTTTGCAAATCCCATAGATAAAGAGTAATTTTTAGAATGTAAAACTCCTTTTTTATATTTATTAAACCCTATTCTTCGCCTTTCTACCTTTCATTCCGCCTAATTTTGCATTTGTGGCAGAGGGGAAGACTTGACCCAACTTGGGTCAAGTCTTCCCCTCGTTACGAAAGAATCTCAGCAAATCGCGTGAGCCCGTTTGGGAGTAAAATACGATAATTCATCGTCTTATTTTTTTAGTGCCGCAAACATGGACTCTGTGAAACGCCCTGCTACCGTGAGATCTTCACCTGTCTGGATGCCCAAAGAATCTTCGACTTTGTCATCCCCAAACTGAACGAATGCTGCAAAAAGTGCCACGGCATAAAAACCTAAGCCCTCTTTTATTTTTGATAAATGTTTGTATTCGAAATGGTCGGGCTCATTCCAGGGGAACACTTGACTCGGTCTGGGTCAAGTTTTTCTCTCATTACTGAAAACGCAAAAAACGGGCATCCAAGTGCACCATCGCAATGTACATCGCTAATATGCAAAAAACATGACAAGATTACATAATTTACGGCATGAAAATCTAAAAAAAATCAACTTTTTTTCAGAATTTTTTGGGAAAGAAATTCTCAAAATCTCCACTACGTGAGACGCGGCTTTTAATTCACTCACGCTCCCGGAACATTCATTTCCCACAAATTTTCTCCAAAAAATCCGGAGTTCTCAAGGATATTCAAATTTCGGAGACCTCAAGATACGAAATCCTAGTTGTAGCTTAGTCCTGTGTGTGAGTGAGTTTCAACCGGTCGGATTCTCGTTTCTTGGTTCCAATCCCGGCATATTTGGAGATCAAGTAAGGATTACGGTAGTTTTCGTGGCGGGACCCAGAATTTATATTCTTAATTTTGCAAAAATGGGATAGAGATTTTTCCAGTAAAAATGGGTTGAGGATTTCCGGTTGAGGGAGCAAATTTACTCTATCAAATTTACAGAATGTTCAAATCGATCGCTTTCCTCACCTTCCTTATCGCTCTCGCCGCTTCCATAAAAATTTGTCCCTACTCCGACGACTTCATGGAAACCTTACCAAAGGTTGTCAAAGATGAGAAAAGGCGCCATATCGTGGTCGACAAAGAGTACAAGAAGTTCAAGGATTTTGTGAGCCCTCATTTACTTAACTTTTTTCGTTGAAAAATCAATTTACACAATATTATAGGGTAATATATGGTATGTGAAAGTTTTTTTCTATCTTTTATGAACTCTATTTTTTGCTTTGCTAGCTTTTATTCCACCTAATTTTGCATTTGCGACGGAGGGGAAGACTTGACCCTAATTGGGTCAAGTGTTCTCCTCATCACCAAAATATCTCAAAAACCGGGTAAAGCCCAGCCCTACCAAAAAACTAGGGTAGAATAGGATAACTAATCATTTTATTCTTTAGTGCCTCCGCCATGGAACGTGTGATACGCTCTGCTACCACGATATCTTGGCCTGTCTGGATTTCCAAAGAGTCTCCGACTTTGTCAACCCAGGACTGGACTTTTTATGCTGTTATACGTGCGGCGGAAGAGCCTAGGCCCGTTTTGCTATCCTTGATAAATATTTGTATTTGAAATGCTCATTCTCATTCCAGGGGAACACTTGACTCATTCTGGGTCAAGTCTTCCTCTCATTACTGGACTTGCTTCCAAATAGAAAAACTGCAAAAGCATTGTAAAATACGACTATTAGAAAAAAGTAATCCTCGCCGAACCACCAAAATATTCAGAAAATAAACAGAAAAATCATTCAAATTTATTACTCATAACATCGATGACGTAACGTGACAATATCTGCAGAAACGTTTTCAATTTCAAATTCCAACTGGAAAGAGATGATCGACAAGACAGTTAACAGTATTTACAAGGATTGAGCAGAGCGCTTCGATGTGGGGCGAACAAAAACAATGTTTATTTATTATTAAAACCCGCGTAAATCGTCGTGGAAAACCGTTTACAACGTTGTCTTGGCATAGAAATTAGGTGTTGGGAGACAAAAAATCTTTAAAAATCAAAAAAAAAAGCAAAAAAAATCTTGCAATTTTTTACTTATAACTACCGTAATCCCCAAGCTACTGTAAAAATTTTTTCAAAAACAAAAAATTACCCATTTATCTTCGATATGATACCAAAACCTCCCTATAACAACACCTTTCACCATACCAAAACCATGCCAAAACATATCCGATTTTTGAAAAAAGTTCAAAAAACATAAAACAAATTAAAAGATGGACAAATCAACAGAATTGAGAAGAGCCGATATGTTCCAAAGGCCGGATAAATGACCGCAACTTGGATTAATTCCACAAAATTAATCCGATTTGACCTTGGACCGGGTCCATTTGATCAAAGTTGCGGGCGATCTGAAGAGGAAGATCAGTTTGGCGAACAGGTCCTCTTCCAGGATGAAGTCGCGCGCTTCACGGACGAGGTAAATGTCCTGGCAGATCTTGAGGAGGTAGTCGGGGTTCGGCATTTCCTGAATTATGACGTCGGTCGGCTCGCTGCTGATGACTGATCGCAACAAACGGGCGCCCAAGTACACCACCGCAATGTACATCGCTAATATGCTGAAAACACGACATGATTAGGTAATTTACGGCATGAAAATCGAAAAAAATCTATTTATTCAGAATTTTTTTGGGTCCCACCACGAAAACTGCCGTATCCTTGGCATTACAAAAAATTTGTCTGAAATGATTCAGAACACTCCCTAAAGGCTTAGGACGACTTGTAATCAATCGTATTCACCTTACAACACAAATTTGGGTCCCACCACGAAAACTACCGTATTCTTGGCATTCGAAAAAATTAGGTCGGGATGGCTAAACGAATAGAACAGAGTTCTCCAGACGTTAAAAATCCACATGAACTAATCGTTTACCTTTATTTTTTCACCAATTTTCATCTCAAAAACTACCGTAATCCAAAATTTTTCAAAAAATCCCAAAATTCTGTCTAAAATTCACTTACCCTCCCTGTGTGAACTTGCTGAAGATGGCTGGGAACACTCTGTCCACAAATGCGATAATCTGAACGTATTTCAAGCCGTCGTAGCCGTAATCGGTCGTTTCCGTGGGGATTCCGAAAGCGTCGAGGGTGGGGTTGGTGGCTTGTATCTTCCAGAGGAATTGTTTGTGCTGAAAATCGATGATTTATGGCTCAAACTGCTATTTAAAGTCCATGTATCGCAAAAAGAAAACTTGGTTTTTCAGATTTCAAATTTCGATAAAAATTTCAAAAAAAAAAAAAAAAAAAAAAAAATGAGTCCCAAAAATCGCTAAATTATATCCAGTTATAATCCTCATTGTCTAAACTTCCAAAAAATCGCGGTTATTTCACTTTCCCCACAAAAACCGCAAAAAACCCCCAAAATTTCAAAAAATCCCCAAAAATCATCAAAAATCCTCACATCATTCGTTCCGATCAGCTTCATTTCCAACGCCAAGTACGTCTGATTCCTTAGGCATTCCAGATCGGGTTGATTTTTGTCGCACTCGCCCTGCACGACCCTATTAATCACGTCCGCTTCTCTCAACTGGCCTTCATTCGGGACGACGAGGAAATAGGGGATTGCGGCTGGTACTTTTACAGTTTTGGGGGTGTCAGCGGTGCGGTTGGCCTTGTCAATAGCATCCACCAAATCAGCAGCAAAGTCTTTGACATTGATTTGATAGTCATTCGAGTGTATCGAGGGTTCTTTTTCCTTGTTCACTCGGATCCTTGTGAATTCCAGATGGATGTTCAAGAACAAGGTTTTGTTGCGCTTCACGACCATTTCCAGTTCCTTGACCATAGCGTCCATGGATTCCTGTGAGATTGGCCACCAAACATCGGACTCGGGGCGCAATTTAATGCGATAAATATCCTCGCCTTCGTAGTCCTTGGTGAAGGAGATTGCGCGTCGCGTGCGCTCGGTGGCGTTGTTCTTTCCGAGGGCCTCGATGTGGCTGAGCAAACTGTTGCGGGCGCTGCCCAACTCGACCATGTCGACGCCTTGTGAGGTCATCTGATAAAGGGGTGGGAAGCCCTCCAAGCTGACGTGCATCTTCATGTTCTGCGGGGTCAAGTGCTGCCCGATTCGGTTGAGGAGGGCGAACGCGAGCAGCGGGCTCAACATTAGGATGATGACGCCAAAAATTCCGGGGATTCCGTACATGTATTTGATCATTTTGCCGCGCGGAATGCCTCGAGGAACGGGGAAATTTTGCTCCAAAACTCGGCCACATTTGATGATGTAGATCTTGGCGTAGAACATTTCCATCTTGATGAAATCAAAGATGGGCATTGTCGTGTCCGTCCAGGTCCAGTCGATCATCGTGCGCAGCTCGAAAACGAAGGGCAGCATCATGAAAACGTAGAAAAGTCCGTAATTTATCATGCCGTACGAGTGGGTGAGCAGATTTCCGGTGCAAAGTCGAGGATAGCCGTTGCGCAATTGCCACGCACTGACCAGGATTTGCAGACACTTCACCATGTAGAAGAACTGGGCTGGCTTATTTTCCACTACTTTTCTGGAAATAATATTCATAATTTTAAGTCGGCAGCCTGCGCCCTACATTACAAAAATCTCTCAAATTCACTTTTCAAACCTCTGAATTAAATTCCCATTAAAACTAAACGCTTTTGAAACCCATTTCCATGTTTTTTATCACGAAATTCAACAATTTCATATCGGCAGCTCGCGCCCTATGATTCCCCAAAATACAAAAAAATGACTTAAAATTTACTGAATTCAATTAGAGCTTTACAAATCGCTTTACCAACTTATGTTTACCCTATACCAAGCCATTTCCTCATCTTTTAAATGTGGCAGCTCGCGCCCTCACTTCATTTCCAAATTCAAATAACTCACTTTCTCGTGATGATTGGGAGTAGGATCATGACCCAAATGTGCAAGAATGCGATGAGGAAGACATGATAAATCAGCTTCCAGAACACCGCCTTTCTCAGGTACAGGGCGCGTTCAATGATGATCATGGTGAAGGAGGCGAAAAGCATCACCACAAACATCAGCGGGACTCGAGAGCTCTGGAAATGCATTCGTTAACTCAATAAATGATTGAATTTGTAAAATACGCAAGCTCTTCTAGATCTTTCATATCAAAACTAAAAAAATTATATTCACCATGAGTAATATCAAAAATTCTCGCATGTTCAATATTGACTATTAAAAATACCCTAATCCATTCTTCATTCCCCCAATCTTCCAATAAGTCCACTTACATCCAACAAACTCAATTGTTCTTGCGACAATTCACCAAAAGATTGATATTGGAAGGTCAAGATCAGGATGCAGAAAATGTCGAGGAAGAAGATGTATGGGTAGAAATCTCTGATATACCTGATCCGTGGGTATAATAGAGCATCAAAGAATCTTCCAATCGCGCTTGAGGGCTCTTTTCGGGCTTCCTTTTCTCTTTCTTCTTCATTTTCAATTTGACTGTCCGAGAGGTCAAGTTTAATCTGAAAAAATCCGTATTTCAAAATGAAAACAAAAAGTTTTCGTATCGTTGTTAATTACATTTAGTCTTGAAGGCTATATAAACCATAATAGTTTTCAATTTACACGTCATTTTCAATGATAAAAACAAAAATTTTAAAAAATTCAAAAAATATTAGAATTCCGTAAAATTTTCGTATAAAATGTCCCCTAACTAGCAAAATATCCCCGTTAAAGCAATATAAACAACTAGGCTACTCTTTAACCTCTATATTTCCTACTATTTCAGCTTATTTTATCATTTACAACCCTTTATAAAACCATAAAAATAAAAAATTTCCCAATTTTCCTTAAAAAACACCCCTCGTTTTCAGCTCAATTTTCACCTTGCCCTAGGGCAGAATCCCCAACTATTTCCCAGCAATCTTTTCTCTGTTTCTCCAGCTCTCTTTTGGTCCCACATGCCTTATCCAAATCGAAGACTGGCGGGATTGGCGAGCCATTTCTTTTTGGGGATCCATTCTCATCGACAAAAGTTTCGGCGGTATTTGCGTCCTTCCAGAGGCCGATCCTCCTCAGCATGTACCTGTGCGCGAACAGGGCGACTAGTAGCGCCACATCCACAACTGAGAAGTAGTTTCGTTGCTGGACGCCGAGCAAATGATGCAATTCCCACCATTCCGTGTTGGTATTCGTGGTGGACGGATTGGCGATAAAGCCGAATTGGCACACAAATTTCACAATGATAACCAGCTCCGTGTACAAAATCATGCAGATCCAGAAGAACTTGGGTGGTCGGGGGTTGCAGAGGGAGCCCCAAAGGAAGACCATCAAGGGCAATGGGAGGGTGATTAGGCCTCCGCAGTAGGCATGGGCCCAGACCGCGAAAATATAGCAGACAATGTGCGTGTAGGCGGTGATAAAGCTGACGTAGGAGATGACAAACTTCGTGACGACGTGTCGTTGCTCCCAGCGGGCTTGGGCTTCTTCTTCGACGCGACCGACGTCTTCGGCCGACGCCACGATCTGAAGGCCGCGCTTTTTCCACTCGGCGCGGAGGTTCTGGGTGGTCTGATCGGCGTCGTAGAGGACCTGGAATCATTCAAGATAATACAGACACCATAAGGATTTGATTGTTTTGTTTTTTGGGTCTGTGGAGGTTTTGGAACTGGGAGGATTGGGGGAAAGACGATTGGGGAACCGAAAATTATTATTTTTCTTCGATGCAAGTGTGAAATTAGGATAATCGAGGGTGGTGATTTCGAAAATGACATTCATTTTTTTTGATCTTTACTTTTTTCCTTAAGTAGTACTGTAAAGTAGTAATTTTTTTAATTTTTTCATAAATACTCGATTTAGGGGGTTTCGATGGTGCTGATTTCGAAAATCTAATTCATTTTTTCCGTCTTGAAATCAGCACCATCAAAAACCCCAAATCGAGTATTAATGAAAAAAAAATTCAAAAAATTACTACTTTACAGTACTACTTAAGGAAAAAAGTAACTATCAAAAAAAAATGAATGTCATTTTCGAAATCAGCGCCCTCGATTATCCTAATTTCACACTTGCATGGAAGAAAAATAATACTTTTCGGTTTCCCCAATCGTCCCAATTCCAAGACATCCACAGATCAACAAAAATAAAAAAATGCAAAATCAAACCCTGTCTCACGTCAAAAAAAAAAATCTTTCAGAAAATTGAAAAAAAAACAATGAATCTCGGATCATTGATTTTTTGCGAAGTACCACAGAATTATCGAGATAGAAAAATTATTTTTCTCTTCGAAAAAACATTTTTCACGAAAAAAAACTTTTTCTCTGGGAAAGTTTTCTTTTATGACTCGATAATTCAGCGACATTTCGTCAAAAATCAATGATCCGAGATTCCCTGTTTTTCACTTTTTCTTTGACGTGTGTCTTACCTCAGCCATGGTGTGCTTCAACCGAATCTTCTCCTTGTCCAGCACATACGCCACATAGCGATGTTCCCTCGAGTACCGGTTGAAGAAGGCCGAGAGCCAATGCAGGATGGCCGTTAATATTTTTAACAGGAATTTCAGAGCCGAATATAAATAATCGACCATCTGTTTGGGTGGTTTCTCTTCTTCCTCGCTCTCCGATTCTGATGTTGAAGGTTCGGATGGGGTTCGGACTCTGAGTTCGAGGCCCTCCTGGGTTTCCCGGAGGTCCTCCTTGCTGGCGGAGCTGGTCGGTTTGTCGGCGGCTCGATCGATGCGTTCCTTTTGTTCTTTCAGCTTCTGAATTTTCTTCTTCATTCCTTCGGGGTCCTCTCTGACCGCTTCGATCATTCTTTTCTCTTCATCAATGATTTTCTCGGCCTCCGCGACGCGATCCAGCGTGCCTTGGAGGTCCATGTCTTTGCTGACTGCGGTGTGGATCAATTGCGCTGGGTCCAGCTTGCCCTGGGGTTGGCCTAGGACTTCGGGAACATATTGTTCTTCAGGCGTGGTGACGTCTTCCGAATGCGGGTCATAGTTGAACATGTAGAAGTCGCCGGCTCGTTTGGCTGAAAGCGAATCATTATTAACTCCATAGCTTCAAATTAAAACAGTTTTTGGTTTCATTAGGCAATGAAAATTAAAAGTTATGACCCCAAAAAGACAAGGTGTCTAAATCAACATAAAATAAGCAACATTTTGGCGAAGATCTCACAGATATCCCTTTAAAACACCCGAAACCCCCGGTTAATCAAGCTAGAATCACATGTTAGTCAAGCTAGGCGCCGATCTAACCCAAATGGTACGATTCTCTTCGCTGCATTCGAGGATAATGCCCCAGGGTATGGACAATTTTCCGTCTCTGATCTGAGCGGATACTGTCCGACCTCGGGTCGTATGTTGGCAACGGGTCATCCAGATCTTCTGTGGCCGCAATATGACAGCACCGATCGCAGTTTAGGCCTTCACATCCACCAGTTTCCACCTCATGTTTCCATTGGAGCAGTTCGGCGTTGGTGGGGTAGTCCAGAAGCCGGCCGTCCACCACTCGTTTTGCTTCAGAGGGAAAAGAAATCGAATTCATTTGCATTGTGACCAATAATTTTTTAATTATGGGGGACAATGCAAATATTTTTTGGACAACATTATCTTACACATCAAATTGGGGAAAAATAAAAAAATTTGGTAAAACAAAGTTAAAAAAATAAAGCGACACCAACACCCGGAAAATCAACATCACATAGGACTGTAGTTATATCACCTTTCACCAAAATTAGTAAAAATTTTTAAAAAAAAATTTGAAATTTTGAAAAAAATCTCAAAAATCGTAAATCTCAGGTCTTCAAATACAATTTTCATAATAAAAAAATCAAATTCAAGTCTTTACCAACCATGTACTACCATAATCTCCCCAAAAACTATCTAAATTTCCCCAAAAAATCAAACTTTTTATCTTATCCATGACAACACCTACCTTGAGCATAAGTTTCGGGTACATAATAATTCTTGCCGGCTGTTTTGAACTGCTCCTCATACTGCCTTCGAATTTCCTTCGCTCTGACCGCGATTTCCTTGAACTTTTTGACCTGATTTTGATACTGTTCCCTCATCTGTTTATCGACCAGTTGATTGATCAAAATCGCGCCTCGGCTGGCTTGAATGATCTCGCAGCGGAAGTCGACCATGCACCGTTGGAAGAAGTACGAATGGAAGATGCGGATTTGGAAGACGAGGAAGATGAAGGCCCAGGTGTCGAAGCCGATCCGGGTCTCGGTTTCTTGGACCGGGCAGCCGGTTTCGTAGTTGCCGAGCCGTTCGCGCATCTCCTCGTCCACGCACACAATGCTGAACAGTTGGCGGACGGGGCAGAGGTTTTGCTTGTCCATTTCGCCGACCCAAACGCACGCGATCACCTGAGAAATGAAGGTTATATTAATTATATTATTTTAGGTACCTAAATTCCAAAAAAAAAGCTCAAAAATAATCCAAATCATAACCAAAAAGATGCAATATATCTTTAAAAATTTGTATAATGAAGGGTCAAGTCCCTAGTCATCAATAAAGATCAAAACTAAAAGAAAAATTTTTTCAAAAAATCTTCAAAAATTGAGTTTTGAAAATTCCAAAAAAAAGCTCAAAAATAGCCCAAAACATAACTAAAAAGATGCAATATACATTTTAAAATTTGCAAAATTTAAGGACAAGTCTCTAGTCATCAATAAAGATCAAAATTGAAAGAAATTTTTTTTCAAAAAATCTTCAAAAATTGAGTTTTGAAAATTCCAAAAAAAAAGCTCAAAAATAGCCCAAATCAAAACTAAAAAGATGCAATATATCTTTAAAAATTTGTATAATGAAAGGACAAGTCTCTAGTCATCGATAAAGGCCAATATTTAAAAAAAAAATTTCAAAAAATCTTCAAAAATTGAAAATTTTCGACTTCAAAAATTTTACCAAAACCCCTCAAAGCCACTTTCAAATTTAATCCAAACCCCTATTACACCTTACAAAATTCATTTCCTCCCTTAAACTCCCAATTCTCACCTGTAACGACACCTTCCAAAGCATTGCGACCACATTATACGCCAACAAAATGTACCATTTGCTGAGAGTTTTGCGATAATTCCGCATGATGTAGAGATTATTGCCCTGCCAAAGCATTGCGAATGCCAGCACCAGGTAGCCGAGGGCGAACAACGAGGTTCCTCCAAGGCCCGCCGCCAGAACCATGATCATTGTGAGCCAGTGGCCGTACATGAAGATGGCGATTTTAATGTAGTCCACGAAGCTCCGTTGCTCCGCCACAAAGTCATAGTGAGGGTTGTCGCGGTGGAGGATGAACTCGCCGGTTCGGTAGATGGAGTAGTTGTTTCCGGCGGGATGTTCGGCAGCTTCAATGCGGAAGGTGAATTCCTAAAAAAAAATAAAAAGAAATCAATTTTTCGGAGGAAAAATTGTCACTACTATTAATTAATTGAAAAATCACACCAATTCAAGTACTTCAACTTCAATTTTTGGCAAAAAATTTAAAAAAAATTGTCATGGATAATATAAAAATGTCGCCAAAAACTTCCAAAATTATTTTACAACCCTTCATCGCTTCTTATTATCCTACAAAATCGCATAATTTCCAGCTCGCTCTCAAAAAAAAATCAAAATTTTTTGTCATGGATAATATAAAAATTTCGTCAAAACCTTCTAAAATCATTTTCTGACCCTTCATCGCTTCTTATTATCCTACAAAATCACTTGACTTTCAGCCAGCTTTCAAAAAAAAGTTCAAATTTTTATCAAAAAATCGTCATGGATAATATAAAATTGTCGTCAAAACCTTCCAAAATTATTTTCTGACCCTTCATCATTGCTTATTATCCTACAAAATCACTTGATTTCCCGTCTTCCTTCAAAAAAATTCAAAATTTTATCAAAAATTTGTCACGGATAATATAATTTTTTTCTCTAGCCCTGAAACCCCACTTCCAAATAGCTTTTTGTGCCTCCACCTCCCGCAAAACATCCTACCACTCTTTACGCAATCAAAATCTTTCAAAAAACTGGATAAAATCACCATGGATAATATAAAAATTATTAGCCAAAAGTCCCGCCAAAGCTGCCCAAAACTTACCTGTGCCGCCACAAACAAGAGGACAACAAAATCGAAGACGATTTGGCTCACAAAATGCTTGGAAGAGCCTTTCGTTGCGCTGGCCAAGTCCAAGAACTGGAGCAGGTTCTCATTGAGGTCGGTCTGATTTTTTCCGAGCCATTCCTGCCACGGGTACTCCACACACGGGTATCCGACAGCCATTGCATACTCATATGGGAGTAGGAAAGCGCAGAAGAGCAGGTAAAATGGCCACAAAACGCGGCAAATCGACCTTCGCGACATGCAAAAAACGAATACCCACATCAACATGAGTGTGGCGATGAGGTCCATTCGGTGCCATGCGTCGACCACTGAGGCAATTAGAGCCATTTCGAGGCCAAATTTGTAGAAAAAGTAGTTGACCGCGACTTTGAAGCCATCCACAAGACTCCGGTCGAAATTACTGACATCCACAGCTTCGGGGAAGACGATTCCCGGTGGTGGTGTGGCAATTCCATACTTCTGGCGGTAATGCTTTTGTCTGAAAGGGAAAATCAGCAAAAATTTGGGGGATAAATAAAAATTTTGGATCAAAAATACCTAAAATAATATAAATTTTGTCAAAAAATCTCAATTTTAGGTGTCAAACTGTGTTGAGGATTATTTCATAGCCCTTAATTGGTCTTCAAAATCTATAAAATAAATTTTATGCCTTCAAAAATCAAGAAAAAGCCCGTATTTCATCAAAAATTATATTGTACTAGATAATCGAAATCTCAATCATGAAAATTTTTTTGAATTTACGGGCTTTTTGCAACCTCTCTAACACATAAAAAGAACTCTAATAACAAAAAAAAAATCAAAATTCAACAAAATTTATATTGCACTAGACATCAAATGTCTAAAATCCTCAATTTTCGTCCTCAAATCGAGTTATTTCTAAAGTTCAATCAACAAATCTCAAGCCCACTTACCTATACTTGATGGCGAACAATATTCCAATCAACGCAATCGTCAAGATCATGAGTGCAATATCAGCCGAAGGATTGTTCGGATCTCCGTCATTGAGGCCAATCCAAGTGGACAAATTCTGATGAGAAAAGTCGTCGGGGCCACAAGTCCGATCCAGCAGGTCTTTCGGGACAAAATGCATTTGATAAATCTGTCTGGCCAAGAATTCCAGCGCCAAATACGAGCAAATGAAGACGCAGATTAGCCTCGTCAATGACGGTAGGCAAACTCCGACCACCACCAAACATATTGCGACAAAATTTATGGCACAGAAGTGGTTGACTGCGAGGACGACCACCAATAATAGGACTATTCGGACGGCGTGCAGTTCGAGGAGACGCCAGAGGACCTCGTAAACGGTGTGGAACCAGGACTTGGCGTGGCCGAGGGCGCTTTCCACCGCTGGAAAAGAGAATATTATGTGCAAGAAAAAACGATTTGTCGTATTTTACCTCACAACAAGCTTGTTAGACTACATTAACATGGAAATTCTCCCGAATTTTCTGATCTTTCACCTTACAGCGGAGAACCTAATCCAGAGGTAAAAAACGTACCATTTTGCATCCGGGAAGTGTCACAAAATGTGGCAAAATGCTTCCCTCTCCAAGTGAAAAAACTTCGTTTTGAAGGGCTCTCACAAAAAGAGCGGGCACGGTTTTTGAAATCGAAGTTTTTCACTTGGAGAGGGAGTTATTTTGCCACATTTTTTGATACTTCCCGGATGCAAAATGGTACGTTTTTTGCCATTGGATCAGGTACCCCACTGCATTTTAGACAAGTTTTTTGGTTATCACCTTATTTTTTTCAAATTTTACAGACCATGTCTTATTCAAACGACGATCACTTTGTATTCTATGCCTCGACAGCCTTTTCGAAGCTTTGGGTTTCAAAAAATCAAAATTTTTTCCATAAAATACCCAATCTTCCCTCAAAAAAATATTTTTTCCACCAAAAAGTTCCCATTTCCTCAAAAAACCCCCAGAATTCCATTGTATACCATCTTTAGTTCTCTGACGTCTCAGCAGTTTCTCTTGTGTTTTCTCCATCGTCTCGAGGTCTCTATTGCTCATCCCGCTTGCTCCATTCTCCACCGGCATGGGAATATCATCAAATCTGACGGCCCAAATATCCGATTGGGTCGACATTTTCTTGGGATATGGCTTTTTCGGCTCTTCGGACTTGGTTTCAATCACCGGGAGGTCGATTATATCATCTTCAGCGCCATTTCTGTGAATTTCTTGGTCTTCCAGCCCATTTTTTCCATTATTTTCTTCACTTTCTTGTTCATCAATCTGTTCCACATTCAATTGCGAGGCCGAAACCGGCGAAATAGACTCGCTATCTTCCGATGAACTGGGCGAGAGAGAAATTGATGGCGAGGAAGAAGTTGTTGGATACGAGATATTTATTTTCTCCGTAGAGAGCTCTTCAAAACTGTGTTTACTGTCGCTCGACGATCTTTTCCGTCGACGTTTTTTGGCCGAATCGTCAACTTTTTCCTCAAAATCTTCTGAATTTGGTTCCTTCGACCGGTCGATATTGTTTTCTTCTTCTACATCATCAGATTTATGTTGATCATCATGTGAAGGGTTTTTATTATGCTTTTTATCAGTTGATCCTTCATAATCCTCTAAACTACCGCGTTTTCCTAACAGTTCATCCGGATTTCCATGTTTGTTTCCACTTTTTTCATCGGTCGGAATGTCATTATCGCCGTTATCAGCGCTGTTTTCGGCGTTTTCTTGGCTGGTTGAGGGTTTCTGGTCCATTTTCGGAGCATTTATATATTACACTTAGCTAGTCCATGGCTAAATTTAGTAAGAATAATACTTTTTTGAGCGATAATATTCAATAATTCCGCGGAAAATCTCATAATCTTCTCTTAAAAAACTCTTCAAAAACTAGTCAACGTTATCACCAGATCACTGCAAAAACGCTTTCAAATCACAAAAAACTCAACTCTACCTACCATAAATCTCATTTACATCCCTTTGATCTCTATCACTGCACAAAAAGATCCATGAATTTTTGATGAATCTAGCCAGAATCCGCAAAAATCCAATGTAAACCAAGAATATTCCGGTGAGAATATAATAAACGCAATAAGCCGTTCCTACGACAACACTTTTTAGGACTGTCCAAGCATCCTCGCATGTACAGTCCTTCGAAAAGTCGTCTTCATCCTCTTCCTCGCTCAACAATGACTCGGATTCTTCGTCGATGGTGATATTCATCTCACCATCGACGAAGATCCGGCATAACGGAGCTTCCGAAGGATATTTCATCTCCTTAGCACGACTTGAGCTCTTAGAATCATCCATAAATTGTACTAACATCAAGCCCAATATTCAAAATCTCATCAATCACTCAGCGAATACAACTGATCTCTGGCTATTTTTTTGCTCTCTTCAGACAATGTCCAGACAAATTTCAAGTCCCAACCGTGTCCACATAGCCTACGCTAGCAAGACAACAACAAAAAAACCACTCAAAACAAAATTTTCGGAACCCTGAAAATGCGACTTTCCTTCGCCTGAGGGGCTTATCACCAAGAGAAAAACGAAGTTAGGTAAACTTGTGATAAAAGCTCGTAAAGAATTTCTTTCCTTTCAAACGAGTAAAAATTATGTTTTTCATGGGCTTATTGGGGTTGCGGCGTGAGTCAGGGCTTTTGATTCCTGCGGCGGGCCTGTGAATGCGGGGATGATGGAACGTCTCCCACGATTAGCAATACTTAATGCGCTACAACTTTATACACACACCAACTCTGCAACGATATATCAAAAAAATGATTACAAGGTTGTGGCAAAAGAAACAAAAACGATCACAGGAAAGATTTAGTGCTCCAGAAAATGCCCCCGCAAAATTCTGATCACTTTTTTAGACGAAAGTTAAAATTCTAAGATTTCCTAGGACTATCGATCTATTTCACGTAAACAAAAACATCTCAGCCCCTTTGAGATGACGAAAACAAATTAATTCGTGTTGAATTCGGTTGCATGTTTTTCTGATGAAATTCCAGACGTCAAAACACCCATAATCCGCCGGAAAATTTACAGAGTAATCTTCAAACACACTAAACTCTCATATCACTGATCTCACAGCCAAAACTTAAAACCGCAAATTCTCAACGCGCAGCCATCCATCCTATAATCCGACAATTCGAACGATCCGGGTGACAAAACCACAAAAACTGATCCCCTGGAAAAGCACCTGAAAAGGTCACGAACATTTTGTCGTCGTTCCCAAATATTTTCTATTTGAAGAGGGTTCCTAACCGCGCAAAAAGACCTCTGGAAAAAAACCCAATGGATCTGAGAGAAAGAAAAAAAAAAGTTCGCAAACGCCTCTCGATGCGTTCAAGGATATTCATCATGTTTATCAAGGCATAACCTTTCGATTCTTTTTTGCTTCCGCCTCCAAACAACGAAGCCGATTTCATATCAGACTTGAAAAAAGACGACCTTGAAACTACACGAATACCACAACATTTCGATAAAATTGCAAATCCTATGAAAGCAAGTCGTTTTTGTCAAAAAAAATCCCAAATCCCGTTCAAGTGTAAATAATAAACAGTAGTGGAAAAACAAGCAGAAGGGCTTTCATTCGACCTTCTCGGGGGGTTCGCGATGTCTTGCGGGCATGCGGCGCTTAGCAACTGAACGAGAGCGAAATCCGAGCGTCCGGTGGCTTTTACGCAATACCTGCCGCTTGCGGTGGGAAATGGCGCATATCTCAAGGGTTAGGCTATAAAAATTTGCTCGGATATGAGCCAAAACGAGGCATATTTCCGACGATAGGTGCAATAAAGCCCTTAGACGGCAATAACAACCATAAAATTTCAAAATTGCTAAAAATCTGTAACTAGCACTGAATTCAAGCTAGCCAGACCGTGAATTACCACAATTCCAACAATTTCCGACGCTATAATTCTAATCTACTTAGGTATTTCTTATCATCAACGCGTTTCAAGAAAGCCTGGACCACTTCCGACCAGATTCCACGTGATTTAATGCTGAGTCACGACGACCGCGACCACTATCTCGTCGTCTCTACCTTCCACATTCTTTCTCCCGTTTTAATCATAACCAAAACGCTTATTATTAAATCTGTTGCGCAACGGAATCAAACACGTTTTTTTTTTGAAAAAAAGAGCCCTGAAGCGCATAGAAACGCACCCACTCAAATTGGGTAAACATTCGGATGAAAATGAGTACATCGAACTGAATAGGAGGAGAAAAAGCACAGCCGCATAATTGTCTACTGGTAATTCCGTTCAGACTGCGGGTCTTCGCGTGCACGAGTGTAATTTACTAAACGCATCCTTAGAGCCTTAATGCAAACTTTGGTCCGGAAAAGTTTCGAACCGTGGGCAGTAGGAGAAAACTTTTTTTTAAATAGCTCAAGTGGGGGAGAAGTTTTCGGAAGCAAGGGCAAACAACAGCAGTCTGAATCAGTGTGAGAAAGAACAGGGTGCTAATCACAAGAACGCATAATAGTCCCAAAGGCCACATAATAACGCATCGTTTGCTCGATTGAGTTCAAAATAAAACACTCTATACCTCAAACTTGTACCAAAAATTACTATCGCTCTAATTTCCCTACCTAATCAAAAGAAACTGCCGATTCGATGGCCAAAACTGAACATAAATAAATTTTCAACACTTTCAAGCGCTGAAAATGCAAAAGTTTCCTTTCAGAAACAAGAAAAACCCAACAATTTCAATTTATAAACAACCAAAAAGTCTTTTCGCAAGGTTCATTAGATTCCTTCTTATCGATCACAGAATAGAAAAAAGAATCAAATTGTTATTTGTCAATAACTAACGAAATGCTAGCCACGTAGCCAAAGGAGTCGCGCTTGCGCAAGGTGATCACGAATGAAACGGGGGAAAGCCTCTGGGTAAATGAACTTTCATTCTCTCGCAAATCAGCTCAAATTAAAAACGATCGAGTTTTTTTTTTGGTCAAATACTTTACAACTAACAATTAAATAAGTTGGCTATAAATAAGAGGAGACCGAAGTAATGGGTGTCGGACACTTCGCGGACATCTCTATTCGCGGACACCCAACTCGCGGACACGGGTTTCCCTATTCGCGGACGCCCAAGTATTTCCGTCTAATTATTTCTTATTTCTGCGTGTATACTCCCCGTACAATGTTTTGACCCCCCTCCTAACTCGGCCCAAAGTGTACCAATTGGGACCAAATTTGGTATGTAGTCTACTCACAGGCTAGTAACAAGAAATAACATAGCAAGACATACCTTATAGTTGAATTCCAAAATCCAGGGGCAATTTTCAAAAATTACCTTTAAAAATCGAGGAAAAAGTTTTGACCCCCCTTAAAAAAAAGTTAGATATCGCCAGCGGATGCCACCCGAACCTATCGTAATCGACGTCCCATACCTGAATACAGGTTAATAAATGGTTTTCCGTTGAATACTTCGTTGCATTTGAGGATTCAACGCGTTAAACCGTTTTTAATGTATAGCTGCCCAAAATGGTGAAAATCTTGCCCTAGCGCTTTCCAAGAGCTCTAAATTGGGTTTATATTATGTGATTGAGACCTGTATTTATCTTCTCTTTCCGATAAAAGTGCATGGTGGCCTGGCGGTGTTGATTCGGCAGATACCCTCTTGTCATGCCCGGCTTGGGCGACCCATTAGCTCTTTGACCGAAGGGTTAGATATGGTCGTTAGGTTCTCAATGTAATCCTGAGACTCCTATTTACTCTCAAACAAAGAATAAACTCCCGCTGACACGGTTTCATATGGTTTGCAGCCGTAACTTCGCCGATCTGCACCTTAACGAAAAACCCGCGTTTTTCAAATGGATTTTTAGCCGCCAAAAACGGCTTTCATTTGATGAACCAGGTAATATAAGACGCTACAGCACCCGCCATACTCAGTGGAGACGTATGGAACGCCAAATGTGCGGTGGGGATGTCATGGTACTCGGGGGCATCTACAGTAACGGCAGACTCAAGATTAAGGTGAATGAAAACCATTACAAAACGTGTCAAATCGAAACATTTTACATTACTGAGAGTAAATTGGAGTGTCAGAATTACATTGAGGACCTAACGAACACATCTCGACCTTGAGTCAAAGAGCAAATGGCTCACCAAGGCTGGGCATGGCAAGAGGGTATCCGCCGAATCTACACCGCCAGTCCACCATGCACTTTTATCGAACTGAGAAGGTAAATACAGGTCTCAATCACATAATATAAACCCAATTTAGAGCTCTTGGAAAGCGCTAGGGCAAGATTTTCACCATTTTGGGCAGCTATACATCAAAAACGGTTTAACGCGTTGAATCCTCAAATGCAACGAAGTATTCAACGGAAAACCATTTATTAACCTGTATTCAGGTATGGGACGTCGATTACGATAGGTTCGGGTGGCATCCCCTGGCGATATCTAACTTTTTTTTAAGGGGGGTCAAAACTTTTTCCTCGATTTTTTAAGGTGATTTTTGAAAATTGCCCCTGGATTTTGGAATTCGACTATAAGGTATGTCTTGCTATGTTATTTTTTGTTACTAGCCTGTGAGTAGACTAGATACCAAATTTGGTCCCAATTGGTACACTTTGGGCCGAGTTAGGAGGGGGGTCAAAACATTGTACGGGGAGTATATATTGTTATATTGTTACCAACGCTGTACAATGGATATCACTAACCCTGATGAAGAAGCCTCGTTCAAGCCTGTTGCATTGCCGTCGCAACGTCGAGGGACGTATACGAGGTTTTCGGCGCCCCATCCAGACGACGATGGTTTGGTATAAGCATTAACCAATGGTGGAAAAGCTGATAGAAAGGGAATGCTACGATACGTCTGTGCCTACTGCCGTGCCGTGAACGACAAAAACCGGAGGAATAAAGAAGACGTCACATCTTTCCATATAGGGCGTCCGCGAACAGCGTGTCCGCGAACTGGGAATGTCCGCGAATAGGGTGTCCGCGAATAGAGATGTCCGCGAATAGGGTATCACTCGAAGTAATACAGGAGATTGAAAAGGCGGCAGGTGTTTTAGTTCCAAAAAACAACCAAACTTGTGAAGCAAACAACGGCTTTCATTTATGGATAACTTTATGCTCCAAAAGTGTCTCAGAAATTGTTTATGATACACTTTTCGCTCAAACTCCACATGGAATAGTCAAGTGAAAAACCGCTGCACCAAAACATAGTTTGGGCCGATAGCTATAACTTGAACTATACCACCCGCAACAACAAGAACTGTTTCCTCAATCAGAACAAGTTCGACCGAGATTTCCAAACTACACAGCCCTTGTGAGCTCCGCTTTCAACCTTTTCGTACAGGCCAAAAAACAATGACAAGAAATATAAAACCGCACCGAAACGCATTTGCATTCCCGTCATAAAAGCGTCTAATTAAAAATTCAAGGCGATGAAAACGGCTCTATATTTCGGTTGAGACTTTTCCGAGCTTGATTCACGTCAAGTTGTATTGGAGCATCACTCACTCAAGTGGTGAGCTTAGAGAAACGTTTTTTAAATGCGGGCCATGAGCAATCACTGAGAATCTAATACAGTCCAAATACCACCACACAAGACTGTCCCCAGATCTCGCGATATTACTACCTAAATTTTGAAAATCTACGTCAAATAAAGCCGTCACAAAAACTTTTAACAAACACTATTTGAGGTCCCTCGCCATCCTTTCAAAACAATGAGAAATCAATTGGATTCGAACGCAAAGGCTGTTAAAAAATATGCGACCTGACAAAACACTTAAAAACAGAGGAGAATGGGCCTAGAGTTCCGGCACAAAAAAAAGAACCGACACATAATAACGAATACGGCCCCAGACGAACTTTGGATAAACAATTATCCATAAAAAACTCGAGATCAGGCACTAAATCTTTGTCAGATATTATAAACAAAAAATAGTTGAAGAACGAACTCAATATCAATGAGATCCATTTTCGTTGTAGTGACGTCATTTTTTCCCTTTGGCTTCGAGGATAACGATTTTTTCCCTTCAATCGGCCCAATTTAAGCTAAACAAATTTGTATTCTTCAGAGGACCCTTACGTAATTATGGGGATGAAAACTTTTTATTTTGGCCGTCCCGAGCTTGAAAAACACATTTACCGCGGTTTTCAGGGTCTTCCCCTGTAAAACCGAATTGAAATGCATGCATAATAAAAGCCTAGCAATCCATTATTACAGATCTATTTTTATTCCAATTTTACCGTGCCTATTGTGAGATGAAGCCTTGAAAAGCATTCTGCAACAATTCCAAAAACAACAAAACAAAAAAACTTATTTTCAAATATCACTTTGCTCACGTTTTTACAGCCCTTACTCGGCCTTAACCGCCGTATAATTCAATAATACATCTTGAACTTCCCAGAATCTAACTAAACTCCCAGTAAGACCCAAAATAAAACCAAATTATCTTGAGTAACACATTCAACATTGCTTGGGGATCGATTAAGTCTTTCACAATGCAATTTAAACTTTCGTTACTTACACGGTTTCCTCCGTATTCTTTTGGCGGCTTGTTTTTCTTTCCTCACCAAGTCGAGGAGTTTCTCTTTGACACCCATTTTTCCGTTAATTAAGGGCCTTCAATCTTCAATTTCGCACAAACCATGCCCTGAATACCAGCTTTAAAGATGTGTACAGCGCTCACGACGAAATATAAGACATCTGGACAGGGATGACCCTCAAATTTACGACACAATAAATGCAAATTCTCGTGGTGGTCATATAGCACGAAGGGGTTGTTTTTGTGGGCCAAGGGGAAATTATGAAAAGCCGAAGAAGCGAATAATAACTCTAGCGTAAACAAGTGTTTTCAGACATGAACCAAGGAACTTGACGGCCGTGTGGATAACGGATATGACATCTGAGAGGACCAGAGGTCAGACTTTTGTCGAAAAAGGTTGAAAGGGTTCAAAATTGGCGTAAAGCAGTACGACTTTGGTCCAAATGTACTTCTAATTCATGACCACTGGCCATAAAAATTTCTATAGTGGCCGAAAAGTTGAATAGAAAAGAATTTTAATTTAAAAATGAAGTCATAAATGCTCATGGGTATTCGTACTATATGTACTATTAACGTTCTAAAAATACCGTGAAGATACCAAAAATCATCGTATACCTCAAAACAAAGCATCATCAATCCTTATCCTAGAAGAAAACATTCTTCGAATACCTGCTAAGCCCTTTTTTCTGTAATACAGCCTATATTTGAAGATGATTCATAAAAAAAAAGACAAACAAATAGGAGAGAAATGTAAAGAAATCCATAATTCCTAATTTTAATCCTGTTTTGCCAAGGGGAAAATCTTGCCTAAGATTCAAAAAATCTTCCAGTTTCCATTGTTTGCAATGAGAAAATGCCATAAAAAAGGAGGAAAGTCATAAAAATCGGGGAGAAAATCATCAAAACGTCAAAGAGGTTTCATGGCTTTGAAAGATCATTATCAAAAAAGCCTTTACTCTTCAAATTGTTCTAAAATCTCCTCCATGAGGTCTACCACAAATAAAAAATTAGCTTCAACTCCCTTTCTTTTCATAATTCCGAAATAAAAACCAAAACCGCAATGATAACGAGATCCGTCCGTTTTCGGCCAGCTGATCAAAGAAAGGAGGAAAGTGGAGGGAAACAAGACCCGAAGGGTTCGTTTTTACAGACGCCGAAGAAGAGAGCAAATTTTAGGAGGGAACGATTCACCTGCGGCGAAAAGCTGACATTTCCCGTTGAAGAAATATGTTTGGCTGTAAAAAGTAGCAAGAATCGAGGGAGAATCGATGACTTTGATCGTGGAAATGGCAAACAATCGTTTGACGCGATTATTAGACCAAAAATCGGAGACTTCGGAGAAAAATTATTGGACTGAGCAAAGAGATTTTACCAAAAACAACCTTGTTTATTCAAGCAAGAGATTGGAAGCGACTCAAAATTATCAAAAAATGTCAAGAAGTCACCGATAAAAAGAAAAACAAGAGATAATCGCCAATTTCATAACAAATACACCAAGTAAAACACAAAAATCGCCTCACAATGGCCAATCATTGTCTTCAAATCTTTTTCAAAGCTCTGAAATACCTTGAAAGCCCTCAAAAAATACACAAAACCTTCTCCAAACTCCCTCAACTTTTTCCAAATTCTCTTATCAGCCCTTTAAGTACGATTCATACGCCGGCGTTTGTGTAACAGCTCTCTTCGTATTTGTTTTTGAGGCGTGATTGCATTCCAGACTTTTGTGGCCTCAATAATTGTATTTACGGTCTGATTCTCTTTGTTTTTATTCGTATTTTTTTGTTGTTTTTGGTCATTAAGACCGTTGTTTGAGTTTTTTTTCAGCTAAATTTTCCAAGCCTTGCATATTAAACGTTTTTTGGAGTGCTCATTACTAGTCGGGACAAAAAGTCCTGATAATTTTGCACCGTGCGGATTTTGCGCGGTTTTTGTCGCACTCCGAAAAAACGATTTGTCGCTCCGAAAAATGGGGAATCGCGCGCGACGTAAGGCAAAAACAAACAAAAATGCACTGTGCAAATGCACTTTTCGGGTCAAATGCACCGTGCAAAACAATTTTTTTCGCGATTTTCGCAGCGACAACCCAAAACGTTCAAATCCGCACGGTGCAAAATTATCAGGACTTTTTGTCCCGACTAGTAAACTATTTTTCGGTTGAAAAATCAAAAAATTCTGCAAATTCCTCAAAATTTTCAAAAAAAAATCCGTTTTTCACAAACACAATCACCCAAAATCCTTACATAAAAGCTTAAACCTACATCCTCTCCGTCCGAAAGAGTCTTCCGACGGGCTTCGGCTTCGGGATTCGGGGGTTGAGACCAATCTAGTCCAAGAACTTTGGAAGAATTTGAGTTGAACCATTGTGACCACCAAAAGCGACAGTGGTTTGAAGAATCTCGTGAAGAGTGATCTGAAAAAAAAACATATTTCCAAATAATAGGTTTGTAAAATACGCCATCTGTTACTCGAAATGCAAATTATCAAAAAAAAATTTTTGAAGTCATCTCTTCAAAACTTACGCTTGAACCTTATCGGACTTGAAGTCGACCAACCCAATGTCGCGATTCCATTCGTCCGAGAGGCCGGTGAGTTCCTTCCAGTAATCGGGGACCTCCGGGAACTGGTAGATGTACAAGGAGATGATCACCACCGACGAATAGACGATTAATGTGGTCAGGAGAAGATAAATGGACTTGCGGAAGAAGCGGAAAGATATCTAAAGATCAAAAGTTCGTCCAAAAAATGGGCTGAACTCACCACCAAATTGCAAATAAGTCCGCTCCAGAGGACGAAATATCCGAGGGCGTAGAGAACTGGGGGCTCGGTGAGGCAATTGTAGAGTAAAACAAGGGCGACAACGAAGATCCAGATGGACGCGAGATACTTGCTGATGTTTTCAAACGCCGAGGTCTGGAAAATTTCAAAATATAGCTATGAATTTTGTATAAAAATACTTGCAGTTACCGTAAAATTAAAGGGTCAAAATTTAAGTACCTAAAGCATAATAAAAAATTATTTCCATTTTTTTCAAAAAACCCCCAAAATAAAGCTTACATCTCCTCTGATAAAGCTTTCCTCGGCTTCGCTGGCCTTTCTCTCCTGTGCTGATTGTTTTCTTCGGACTTCAAAAGTGCCGTAATTGAGCTGGCGTTGACGTTCGTGATCCGAAAGGGAGTCGTAGAAGTGCTCGCGGAGATGCAAACGGAGGAGGACAAAGAGCGGTAGGAGGAGTAGGAACTGAAAAAAAACAACTTCTTATGATCCCAATATCCATGTTTTAATAAAAAAAATCAGCATTCAAAAAAATTTTTTGTTTGATCTCATGGATAACACAAAAAAAATCTTTTTTAACCCTAAAATGTCTCAAAAATCCCGCAAAAAAATCAACAAATTATTGAATAATTCAGTTTTAAAAGTTCAAAATTGACGGATCCATAATTGTGATGACACAATAAACATGGCCAGTGACTCAAAAAATGAGCCACATTGATCAGATTAATCGGGGTGGAATCGCTCAGTTTATTAATCAAAAATGGCTGTGACCGTTTAAAGTCGCGGTCATAGATTTGTTCCCGTGACATCGATGATGTAAAAAAAATTTCGTAAAGATAAGAAATCGTCAAATTGTATTTTAAAAATTGGGCTTTTTCAAGCCCGTTTTACCCAATTTTATATCAAAATTGAAAAAAAAATTCAAAAATTTATCAAAAGTAATATCAAAAATGCTCAAATTTTACCTAAAAAAATGTCATCATCTTCTTCCTTGGTATATTATCTTGCCCCAAATTCATTTTAAATCCCCTTTCCATTCACATTTTACCTTAACTCCCCCTCAAAACTTTTCAAACCCCATAAAATTGGAATACCCCCTCAAAGTCTAATATCCAAACACAAATCGACGTTCCTTTCGTTTATAAACAGAAACCCCATGTCATTTTGTCGTCGCCGGTGGGAGCGCAAAATTGGGGAAGGAAAGAATCGCTCAGGAGCTATCAAAAAGGGAATTAACGTGAAAGGAAAGAAGAATTTCATGAGTGGGCTAATCACAAATTCGATTACCGCTGGATTATTAGCAGCCCAAACGAGGAATTCAAATATCAACAGACCTAAAAACAGTAATTTCGGGGAGCAATCCGATCAAGACCTTATTTTTTCGCGTTTTTTAATTATTTTACCCATAAAAGCACAGAAACTTGTCAAAAATTATATTATCCATAAAATTTTCGGCAAAATTCTCGCTGTTTTCTTAAAAACTCCTCCGTAAAATCAATTAAAACTAACTTTTACCGCATTTCCAACAATAAAAAACCATAAAGTCAAAAAATTTTATATTATCCATGACAGTATCATATTAAAATTTCGCCATTTCTCCCTTCAAATCTTCACCTCTAAGATTTGAAACTAAGAATCTGCCGAAAAGAGGATAAAAAACACATTTCCCAATAAAATCTTCAACATCCACCCTTTAAAATCGATTATACGGGAAATAAACATGCGGAAGCTCAAAAATCAACAAAAAACATGTTTCAAAATTCCTCAACACATCTCTAAACACTGCAATTACAAAAAATATTACTGTTTGGTCGCTTCAAACTTTATTACATTTCCAAATTCTTTCCTATAACTGCAAAAATTCCGCAAAAACACCTTCGATTCCAATGACTTCAAGATGAAAAACCGCCGTTTCTTCGCGAGTTTTGCGCCATTCCTTCCGACCCCGAGGCGTTTCTCGACTACTGCTCTAATTTCGGACTCAAAAAAGCGGCAAAACAAAAAATACTTTCTTCAGGTATCTTTTTAAATGACTCATCAAGAAACAGGTAAATTGCTATATTTTCATCCAATTATTTGAAAATAAAGTAACTTCTATTGTTATTAGTAGGATAACAAAGCTTTTTTCGCTTCAACTGATACGTTTTTTGAGTGATAAGCGTTTTCAAAATTCCTTTACATCATTTTTTTGTCTGGGAAAGATCTGGAACAAGTTTTTTTGCCAAAAAAATAAACAAAAGCTGGTCAGAAAATGAGCCGAACATATCGTAAACACTCTTCTCTGCCGATTTCCTACCAAATATCATCGGATTTCCATGATTGTACCAAAAAATCTAGAATATCCCAACTTTTAACTAAAAATCTCTCAAATATCCCCAAAACTTGTCAAACAAGCTGTTTAAAATGCGTATTCAAGTGTTTGCACTTCTCGAAATTTGACAAAAAGCTTATGCTCGACACATTATCAACTTGCAAGCGGTTCGCTTCGGTTTACGCTTCTTTTCAACGGATAAGTGACATGGATAATGTAAGTAATGTTGATTATTTGCATTTTTGACGTACTTCTTCTTTGCTTTTATTTTTGTTAGTCCTTATTTGTATATGAAGAGATTTCGTCGTATTTTAAACATACTTTTTCAACAAAAAATTTTTTTTTCAATAATTTGTTCAATAAAATAACCCAACAAAATTGTCTTCCCAGAGGTGCACAAGGCCACGTAAATGCACAATATACTCTTACATGCTTATCTTTCCTCAAAAAATTTAAAAAATTCCATCAATTGATCTAAAATCTCCCATTTGATATCACTGATATCAAGTATAATATCCCAGGTCCCTCAAATCCAATTCCCACCCTCTTACCTTTGTAGCGAGCGTAATAAACGCCATAGTTCTATTCGCAGCCAGCTGGAATCCAATAATTTTCATGTAGTTGTCCTGTGGGAGGAACTCTTCCAAAGGCATACTGTAGATGTACTGGGCAATCAAAAGGAACTCGGCATAGGCGACGATGACCGGACTGAGGCGGAATGACCACTGCCTTGAGTTGGGGAGAGCCCATAAAATGCATGGTAGGAGTAGGAAAATGAGGCCGAACACAGAGTGGTACATCAGAGCAAAAGTCATCATGGCCAGCAAGGCAAACGCGTAGCAGTGGTAGAGAATGAAATAACAGACCTGCTGGAAGCTCTGACGCCAGATCGACGGGACTTTGGCTCTTCCTGAAAACATTATGACCTCAGCCATCTAACAAAGCCATTTTCGAGACGAATATCTTCAACATCACTCCATAATCGACCATTATATTGTCTTACCTTCAGCTTTGCCCTTACCTTTGAAAACAAAAGCAATTTTTTGGCGATCCACGACTTCCGAAGTGATTCTTTGTAGGGGGAATGTTCCGTCAGGGTTGGCTTCGCTGTCATTTGGCAAAAGCTAAAAGAAAAATCATCAAATTTCGCAAAAAATATCAATTTATCCACAGAAATCTCAAAGTTTTCCCAAGCAAAGCACATAATTCATTTTGTGGACCTCTTTTTGGCAGCCAAAAATACGTTACAAAGCCTAAGCGTTCATAATTAGCCGCAGGAATAGCATAAGTCAAAATAATTTAGATAAAAAATTGCTTTAGAGACCAGTTAGTCAAGTGTAATATTAGAAATTGATTGGCATAGATGTTTGTAAGAGCTCAGAAAGATCTAATAGGCTTTTCCGATTACCACAATTTTCTTTTTCGCGAATTTTCGAGTTGGGGAGGGCTCCGGCTCCACGCCAATCGCAATATAACAGCGGCCGTCCACTTCGGACTGGTCGATGGTGCTTCCGTCGGTGGAAGCGGGGCGCTCGGGGACCATATTCGTCATTTCCATGACCAAATTATCCTAGACAATACATTACAGACACAAATTTTACAACATCCACCCATACAATTTACAAAAACACAAAAAAATTAAAGCTTTTTGCCAACATTAAGCTGAAAAACAGCTAAAATAATAAAATTTTTGGTATTTTTTGGCTAATTCATGCCCCTAAATCTCCGCTAAAGCTCTCAAAATGTCTCAAGAACCCACCTCTTCATGGACACTCGATTCCGCGTCATCTTGAATCGAAAACCCGCGAATTCCGCCTTTGGTCCAGCGATACTGGATGATCAAGATGTGATAAAACACGAGCAATCCAAAGAAATTCGCATAGTACGTCCACAACTGCTCTTCGGCCCACCCAATCTCCCAGAAACGTTCGCATTTCGCCTCAATGATCGGGTTCAGTCCGCTCAATTTCGAGGGCCATTCAGTTGAAGGCAGGAACCATTGGCTGCCTGGGACTTGGTAGGCCAGATAGAGGAGGAAATGAAGCGCCGTGTAGAAGATCAAATAGAGCTTGATTCGATTGAGAGTTCGCCGTTTGAGCGGGGTGTAAAGTGCCCACCAGGTGACCAACATCAACGCAATTACAAAGTAGACAAAGTTCAGGGCGGAGGGCTAAAATAAGGTGAAAAATTCACTTCAATCTGTCAAATTGCAATCCAGTAGGGCAAAATAAGACTGTATTTTAGCTGACAATTCAATAAAAAGACAAAAATATCAAGAAAAAACATGAAAAACTAAAGTTTTTACAAAAAATAGATCAAACTTACATTAACCATGCCCAATGCCGCCAAGAAAAGTGTGACGCAGACGTCGGAGACCTTCTTGAGGACCGGTAAACATGCGCTGCGTGGATGATGCTTTGATGGAGACTGGGTCTCACTGAAATCACAACAAATTTAGCTAAACAACACCCAAGACATTCGAATTTTGACCGTTCTAGGGAAAAATCGTTGAATATAAAATTAGATCAACATATACCAAGTTTTTTTTCTATTTCAACATCAAAGAAAATTCTCGAAGGTACAATAGGATTGTAAATCGCCCAGAAAATCTCTAATTTTAAGACCGGAATCATCAAAATTACCTTGATCTTGCACTAGTACTCGGCAACTCCACAATATTCTCGGTAGACGAGCCTGGACTTGGCACCGTACTTCCAAAAATGCAGATCGCCGAAGTGATAAAGGATGACACTAGCACAATACCTTCAGGGCTTACGATTCGAATGGAATCTGGCCAATGATCTGGATGAACCCTAAATTCCAAAGCTCTCAAAATAAAATACAAAAACGTACCAAACAAAGCCAAAATTGAAAAGAATTCGAAACAACTCTTTGTTGTTACATCGATCGATGTAAACTGCGTCGCTGGTGATGGCCAAATGTTGGGTAACTTGGAAGATTATCTGCCCGACAGCAGTGATGGTTGATAACAGCAAAGTGATAAATAGATAGCTTGAAGTCGCGCCTGAAAATGGAAACTGCAGTACTTATTACAGCTCTTCTAACCCAAATCATCAACTTTACTTGCAGAAATAAAAATTATATTACACTTGATTCCAAGTGTAATATATGTGTAAAATGATGCCCACAATAGCCCAAAAGTGGTTAGTATAACATCAAAACGCCATTCCATTACTGCATTTTCTAAAATTCAAACGAAAAAAATAAAGCTTACCAGAAATTGACGAATTATTTCTGACTGGAGGTAGCAACGGTCCAAGAAGTCCCAGAAATCCATATAACACTGACAAATAGGATGGGCGAATAATTGCCGCTGAAAATAGACGCTGTTAACTCTAAAACTATCAACAAACATCCTAAAAAAGGCCAAAATTACCTGCGAACAGCGAGAATGGCAGTAGACCACGGTAAAATATGGTCTTTACCACCGGAGAAACCATGGTTGTTGCGATTTATCCAAGTTTCAATTTATTTAATTGCATACTGAAAAGGTTTAGTATCAGATAGAGCAGTAAATTGAGGAGTCGAAAAAATTTGTATTGTACTAGGTAAAAATCAAAAATCATATAACAAGCGACAAAATATGAGGTAAATAATGTTACAAAAACGTTTATCAGAAACGATTAGGCCCAAAGCAGCTATTCAACAAAGAGTTTCGGCCGCATTCATCAAAACAAACTGTCAAAAAACATCCTCCGTCTAAAACAATATTTCACTTGAATTTATTTGAGCAATCGGTCAAAACAAATGGCCAAAATGAAGAATCCATCTTCATAAACACCTCTTCTCCCTTTTTTCTACTCAAACAAACACAAACAAAGAAAAAATGAATCGAAATTTTATCAATCTAATCGAACCCAGCTTTCCTCCCCAAAAATTAGATAAAACTCTCAATAAAAGTGAAGATTCCGTCCCAAATTCCAATTATCAGGAGAAATGAACATGCAATATTGTCGGCTTTATGGTCTTTACATGTGTAAATAACCAAAACCCCGAATAACAATGAGAACGAAAGCGAAAACAGAGTAAAAAACAATTTTCGGCGAGAAAAAAATAAATTTTTTGAAATTTGGCGGTTTCCGCGCAATTTTTCGGGATGGGAGCCTGAAGCAAAAAGAAAGATGTTGTTGTAGTTGGCTTCTGAAGTCTCCAAAAATATCTCAGAGGCAAAAAATTGCTTCTAAAACATTCAAATTCAATTCTCAGTCTATTTTTTTGAAAAAATATCAATTTTCAGCTATCTTTACAAGGATTTTAGTTTTTTCTAGTGGAAAAACATCTAATTTTTACTAAATTTGAATTGTAAATTTTGCAGAATGCTTCAAGCAATCTTATTTAAATATTATCATCATTATTGTTTTATGTTTGCCACCCGAAAACTCAAATTTTATTCAGTTGACTGTTAATGTCATGGATAACATAATTTTCGGCGTCATAATCCCAAAGTCCACTGCAAAATAATTATGTATAGTTAAGAGATACATTTGGCGTAAAAAGCCCACCCTCAAACTTGTTGTATCATCCGATATTGTTTCCGAAATTGGGTATGAATCATCAGAACATTCATCCCGAACAATTATCATTCCCCGCTCTATTTGGCTCAAATTTTTGTGAACTGATGGAGAGACATAGACTGTTGGTCATAAAGCGCATATTAGGATGTGTTGAAAGGCCGGTATGAACAAAAACAATAACAAATTATAGTGTAGTAGGTGCTGATGACAAAGATTGATGATAAAAAGTTTTTACATGGCTATTGTTTGATTATTTTTAATTCACGTAGAAAGCAGTATAGTAAAAAATATTTTACGGTGTTTTTCCCAGTTTGTTAGAGTTCTTAAAATAGTTTAAAAGTCCATTTGTTTTCAACTATCATAAAAAAGTGACTCATCCTTGCGTTTTATTAGTAAGCAACAGTCACATAGAAAACATCTGGAACAGAAAACGCATATATTATGTGGGAAAGTAATCGTGGTCTGTAAAAAGTTTTAAATATGAGAATAGTAAGAAGTTTTCTCTTTAAATCACATTATTTTGGGTTATTTTTGCCGAAATTGGAAATAAAATCATAGCACGAACGATAGCAAAAGTAAAATTATAACTATTAGTAACTTCTATAATAAAAGCAATATGAGGCCATAAACAACGAACGTATTTTAAAAATATCGATTTACAACAATTTTATGACGAAAAGTCATCAAAAATTAAGTGAAATTTAAGAAAAACCTTGTTTGTGTCAGAATGATAAGATGGAATGATATCTTAAAGACCATGTTATTGAAGAAACAAGATTTTTCTAGCTATTTTCGATCACATAAACCCTGATTTCACCCAAATTTCGCATTTTTTGGCCTAAAATAAGGTCTTTTTTCGAAGAATCTCCAAAATCTGTCACATTTAAAAATTTTACTGTCAATCAAAGGCACTCGGCTATGAAATACTACCTCCAACGACATTTTCGAATCAAGATCCCAACATATTTCCCCCGTTGAACCCTTCAAATCGCCGTATATTGTGTTATAATACCGCTAAAACCGCTAAACCCCCGAAAAAAACCTCGCGATCTTCCACAAGCACCGAAAAGGCGACCCCCGCTCTTCGCCTTCGATGGCCACTGATTTCTGTTTTTCGCCATAGCCACTCTCTTTCATGCGCTTCTCCCATTTGCATTCGAAAAAAAACATAATTCTCGGCGGCGGGAAAATTCTCGATTAGGAAATTTTATGGGGACCGAAGAGGCAACATCTCTCACGCCGAAATATTTATGATTTCTCGATCTACCTTTTATATTGGTGAGGAAGCAATCTGTTCGAAGATGGGTGGTAAAAATTGGAAATAAATTTTTGATTACAATTGAAATTTGAGATTTAAAAATGGGGCTGATGCAGTTCAAATTTTAAAGAAATTTCGGAAAAAGTAGAAAGGCTCATTGGAAAACATAGGCGAAATTTCTAGCCCGCGCTTTGCAGAAACCATTGAGATTTTTATGTAAAAATATCCGCAAATCTGATATTTTTTACTGTGAAAATTTCAGGCCATTTTTTAAATCGAGCTAACAACAGTTATCCAAAAAATCTAATTTTTGCAAAAAGTATTCGAAAAGAAATTGACAAAAAAATTTTTTTTGTCTGGCCAACTCTCCTCTTTTTACGTACTCTATCGCAAAAAGATCTCTGAATATCTCAGCTTCGCTTGCAAAAGACGAGCTAGCAATAAGATTTTCATGGATTAATTTGTAGCCAATTTACGGAACGTATACGAAAATTGGAGAGGCCCCCAAAAAAAACTCAGAAAAAAGTTTTAAAAAATTCTCTTTTTCCCCATTAGCCACCACCATAAAAGAGTCGGGTAAAAAACATTAAAGGCACTTTTACTTTTATGCAAACAACGGACAGACTAGAGAAGACGTTGAAATGTCTCCAAACAATTTGTTTGACCATTAAATGAACCTTGAAAGACCTTGAAATTCGTCGGCAAATTAGCCAAACGGAATTCGAAATTCGAAAAAATCTTGAAGAGTTTTCAAAAAAGAGCACCAATCTTGTATTTTATTTAAAATTTAAAAATTTTAAATTTTTTATTGTGGCAAGACGCAAAATATAGGCGTCGAAATTAGAGGCCCTGTAAAATTCTCTTTTGATGTCTACCGCCGAACAAGTAAGGAAATAAGCATCAAAACCTCCTTTTCGAAATCTGTTAGACCTCTTTTAGTCCCAATATGGGCTGTTTGTTTACGACGCACGGCGTTCTGTACTTTTGAGACATAACAGGCCCCTGAAGTCTCAACTAGATTTTCTTCGTCGCGACGGCCGTAATTATTATAATATTAGTAGGAATAAAAGAAGTAAACTTCCTCATTTGTAAGCTACAAATGAGGAAGTAAACGGTATTTCAAATGCATCTTTATTTCCCAAAATCGTCGTCTAAAAAATGATTTCGATCCATCTCATTCGGTGGTCAAGTTTCTCCATTTGGCCACAACATCGGTCGGAACGATCTTTGGAGTCTGAAAAATATGTAAAATAGCTACCATCATTCCTATTTTACAAAGTACTACTGAATTTTAACCTAATTCCGCGTATGAAAAAAATCAATAAATTTTGTGACATTTCGTCTAAATCTAAAATTCACAATAAATTTTCGAAATAAGGCTTTCTTCTTACAGGAAAAAGCATGAATCATCGTATTTTACAGCTAACCTTTCTTAAAAACCAATTTCACATCCGAAAAAATCCAATATATTTTTTGACATTTCGTCAAAACCCAAGTCAAAGCTTCTATCATCAAGAGTATAGTCTAGAATAGTTTCCGACCCCTTAAATACTTGTATAAACTCACATTTAAAGTGTCAATAGCATCGTCCACAACCGGAGTACCACCTTTTTGGACGATCATCAGCTGAGGGATCTGTTTCAAGGTGTATCGACTGAAAAGACTGTTCACAGTCTTGCAGCCATATGGTGTGTACAACCAAGGGCCTTGATGTTCCTTCAGAAACTGTTTCATTTCATTTTCGCTGTGATCGCGAGAGACGAAGACCACCTGAAACGATATTTTTAAGATTCAAAAAAAGCCAATTTTTTGACCCACTTCAAACTCCTTCTTTTGCTTGTTGGCAGTGTCGTAGAACCAGTTCAACATGGGCAAGAAATCAACACAGGTTGGGTTCCACTTGGCGGCGAAGAAAAGGCCTACAACTTTGCCACGAAGCTCCTCGGAATTGGCGGCTTTTGGGGTGCCCTTGGGGTCGTTGCGGAACAACTGCGCTCCTTTCAAAAGATCGGCCATCACCGGTTCGGGAAAAGCAAAAATCACAAAATTGTACCAATTTTTGCTGAAAATTTGAGATTTCTTTGAGTTTGAAAAATCCAATTTTTTAGTATTTTTTTACTTTTCAAAAATTTTTTATTCAGAAAACAACGGTTTCATGAATTCATAATCAACTTGTTAACCTGCTCTTCAGTCATATCGAAGACATTGTCATCATGAATCATCGTTTGCAGAGGAATCACCGTTTGTTGCTTTTTTGAACTCCTTGAAGTCTGATCCAAGTATCCGCTATCTCGAATAGCTTCTTTGATATTCAAATAGGGACTTTTGGACTTGCGCCCGGTCCGGGATGACCTAGATTTTGAGTCTGAAAAAGAAAAAAATTTGAAAGCAAAATTAGGCATAACAAAGTCCTAATGCTCAAAATACACATCTTATTTATACCTTGATGTACTTCAACTGTCAGTTATAATCGAATTTCTTACCTTTTTCCGCCGTCAAACTCAACAATCTCGATGACGTTGCCTTCTCCTCGTATGGCAGTAGCCTCAGCCAATCTGGTAACACCATTTGTGGTTGTCTTGGTTTCGCAGACTTTTTCGGAGACCTATCGTACACCTTGACCTCTGTCCAATCATTGGTTCCTTTCTTCTTGGCCTTCTCTTCTTGCCTATCACTCAACAACGACAAATCCAACTTCCCAATGGAACTTGGAGTATCTGGCTCTGGGATTTCCTCGGGCACCAATTCCTCTTTATCCAATATCATGTCTAGAGCCTGTGGAGCATCTTCATAATACTCGTTTGTATAATTCAACTCATATCTCAGCTGCTCTTCGGGTTTATATTCACCATGATCAATTGGTGGCCGATCAAGATCAGAGAGCTTTTTCGTATCTTTTGAACTCTTTAGTCCACTGTCATCATCGGATTCTGAAGCCTTTTGGTCTCTTCTATCTTTGTTTTGCCTCTCCAACACCTTGTTGTGCTCCTTCTCCAAGAATTTCCTAGTTTTATACACCTTCTTCCGATCACTCAAATCTGGCGAAATCGAGCTGCTAGAGATTCCTGAGCTCAAGTCATCGAATTTCCAAGGAGTTTCAGGCTTATGAGTCTTTTTGCTACTGTAAAAGTCCATGGACTTTGAAGTAGACGGCTTGAACTTGGCATATTGTTCATAGTTCATCTTATCCATGACAATGTCTTCTAGCAAATCAATCTTTGACGTCGAAGGGTTAGAAAATCCCATTGATTTTGAAGTCCTAATAATTGGTTTGACGTCTGATGTGCTTCTATGGTTATACGAAATACCAGAGTCTGCATACTTCATGATTTCCTCGGGGGTTCCGCTCCATTTGGTCTTCAAATGGGATAATCTTGCGCTGATTGCTTTCAATTCATCCGATAAATTTCCTTCCAAGTTAAAATCATCGTTGACATTTTCATCAAAATTTTTGCTAACAGTCTTCCTCTTCAGGCCAGGGCTTTTGGCCAATTTGAGCTTTCGTAGTTTTTCAAAATTTGGGATTACCCTCGGCCGAAAATCGGAGATCACTCTTGATCTGTAGGCCTGTAGAATCTCCGGATCTTTTTTGATATTACTCAAATACTCCCTCTCTTCGATCAACTGCTTTTCAATTTCAGAATCCTCCAGATTCTTCGCAATATCATCGATATTATCCATGGGGATACCTGTTGCCGGCTTCCCTCCTAACCGCCGCAAACTTTGGCGAATCCGATCGCCCAGAGACGCTTGTAGAGGACGCCTGGCGGGCTCTTTTTCAACTACTGTAGAGGGATTTCGAGGAGTGCTTTGTGGGTAGAATGACTGAGGTTTCACTTTGCAGATGTCTGAAGGCTTGAGCTTCAAAGTGATCCCGATTAAACTCGAATCCGGCAGAGAAATAAAAGGCAAAGTGTTGGCAATGTAGTCCAGAACAAGGAAGTCTTTTTGGGCGATCTCTATTTTGTTCTCCTCTTCCAAAACATTCAATTCATTCGAAGACCGTCTGGCACTGGCGACTTTAACTTCTGTAAACATTGCCGCCTTCCATTGTTCCACAGTGCTCTCGGACAAAGGCGGGAGGTACCTGGAGGACAATGAACATTAATATCTAGTAAAACTTACCATTCTTTTTCCTCAATAATGTCATCAAACAACCGCAACGTCTTCATAATCTCATCAATGTCATCGGAGTCCAGATAGCTCATCCATTCAGAGTCATCACGAATTTTCTGAGACTTTTCGTAAATTTGGGCAAGTTCAGGCTGAAAATTTCGAAAAAAACATATGTATTTAAGTGACGTATTTTACCTCAGTTGCTCCTCTTCGTCTAAGAATTGCTGCTTGATCACGGTAGGACAAACGAAGCGTTTCTTTGACAATACTCTCCATAGACTCGTGGAGATTCTCCCCAAGTTCGTCTTCAAAGTCATCGTTTGTCATTGTCGCCTGAAAACAAAAAACTTTTGGACCAATCACCACTGCCAGAAGGCCTTTTCAAAAGCTTCTCTAACTCCGGAAACTTGTCAGTTCTTCGGACAGACAGGTAAACAAAATTCTTTTCCAGACGTCTGTTATTACAGGTGTTTACTGGTCCGTCCGGAAAGTCTCCAGTTTAACAAAGTTCACTCGATCCTTACTGTAAAATGTGGGTTCACCTTCCAGATCCTCTTCAACAGGCCTCCGGACAAGCTCTTCAGCCAATTGGCCCGTTGCAAAATGTGCAAAAAGCTTCTGATAAGCTTGTAAATCACACTCCATTGGATTAATTCCGGGATTTCACCCGTCTCTTGACCAGGCAACATGAACACCGGAGGTCGAGGAAGCTAAAGGAATTTAAATAAAATATAGTGTATTTTACCATGACGCTGGCGTCTACATCGTCCGGAAGTCCATCGGAAATGTCGCTTAATCGATCGAGAAGACCTTCGATTAGCGAATAAAGCCAGGAAAGGTCGAAAAGTGTGGATAATTTGGTAAATACTTCTACCATAAGTTTGATTTGATCATCTTGAATTTGTTCAAAAGTCAGGGTGTCGATAAAATCGTGAATAAATATCTGATGGATATGTTGTTGCGTGAGGTTTAACCTAAAAATTTCTTCAATTTTTTCACAATTTTACTGTGGTCAAGGCTCAGTACAACGAGTTGTAAGCGACGAACTACCAAAAAAAATTTAAATTTTTGTTATAAAAGGGCTTTGCTGTAGAGAGATTCATTTTGTTCTACATAGAATGCACTGATCTTACCCGTATTGACCATCCGCCAACACCCGTAAAATTAGTTGTGACCGGAGGTCGTTGAAATGATCGATATACAAACAAGCTTCAGTTAGATGCCCAGTATAACACAAAAGTTGGACTGGCAAAGCTGGCGAGTAAGTTGGAGGAATATTAGCCGAAACATAGTCGGATTGAAGCTTTTTGTATTTGGATTTGTCTAAAAACGTGACCAGAAAAATCATCAAAACATTATAGTCATCTTACCGTAATCGCTTTCTTCATACTCAGCAAGCCTCCACAGACTTGGAAATTCCTTTATCTCGCGGTCTTCTGGGCAAACTATAGGCAGATCAGCAAAAAAAGCGGCAAGAAAACGAGCGAAATTTACTAAATTCTCTGTATCCTTCTTGAAAATGGCGTCTTGAAGATGATCGGCGAATAAGAGCCGAAACAGATCGGCCTCCATGGCAAATTAACTGAAATTTAAGATCACAATGAGTTTGAAAAAGGTGGGGTGCTCACTGTAAATATGTATGTAAGTAAAATCAAGAATTTTTATAAGAAAAGTCATCGTTTTTACAAAAAAGTCGTCCAAAGTAGGGCTCTCATTGTCTGACTATCTTGATATTGCGTGTGAGGCGGAACGACCGAACTGCGAGCCCGAATTCCCACGGAAATCATCATTTATTATTCAAATTTGATTGTACTTTCCTACGTGGGATTTCCCTATATAAGGGCCGCTTTTCACTCAATAAATCACTTGATCTCGAGCTCTAGTCGTTGGTGTGCGTTGTCTCCCCGGGCCTCTCGACAACCACACGCAGTGGCGATCACCGATTCGAACTCAGGCCCAGATACAGGTCGCGCCTGTTCCATCTGGCTGAGCTTTGAAATCCCTTTCTGTGGAAGGAAAGGATTAGTACTTCGGTGCTAAACAGTACAAGCGGTACAAGTTACCGTAGAGTACATAGTACTAAATAGTACAAAGTCTCAAATAGAGAAAGAAAAGACATAAAAGTCTTTAAAAACCGCAAAACGCGAGTTGAAATAGTACTACAAGGTACAAATCTAAAAGTCATCTTGGCTAGCAACCAAGAAAAATGAGTAACACCCAGGCAAACCTTGGGAAGTTATGGATCTTTGATCCAACGAAGAATCGATGGGCTTCTTATGAGAGCATGCTGAGAAGAATCTTGGCTGCTCGTACTATTGAAGCTGATGGTGAAAAGAAAGTTTTTCTTTTCAACCACATCGGTCCAGCGGCCTACGAGTCGTTAGAAGTGGCCATGAACGGTCAAAATATGGACTCCAAGTCCTTCGATGAACTCTGTAGAGTTCTCACGGGTATCTTTGAACCCAAAGGTCTCGTTGCGTCTACGCGACACAAGATCTTCACTGCAAAACAACTGGCGGACCAGACGTCCAAACAGGTTATTCAGCAGGTAAAGTCGTGGTCTATAAAGGCCGACTTTGAGAGTGTTGTGAACACTCGCGATTTTGTCCAGGTCCAAGCAATTATCGCTGGACTGCAAGACAAAAAAGTCAAGGAAAAGCTCCTTGAAACTCCAAACTTGGACATGACCAAGTTGGAGGAGATTGTTGAACTAGTAGAAGGTTCACAATCGGCTGCCAAAGAAATGGCTGGCTCGAGCGCATCCGGCACTATCGCCAGGCTGGATAAAAAGCGTCAAAAGAAACCCCTTTGGGGTAAATCAGGAAAGCCTAAAGGGCGTCAAGGAACTTGCTATACGTGCGGTTCCAGCCAGCACATGCAGCCTTATTGTCCAAAAAGAGGACAAAGACAGCCACCCACAAATCAAGGGTACCAAAGACGCCAAAACGGCAGAAACAGTGGGATCAGAGCTGTCCTACCAGAGTCTAGATATGATTCTGAGGTATCATCCGATGATGATGATGCTTGCCTTGCCTTGGGGCAAGAAGTCGAAGTTCGTAGGGTTTCAATCCCTCCGGTCTGGCTAAAGGTCAAATTGAATGACATTGAAATAGCCATGGAACTGGACAGTGGAGCAGTCCGGTCAGTCATCCCCAAACCAGTATGGGAAAAGATAGGTCGACCTAAAATATCTTCGTATACCGGAGAACTTCAGGGATATGGTGGTAAACCATTGAATGTGCTGGGAACAGCGTATATTGACGCGTCCTTTGGAAAGCACTCAGTATTGACCGAAATGGTCATTGTCCGAGATAGAAAGGGTCAAGCCCTATTCGGACGAGATCTTATTAGAGATCTCAAGGTTGATATGGGACCTCATGTGCAGAATGTCATAGATTATGCCAATCAAGAATTCACGAGAGGGTAATTATTTCCGCCTCAAATGTTTGACATGCATAATATTTATTGTAAAAAAGATATTTTCCATAGCATAGCAAAAAATGCCATCTTAAATTTTGTAATTAAAATCTTCAAAAAATTGCAGGGTAAAATACGTTCATTTGTGCTATTGTCGATTTACTAAAAATAAGCCAGTTTCTCAGGAAATTTCGATGGTAAAATACATGTTGGACATTTGAAAATATGTTTATATTTATAAAAGAATTCCAATTTTTCATCCAAGAAATTTTGGACATCGCATAAAATCCAGACATAAAATCTGGGACAATTGGGCCGAAAATGGCAGAGCAATAAAAATGGGACGTGAAAATAAGAAAAAAGCTCTCAAATCTTTGGCCAGGATGAATGCTAATGCAATGACAAGGCAAAATAAACATCAAAATTTACAGGGAGAGTTCTCGACGATCAGGTTCTGACAAAACTTGGCAATTTAAGATTTACTTTTTTTAATAACATAGGCAAAGTTTGCGCTTTGCAGAAACGACAGAGAGGTTTAGGGTTAAAGTTGGAAAAAATGTTGCGCTTTTTGGCAAATTTTGGCATGAAAAGTTTCATAAATTTCATAAACATTTCTATCGTATACTGTATAGAGAGCGACGTTTTCAAAAAAAAACCCCCAATTTTCTACGCCTGAAATTGACAAAGATACGGCCAAAAAAGTGTTTCTCTCTGTCCGTTCTCTGCGTTTTGCGTACTCTCTCGGCGGAAAAGGCCGCTGACAGGGGAAGTACTCCAAGTGCGACGCTCAGATTTTGATGAAACTTGGCACAAATTTAGAATAATTTTTCTAAGATATATGTCAGAATCCTAGCTCGCGCTTTGCAGAAACAGCCGAGATTTTTAGATCGAAAGTCGGCGAAGATTTAGGACTTTTTGCCAAATTTCGGCACGAAAAGGTTCATGCCTATTTCAACTGCACTTGGAGTGCTTCCTCTGTGAATATCACGGCTGCCCAAAAAACCGCAGTTTTAGGAGCTGATACGTGACATACACCCTATGCTAGTGGGAAATTTAAGGGAAATCTCAACCTCGCTATGCGAAAATTTCCCTTGTAAACTCTACACGGACATTTTACATCATTTTCAGCCAAACGGTCTCTCGAAATCTTTTTCAAAATCCCAAAAAAACTTTTAGAATTTCACAAAGCAGTTCCAAAAATAAAATAAACAAGCCCTGAAGGTTTGAAATAAACCTGTCCACAAAGCGGTGGTGGTCATTATGTCCGGTGCTGGGACAAGAAATGACTGTCCGGTCGCCCTGGAAACCAGAAAGAATATCCGAAACGAAGAGAAATCGGGCTCGGAAAGGGCGCTAATTATTTTCTCATGCTTAATCCGAATTTTTCGCAGAAACTAAATAAACTTGGGCTTGAAAAGATTTGAAAAGATTGCCTGGAAACAGCTATCAAATCAAGCTTTTTTTGTCCAATTCAAAGGGCAATTAATGTTCTCCATGACATAATTTTTCAACAATTTATGGTGTACAAAATCTCAACAATATATACAAATCCTAATGTTTTGCTTTCCCAGCAGTCTTCTTGGTCTCCTTTAACGTGACAACTTTTCCTTCTTCCAATAAAATCTCATGCAGTCGCTTCAGGGCCGGTTCAACCTGTAGCATTCTTGAGTCGCCAACGATGAAAAGTTGACGTTTAGCTCGGGTTAGGGACACATTCATCCTTCTGAGGTCTGTTAGAAATCCAATCGATTGATTGTTGTTACTTCTGACCAACGACAGGAGGATGACTTCATGTTCTCCGCCTTGGAACCCATCGACAGTGCTGATGAGGACATTTTCGAGGCCAAGGTTGGCTGAAAACGGAAAATCCAAGTAAAACATGACATTATATAAAATTACAAACACTTTGATCTACTTCGGCCAGAAAAAACATAAAAAATACCTTGTTTTATCCAAAACAGCTTAAACTTTCAAAAAATTTTCCAATTTTCCAATCTCACCTTCCCTCAAAAGCCGAACTTGACCAGTATACGGTGTGATGATGCCGATATCTTCCTGTCGAATGCCTGCTTCAATCAACCTCTTCACATGGGCAATCAACACATTCGCTTCTCCGGGATTTTCAAACGAAATCCCTTGCGTTCTCTTTTCCCTATAAAAATGCCCAGCTTCAGCCGTGTCATAAAACACAATTGGGTCTTTAATCAGTCCACCCTTCGGATTCTGCAATAATTCGTCAATTGTGATGTTCTTCACACTCTCATCGGCTTCAATTTCCCCGTCATAAAAGACCTCATTCGACCAACGCATTATTTTTTCGTTTGCTCGGTACTGTTTTGTGAGCCGAGTTTGAAGGGTCTTGCCAAAGTTCTTCTCAATATGTTCCATAACGGTCCTTGTGAGGCCATTTTCGGCGGCTTTGGCTGACATCGCCGACGCTGTGAGCTGATTTTGATCACCAACAAAAATCACTTTCGGTGCCTGAAAAAAACCCCAAAATTAGGTTGAAAATTTATTAAACTTGTCATAAAACAGTCATTAAAAATCAGAAAATGAATTATGACATCATTTCCGTCCATTTCCTACAGCTAAAACACAATGCCAAAATTTTGCGGGAAAATTAAAATTCAAAATTTTGAAGGTAACCCAAAGTAAAAACTGTCCATATCATGTCAAATACTCCCCAAACTTACCAATAAAGCGGCTTGCCAAGCCACACATTCCCAGGTCTGCGCAGCCTCATCAATTACAACATAATCCGGTTGGAATTTATGGTACTGCAACTGCCTCACAACAGACGACTGAATCGTCGAATAAACCACTTTGGCGTGCTCAAGGATCTGCGTTTTCAGAGTGGCCTTCAGTCGCATCGCTTGGTTAAAGCGCTTCATCGAAGTTGAGTCTTCAATTTGACTGTCCAAGTCCGAAGAAACCGGTAAAAACGCTTCCAGAGTTGAGAAATCATCGTGACTTCGTATTCTATCGTTGATACTCAGAGTTCCAGAGCCGTGAGTGACATTGCAATGATAACTTGGATTCTGGATTAGTTGATGGACCCGTGCGGAGACGTTATTTATCGCCTTCCGCGAAGGGGCAAGGACCAAAATCTTTTTCCCTGATCTGGCGACCTGAAAATATAAGTTAGAGGTTGCAAAAAAGCTTGCAAATACTCTGTAGAGAGTACCTTTGCTCTATGAGAAAAAGAGAGCTAACCTGTTGGATGATTTCAGCTACTACGGCCGTTTTCCCTGTTCCAGGAGGCCCTTGGATGGATAAGATGTTTTGTCGAGGCGCCAGTGCTTTGGTCACGGCATTCTGCTGAGAGTGGTTGAGATTCTAAAAATTACTCATCATTAAGGACATTTTCATTCCAAATTGACCATTGAAGTCAAGACATCAGCCTATGAAAATCTTGATTTACCATCACTAGTTCAATATAAGAGAACAAGCCTAAATCGACAAAACAAAATCAAATGAAAATCTTACACCGGAGTAGAACTTGATCGACTTGGTCTTTCCCATCACCGGCAACGCCATACCGTGGTGTGCCATCAGAAAATTTGCCCATCCAGGCATTTTTACCAAGCTTTTCCTGTCTGACCAGAATTCCGTCAAATAGCTGAGTGGACTCGACTCTTTCTCGAATGACAGTGTAAAACTCAAACCATCCCAGTTTTCCATGTCTGTTATTCCCTTGGCAAACAGTTTCAATCGAATAGAATCGACCTTCTGTTCAAGTACAACAACCGTGTATTTCTCGGTGCCAGCAACAAGCTGAAGCCACACGCCAGGTCGCAAAAGAACAGAAATCCTTCTAACTTGCTCATCTAAAAATATTTTTTAGAAAAAGCCTCAAAAGAGTAAAGCTTTGACCAAAAGCAATATTGCACTTGACATGCTGAAGATAAATGCCTCCAAACCGAGCCTAAATCGAAATCAAAAAAACAAATAGCACTTACCAGTCATGTTCACAGGCAGATTCAACTCCAAAATCCTCCCATCAATCGCATCGTAGCGAAATTCGCGGAAAGTCAGATCTCTCAACAAAACCTTGCCTGCGCTCGCGTTTATCACAGCTTCCTTCTCCAATTCCACCAATTTTGGCCATTCTTTCAGCTTGTTTTCGGCTTCAGGAGGGAGAGCATTTTTTATTGACGGTTTCTTCGTCGATTTCTGGGAGTTTCCAACTTTCCGGACCTTATTCCTGGCTGTTTGCGTGAAAATAGGCCGAAAATGAAGGAATTTACGGAGCATTTACCTAAACACAATAAAAATACAACTTTAAACCTTCGATAACTTACAGTTCACATGGAAAATCGACCTAATTCCGCTACTTTCATCAAATTCAAGTAGAAAAATCATTTTTGGGGAATTTATTTTTTTGGCGAGCTGCGCCCGAGTCAACTCTGTTTGCAGAATGACGGTTTCGCTGTAGGTCAGAATCGACTCCAGAAAAGGTAATGCGTGATAATAAGAAGTGCTGTCAACCGAATATCCAGTAATTAAACCATAATTTATTTTACTCGTAGTAATATTTATTTATTTCACAGTTTTTTGATATGATCATAGTGAGAAAATCATAGAAATCCTTGGAAAATCGGCTCATTGAGAAGTGAGCATTAAATAACCAGCTTGTCCGGATATCCTAGCTCCTTCAACGCAGGGTAAACAGCGAATTTCTTCATCCCAAGAGGTCCAATAACAAGGGTAATCGTATCTTCAGAAGGTGATGGCAGATGTGTTGAGATCATTTCTTTTGTAATGTATCCTACCGAATAATTCCATGTGTCATCCGGAGTGGAAACAGTATACCAGACGTGGAAACGGGGGTTTTCGGCGGCAAGTTTATCGAGTTCTTCTCTAAAAAATCAAGTGTAATATTGTGAAATAAAAGTAGTGTGGAAATACAAAATTACATCTTAATTTTACTCTGAAATCCGTTTTACAACCTGCCGCAGGTCTTATTACGAAAATTTCGACAATTTCTTCAAAGAAAGGAAGACTTGACCTTTTTGGGTCAAGTGTTCCTCTATGCGAAAAACGGACGTTCTAGTGTCAAAAAATGTCAAACTAGTGTACAGGGGTTACTTGAAGGATACAACATTTTATTTTTTATTATTTGGACAATCAAATTCCCATTTGGTACCCCAAAAACAACAAAACTTCAAAAAAAAGTAAAAAAAAACCCAACTTACTTTAGTAATACATCCTTGGTAGTCCTATTCGCAAACAACAGCCATATATTGATGTCATCTTTGTCATATTTCAAACTATGAGTGATGATCTGATACATTGGCGTTATCCCAGTGCCTCCGGCAATAAGGATAATATTTTTGAACTTTCGCCCTTTCAAATGGCTTACTTTCCGTCCGGAAAACACTCCCTCACCCTCATAACACACTTTGTGAATTGGCCCACTAATCAGCACGTCCTCGCCGACCTCCACAGTATCCAGCCATCGGGTGAAAAGGCCTCCGTCCGGATATTCCGGGGTCTGCTGATAAATTTTGATCAGCAAATCCATGTAGCCGGCCGTGTCATCGTCCGTAATAGGGGTCATTTTTCGAAAGACCGGCTCTCCATCAATTTTGGCGTGCAATTTTACGTGTTGATGAGGTTTTAGGCCGGGAACATGCTCTTCGGAGGGCAATTCGAAGCGAAAAATATAAGAATCGGGCGAAACTTTGGTCTTCTCGATCAGCAGCAGGGAATGTTGAATACAGTCGTCGGTGAAGGTGGGAACCATCTAAATAACAAGATGATTTTATACGATGAAAAGTGTTTGAAATCACGAAACTTTTAAGACTCGTATTTTACAAATAAAAATGATAAAGAAAAGGTTTTTAAAATACGAAATATTAAATATGGAGCTTAAACAAAAAGTTTCTAACAAAAAGTGACGCAACTTTGCTCAAAAATTTTAAAAATTTTTAAAAAGTCATCAAAAATGGCCTAAAACAAGGAAAATTTCGATGTAAACTGGCGAAAAAAGAAGTAATAGCTGTCTTGAAATGCTCAGGAATTTCGAAACAGCTCGATATTTCGTCATAACAACCTCTGCATAGTCTATTTCACAATAGAATATACCAAGAAAACCCTTTGAAAGTTCATGGATAAGGTAAAACTTCAATAAAATTTTAAAAAATTAAATTTTCGTTTTGAAAGCCATTTGTTTTTTGAGGAAAAGGTGAAAATTTTGATTTAAAAATCGGTAAAAAATTAAGTTTAAACAAAGAAGAGAGACTAAAAAGCTTCATTTTGGTGACACCAATAGGTGAAAAAGACGACACTCCAAGCCAAAATGATTATTTAGAAAGGTAATTCTATTAAAAAGGTAAAATTTACCCTTCTGAGAACAGTACTCTGCGCTTTTCTTGGAACAAAAGCGAACAATTTCCGAAACGCTTGAAATTTTATTTCGCAAAAAAGTGACGTAAGTCACAAACCAAAAGGCTGGTGGCAAATCCGTGCGCATAGCAAAGTTCGTCGTAATTTTTCGAGCACAAGTCATATCATGACATAAAAAAATCAAAAAATATGTCATGATGACGACGAAAAATTTGGAAAATTTTTTTTTATCAGCTCCAAACGCCACAGAGAGAAATTTGTAAGGCTTGGAAGTGTAATCGTTCCAAAAAATTTCAAAAAATGGCCATAACTAGCACTTTTGTGAAAGATTAAAAAATTTTTTTTGTAATCATGGCAAAAATGGTGATCTACTGTTAAAATAATTTGATATATGGGTCACCAGAAAGCCTATTCGTCCCTAAACCTCGATTCAAAACGAGGAAAAATCGATTTTATCTTTGAAAATTTTCGCACAGTGCGGTTCGAAAAGCTTGTTCTGCACAGTGCGCTGACACAATTAGAATTCGCACAGTGCAATAGTAAAAGTTTTTTGAAAATTTGGAAGTAAATGCGCGATTTCGGATAAAATAAAAAAGAGGAGTAAGTAGTATGCCCATAGACGATCAAACTAAGTAAGTAAGCCCAATAGACAGCAAAAAATTCCTTGTTTTACGCAATTTTTCCGATTTTCCGACAAAAACGTGCAAAGATCAACTTAGAAGCATCTTATCATTGTTGGACCTTTTCGAAAAGTGTTCTGTTGAAATTTCCCTTATCAATTCGCTTTACTTTCAACAACTTTCCGCTTGAAAAAAGAAAACATCCAGAAAGAAACACTTGTCCCAAGGGAGATGTGTCAAGTCTTCAACCACATTTTTATTTTTTTTGCATTTTGGGCGACATTTTTTGCTTTCGCCGTTTGTAGATGTTTTGAAGCCCTAACAACCAGCAGACTCTACAATATTTTTTTTGTCGGCATGAATTCGTTGCTAACATGCCATTACGAGAATTGTGGGAGCCGATTTCAGACTCATTTCGATCAAATTGCACATTTCGAGACAAATCACTATGGTAAGGCCTTTTTTCTGATTCACATAGAGCTCACGTTGATTGATATTATGTTTACTATGATTTTTTCTTATTTTAGCCGATGCTCAATCCAAAATTTTGGCAGAACTTAATGCTCTCCAATCTGAACTTGACCTCTGTAAAGATGATGAAGAAAAGGCGCAGGTTAACGAAAGATTTAATGCATTTTATAGCCAAGCCATTCAAATGAGCTTGTTAAAGAAGTAAGCGTTTTATTTATTATTGTTTTCTGTTTTTAGGCAAGGATTTGATGTTATTCATGAGGATTGGAGGTGGCTTGAGAGAAATTAGATTTTTCCCTAAACTTTTAAAAGTTTGGAGAGAAAAATAGATAAAATTAACTTTAGTAACGCACTGGCTTTTTATTTTCCACATGCTAGATGTTTCCCTGTTGAAAATTCAAAGGCGTCACGTAATTTTCTTCAGCAAAGCCAGCTTTGATGGTGAATATGACAGAAACCAAAGGTTATTTGTCGTGGAGGCGGAAATGGCTAAGCTCTTTATGTCGAAAACACTGCCATAGTCTTTGTTTGGTTTGACGAATGCCTTTATCAGCTGTTTTCGTCTTGTTATTACCTAAACTCCAGCCGTCATGTGCAATATTTTTAGTTCTGCAATTTTATCACAACTTCTATCTATAAACTGTTTAGATTACGTCCATTCGAAGACAACTACATTCCTCGACGAGAGTTGGAAAAGAAACCGCTGACTTTGAACTTTTGCAATTATAAAAAACGACCGCCGAGTGCGGCACCGACTCCCTCCGGATCTCAGAAACGACAATCAGTGCCGAGTAAGCGACTTGGTGAGCCGGGTAGTGAGCCAGCAAAGGCTGAGGGTGCTAGGTGAGTGAAGAATTTAAAAAAATTCTTGGAATTTTTTGTCATGGATAATATAATATTTTAGTGATGAACGGAAATATCGGTGCACTATGGAAGGTTGCAATCGCGCGTATAAAAATACAAATGGCCTGAGGTTTGTTTTTCCTTCGATTTTTGTTTTGGTTTTTAGGTTGAAAATTGGATTTATCAAAAAAATTCGATGTTTACACGGATTTTTGAGAATTGTCGAATTTTTTTCTGATTTGATTCCAAATATGTTCCAGAAATCACATTAAGACAACACACGGGGTCACAACGCTTCAAGTGAACATCCCAACAGGGTCTCCAAGACCCGCTTCATCCGAAATTATCCAAGGATCGGCGCCAGTGGCGGCTCAAAAATTCGTTCAGCCCGTTGAGACCCCAACGGTGAAGCAGGACGATGTAAAAGCGCAGCCTCAGTTCCGCGGAGGCTCAAGGATGACCCCGAATGAGGAGATTATTCTGAGTCGGGTGCAGATGAGCACTATGAACGATGGCCAAGCACCTATGGAACCGTTGCCGCCGACCCCAAAGAAGTCGGAGAAGAAGGTCGAAAAGAACTACGCATGTGATAGCTGTCCCAAAACTTACAAAACCGCCGCCAATTTGCGGAAACACATGGCCGATCAACATGGGAAGGCACCGCAGTCACCGGCCATTGGTAGGTATCATGGGTAATATAAAAAGTGATCGATGGAGTGGATTTTTTTCGGCTAAAGTTTGTAAAATACGATTCTGGTATATCAGGCTGTTTTTTGAGCAACTGGGACGATTGAGGAGAAAGATGATTGCGGAAAAGTACGATTGGTGAAATTGAAAATTATTATTTTTCTTCGATGCAAGTGTGAAATTTGAATAATCGAGGGTGCTGATTTCGAAAATGACATTCATTTTCTTTGATCTTTACTTTTTTCCTTAAGTAGTACTGTAAAGTAGTAATTTTTTTAATTTTTTTCATGGATACTCGATTTTGGGGGTTTCGATGTTGCTGATTTCAAATCAGAAAAAAAAAATAAATAAGATTTTCGAAATCAGCACCATGGAAAACCCCTAAATCGAGTTTTTGTGAAAAAAGTTTAAAAAATTACTACTTTACAGTACTACTTAAACAAAAAAGTAAAGATCAAAAACAAAAAATGAATGTCATTTTCGAAATCACAACCCTCGATTATCCTAATTTCACACTTCCATCGAAGAAAAATAATACTTTTTTGTTTCCCCAATCGTATTTTCCCCATTCGTCCCAGTTCCGTTTCATGGATAATACAGGGTGTTCCAAGAATTATGGAAAAGACTATTCATTAATGACTTTGTGTTCGGTGGTTCAACAAGGAGTTTTTTTTCCCGTTTTACAGAAAAACCTTGAAGTTTTTAGAATCCAAAAATTTTTTTTCTTTTATCGGCGGAGACTTCCGTAAACCGCCTCAAACTGGGCGGAGTGTTTTTTTTCACACATGAGGCTGTAAATAATTTCTTAAATGGGTTCTTTTTTTTCTCCGCCGGTTTCTCCGCCGAATTGCCGTTTTTTGTCATCTGCCAGTCGGCCTTCTGGAACACCCTGTATAAAAAGTGATGGATGGAGCAGATTTTTTTGGCTATTATTTGTAAAATACGAGACCTGTATATAACGCTGTTTTTAAAAACACATTTTTTTAGATCACCGTCAGCCACAACGAGTCAATTACACCCTCGGTCAGCCGGTTCAAAATGCAATGCCCGGAACCATGGCCAACGCTCAGCAAAATATGACGGTAAATTTGAAATTTCTTGGACTAAAATGAGCGAAAATTTAATTTCAGCTCCATTCACCCCGATCTCAGCCAGTTCAACAACGTCTTCCACAATCCCCGCTAACTCAGGGACATCATGTAGGTGTTTTAGAGGTTTTTTTTGTGATTTCGGGATTCTAATGGAACTTTTGAAGGGAATTGTGAGGTGTGATGGGTTGGAAATTTGGTAAAAATAAGTTTGATAGGGTTTGGGATATGAGACACGGTTTAATTCGAGATTTTTTATATTGATTTAGGTATTTTATACCTAAAATTTCGATTTTTTTGGGTTTTAGGAGGTTCTATGGCAAAAAGAGTTTGTAAAATACGATGCATATAGGTGTAGTTGTATTTTTTACTGCTTGAAATTAAATTTCCCCCATTTTTAGTCGCCTCGAAACGTCTCCGTCCAGCAGGTGATGCACTCGCCCGTAAATCAACAAACCCCGCCCCAACAACGCACCTACGCTGCCGTAACTCCCCGCCAATACGAACAACAACAATTCGTCCAGCCAATCCACTATTCGAACTCGTCTCCGTCTCAGCCATCAACCCCCACAACCCCAACTCAATACGAACAACAGAGCCCACAAGAATCGTACAATCAAGGCGGATCGGTGACTGTGGTTATGCCAGATGACCAACGAAATGCATCAAGAGCCTATGGACCTCAATATGAAAGATACCCTCCACAACCGATTGCTCAAAGAAGGCTGTCAGGCCCGAAAGTTCAACAAACTCATGTAAGCTAGTGTAATATGCGAATTTTTGGTTATAAAAGAGTGATTTGAAGTGGAAAGAGTATGGAAATAGTGGTTTTTGATAGATTAGAGAATGTGAAGAGGGAATACAAGGCTGGATGGGTGGTTTTTTTCGGGTATGGCAAGGGGGGATCAAAAAAATTTTTTTGGGATTTTGATAGTTTTTGTTTGAAAAAAGTATTTTTTGGGGGTTTGGTGTGTTTTTAGAGACATGTAGGTCATAAAAATGTTTTTTTTTTGGCTAGAGTAAGAGGTAAGAAAATTTTTTTGGATTTTTAAAAATTTTGATTTCAAAAAAAGATGATTTTTTTACTAAATTCTGATGTTTTCAGCCCTATTATAACCAAAAAACCGCCCGTCCCGGCTATCAGCAGCCGTCCGGACATCAAATGGAATACGTTCGAACCACCCCGGTCCAATCCGGAGGCCCAATCCGAGGCTCTCAAATGTCCACAAACATGGCCACTCCCCAAACCAATTTCACTCAACAACCCCACTACGGCCAGCGAGCAATGACCAATAATTACGAAGCCAGGACGATCAGAAGAGCCCCGCAACCGACCAGCTCCAACAACTTGTCGGCTCAATTGGCCCCGCTAAATGTGGGCCAAAGTGGCGGAAGCACCCCCTCGGGCAATGTGGAAACGATCCAGATTACGAAAGTGCCGTCTTCACAGTGTAAGTGGAAAAAAAAAATTTTTTTTGAATTTGCCTAAAAAAATTTTTTTAAAAGTTTTTGTGTTGAAAACCCTGGGGAAGCGTATTTTAAAAGACGATTTTTGGCTCGCTGCGTCAGCCAATACAAGGGCCGGACATTCAAAAAATTTTTTTTTGAGTTTTTCGGCCTAAAATGTTGGTATAGGTCACTAAAACCGATTCTCAAATTTTTTTTGCCCAGTGATGCCCGGAAGGTAGAAATTTGCATACGGTTATAACCGTCCTTCTGAGCTCTGCTGTTGCCGTCGCAATAAAGAAAACTCGACGAAACCGACACCATATAGGTTTTGGTGGACGGCAAATTCAAAAATCGCAATTTCAAGTTAGTAGGATTACTGTAACATACAGTTTTTGACCATCGGTCGATAAAAATCGACCGTATCTCCTTCAAATCAAAAATCCCACAAGATTTTATTGCAGATTTGGAATCAGCATAAAATTCTGGTCTAGAAACACGTAATTTGCATCCTTGATTCCGTGGCAGATAAATCATGGCGCAGTGGGTTTTGACGAAAACTAGTAATCTGACGACCCTGGTTCGATCCCCGCTGGAGACAAATATTGTAAAAAATATGGAAATGACATTTAATGGAATTGTGAGGGTTATATGAGCAACGCTAAGATTTTTAGACATCAATGGAACATGAATTTAAGGTTAGAACAGGGTTTATATTATTTTAGTCTCGGAATCCGTGAAAAATAAAACTGCTTCAAACGGGCTGAAATTGATATCACCTATTCTAGGCCTAATTCTAAGAAACTTTTACGTTAACCTTTTTTTGTTAGATTACTGTATCGTGGATTACGGTAACATAAAACCCAATTTTGTTTTTTCATACCACAAGGCGCAGAGCCATCGGAATGTCACGAAGATTGTAGGAATGGTTAAGAACGAGTGGGTTTGCGAACTAACAGTTCGTTTATGGCCGTATGTTTTGAAATACCTGAGTTATCTAACACAATATCACCAATGGATGATGAGATTAATTCAGACTGAAAATGAGTTAGAATTGCATTTTAAATATGAGGCATGCCCGCTTTCTGCCGTTTGAATAATGTAGCCAAAAAAAAATTTAATTTTATGCGAAAATTTTGAAGAAATCGCCTTTAAGGAGGCCGAGCTTTTTGTTACCGTAATCCACGTTACAGTAATCTAAGAAAAAAAAGTTAACGTAAAAGTTTCTTAGAATTAGGCCTAGAATAGGTGATATCAATTTCAGCCCGTTTGAAGCAGTTTTATTTTTCACGGATTCCGAGACTAAAATAATATAAACCCTGTTCTAACCTTAAATTCATGTTCCATTGATGTCTAAAAATACTTAGCGTTGCTCATATAACCCTCATAATTCCATTAAATATCATTTCCATATTTTTTACAATATTTGTCTCCAGCGGGGATCGAACCAGGGTCGTCAGATTACTAGTTTTCGTCAAAACCCACTGCGCCATGATTTATCTGCCACGGAATCAAGGATGCAAATTACATGTTTCTAGACCAGAATTTTACGCTGATTCCAAATCTGCAATAAAATCTTGTGGGATTTTTGATTTGAAGGAGATACGGTCGATTTTTATCGACCGATGGTCAAAAACTGTATGTTACAGTAATCCTACTATCTTGAAATTGCGATTTTTGAATTTGCCATCCACCAAAACCTATCTGGTGTCGGTTTCGTCGAGTTTTCTTTATTGCGACGGCAACAGCAGAGCTCAGAAGGACGGTTATAACCGTATGCAAATTTCTACCTTCCGGGCATCACTGGGCAAAAAAATTTTGGGAATCTGTTTTAGTGACCTATACCAACATTTTAGGCCAAAAAACTCAAAAAAAATTTTTTTGAATGTCCCCGGCTGACGCAGCGAGCCAAAAATCGTCTTTTAAGTTTTTAAAAAATTTGGTTTTAGACGCGGGTCCAAGAAACAACATTGCGCACCGTCAAATTGCTCATCAACCGGTCGCCGGAAGCTCGATACGTGCAAGATTCGACCCCAACAGAGGCCAACCCTCTCAACATTACTATCAACCACAACAGGGACAACCGGCAAGATACCTTCCGTCTCGTAAGAATCGATTTTGAACCGAATTTTGGGGGTTTTTGAGATTTTGCACGGTGCGGAAAAAATTGCAGATGATTTGCACAGTGCGGAAAGAATTGGGATCACTTGCACGGTGCGAAGTTGAAAAAGGGAGATTGCACTGTGCAAAAGAAGGATTTTAGTTTTTGCACTGTGCGCTATCGGAATTTTTAGATCGGCATTGTGCAAAGAAGTCTGGAAAGAAAAATTTGGTTGCACTGTGCGGACGAAAATTGATTTTGGTCGCGCGATGCGACAAAAAATCAGAAAATGTGATTGCACTGTGCAAAAGCGACAAAAAATGTTTGCGAATTGCACTGTGCAGAACTCTCGCGCGAAGACTTGTCAATGCACTGTGCAAAATCGCGAATAATTTCTGGATTGCACGGTGCGGGAAAATATTTTTTTACGCACTGTGCAAAAAGTAAGAAGTTCAGAATGCACAGTGCAAAAGCGACAGAGAAGATTTTTAGAGTGCACCGTGCAATGTGAATTGCACTGTGCAGAGCTGTCGCGCGAAGATTTGTTAATGCACCGTGCAAAATCGCGAATAATTTCTGGATTGCACAGTGCGACAAATATGTTTTTAGGCACTGTGCAGAAGAAAGCAAAAATTTCCAATTGCACAGTGCAAAAGCGACAAAGATTTTGAGATTGCACTGTGCAAAAAACAAGAATTTTATAATCGCACAGTGCAAAAGCGACAAAGATTTTGAGATTGCACAGTGCAAGAGCGACAAAGATTTTGAGGTTGCACTGTGCAAAAAAAAAACAAGAAGTCCCGATCGCACAGTGCAAGAGCGACAAAGATTTTGAGGTTGCACTGTGCAAAAAAAACAAGAAGTCCCGATCGCACAGTGCGAAAGCGACAGAGAGGATTTTGAGATTGCACCGTGCAAAAAAATTTCCGGGATATTTTCATCCGCACCGTGCAGTAGGAAGAGCAATTTTAGCGCACTGTGCGGTGGAAATTGGATTCCAAATTGAATAATTTGAGTTGATCTTTGGTTTCAGAGTTCTCCCAGCGAGTTATCCGGGTCTCGTCCGCCGCTCAAGCCTACCCACCCAACTCCCAGCCCCCACCTCCAGAGCCGAACTGATTTATAACGAACCAATAACTTATTCATACCATAACCTCAAATAGCCCCCAAAAAAAGTCAATTTCATCCGATTTTCTAGCGATTTTATGCCCATCCATTATGTCGTAATAATAATAAATTGATCATCCAGCTAGAATTGCAAGGAATTTTTGAGATTTTTGAGGTGAAAGTCCATAAATTATTGATGAATTTTTAAAAATTTTATGAATTTTTTGTTGTGAAAGATGTTTGAAGGGTCTCTAGAGAGGTTTTAGGGTAAAATACGACGTATGAGGCATTATCTCACCAATTTATACTTTGGATTTGGCCTTTTTTTGATGATTTATACCTAAAATAAGGTAAATTATATCGATTTTTGGTTTTTAATCGCGGTTTGAAGCCGAATTTTTGAACAAAAAGGTATGTAGAGGAAATTTTGATGATTACTTTTGCTTTATTTTGTTTGCAACAGCTTATTTTTTGATTTTTTTTACAATTTTTTTTGCCAGAAATGGGTAAATTAATATAAATTTTTGAATTTTTTTTGCTGTTCTGTGCTCCAGAAGCCTTTTAAATAGCTTTATTTTTGTTTCCAGATGCCATAATCAACCGCATTCCACGCGAAAATTGCCATAATTCCCCTTAATTTATTGTAAATGACCATCTGCACAGTGCAATATTGTATCCATAAAAATGTAAGTTTTTTTTTATTTAATTGATTTTATAATAATATTTGCTCCTTATTGAGTGGATTTTTCAACTTTTAACAGAAGAAATTTTGGAGTATGACGTTATTTTTGAGGATTATAGAAACAGTTATCGTTTTTGTGTAGTATTTGATAATTTTTATTGGTTTTTTGAGGGAAACTGATAAGATTTTTTTGATGATTCGGCGGTAGATTATCAGGTATGTATTTGAATGGAGTCTTAGACTAGAAAAATTTTTACTTCTAGCGATTTTTTCTGGAAATTTTGGGGGTTTTTTCGCGTCCCAGCTTTTCGGTTCGGGTCATCAAAAAAATCGTTCGATACGGGAGGTAGGGCAGGTGGATACCCAAAAAAAGGTGTAGAAAGTGCCTACAAGGCCTGGTAAAGCCGTTGGATGGTCGGCGGACGCTCGGCGAAGGCTCGGCGAAGACTTCCAATATGTCCATTTTTTCTAATTTTAGCTATTACTAACTTAGTTTTCTTTACCCTGAGCTATTGTAAAATATAAAAGGCCAAAATTTGCGGAGAAAAAAACGAAAATCCGTAACTTTTATTTAGATATTATTGATGTGAGTACATGTAAAATACCTCAAAATAGGTGATAAGCTACCCTAGGACTCGATAAATCTTATTATTTCCACGAATTAAGGCTTCTCCTAGCCTCCTCCATGCATACAGTGACGGACCTGATCCAGTGGCAAAAAATGTACCATTTTGCATCCGGGAAGTATCAAAAAATGTCGCAAAATACCTCCTCTTCCAACTAAAAGAACTCCGTTTTGAAGGGTTCCCTCACAAAAAGAGCGGGCGCGCTTTTGAAATCGGAGTCGTTTTACTGGGAGAGGGAGACATTTTGCCACATTTCTTGATACTTCCCGGATGCAAAATGGTACGTTTTTTGCCACTGAATCAGGCTAGTGATCAGGTCCAACACTGTGTGCATGGAGGAGGCTAGGAGAAGACTTAATTAGTGGAAATAATAAGATTTATCGAGTCCTAGGGTAGCATATCACCTATTTTGAGGTATTTTACATGTACTCACTCAATAACGTCTAGATAAAAGTTACGGATTTTCGTTTTTTCTCCGCAAATTTTGGCCTTTTATATGTTACAGTAGCTCAGGGTAAAGAAACCTAGCGTTAGGAATAGCTAAAATTAGAAAAAGTGGACATCCGCCGAGCCTTCGCCGAGCGTCCGCCGACCATCCAAAAGCTTTGAATTTTGAGATTAAATTGGAGTTTTGTTATTTTGAAGGGTAAATTTTTGAATATCGACTTTTTCAAAACGCAAATCTTTTCATACAGAAAGATGTAAGCTGAATTGACCACGGTTTATTGCGTTGAAACGCAAAATTTTCAAAAAGAAAATACTGTAATTTACTCAATTCTTCTTTGACCGCATTTTGACTCTCCGGAGAATCAAAAACCCTCGCCACGACCCACAAGACTCTAAACGGCCCTTAATTTGACACACTTGATTTGTTGTCGTCCTTTTTTTGCATTTTGTAAAGCCCAAAACGTACAGGATTTTCGCCCGACTGGGCGCTTCGAAGAAGTTTGTTCGGAGGGGTTTCCAGTCATGTACGAACGGTCAAACCACATTTGACAGTCAAACGTTTCTTTTCGTGGTCTGAAAAAGAGATTCGAACTGATGACGCAATCGTTACGTTTTCGTATCTTGCATACGCCCTCGGGCATTGAGGGTGGAGTTGAGACCTCAGAATAGGTAGTGTGATGTTTTTAAAGTGCTAAATGTGGAGTGGAGATGCGATTGGAGGGGATTGGTTAAACGTCGCTACGATTTTTTGGGTCAGCGACAGTTTTAATAAAATATAACGGTCAATGGTACTATGGATCGCGTTGGTTCGTGTTTGTATGCACGAGAGAGGCTAGGAGAAGCCTTAATTTGTGAAAATAATAAGATTTATCGGATCCGAGGATAGGTTATCACCTTTTTTGAGGTATTTTACATGTAGTCACATCAATAATAACTAGGTAAAAGTTGCGGATATTCGTTTTTTGCCGCAAAACACGTACCAGTTTGCATCCGGGAAGTATCAAAAAATGTGGCAAAAGATCTCCCTCTCCCAGTTAAAAAACTCCGATTTCAAAAACGCACCCGCCCTTTTTATGAGGGAATCTTTCGAAACGGAGTTTTTTAGTTGGAAAGGGAGGCATTTTGCCGCATTTTTTGATACTTCCCGGATACAAAATGGTACGTTTTTTTGCCCCTGGATCAGGTCCATTCACTTATGCATGAGGGAGGCTAGGAGAAGGCTTAATTTGTGGAAATAATAAGATTTATCGGGTCCTAGGATAGTTTATCACATATTTTGAGGTATTTTACATGCACTGACATCAATAATATCTAGATAAAAGTTACCGATCCTCGTTTTTTGCCTCAAATTTTGGTCTCTTACATGTTACAATAACTCAGGGTAAAGAAAACTAACGTTAGTAATAGCTAAAATTCGAAAAAATGGACATATGCAAGTCTTTTCCAAGTCTCCGCCGACCTTCGCCGAGCGTCCGCCGACCATCCAACGGCTTTGCCGGGCCTCATAGGCACTTCCTACAACCTTTTTTTGGGTATCCACTTGCCCTACGTCCCGTATCGATCGATTTTGTGTTGACTCGAACTGTCATCAACCCGAAAAGTCGGACGCGGCAAAATCTAGGGGAAATATCAATGCATAACCTCTCCAGAAAATCCTTGTCATATTATAACATAAATCTAGTCCAAATTCCACAAATTTTCATCAAATTCTGACGGCCTTGTACCTCCACAAAGTACACGTTTTTCGGAATGAGATTTGTTTGTCCCCAGTGATCAACCTACATACAAATGACGCATTTGTTTGGCTTTCCAGGCCAAATTTTTAAGTCAAAACACAACGGGTTTAATAATTTTTATAATAAGAAAAATAGGAATATTTGAAATTCAGGGAATTTTTTATTTTAATTAGGTCTAAAATTATTTTTTTTCCTCTTTTTTTGCCCGAAGTGAGCTGAAAATGCCCTTTTGGACGTAAACAATGTAAATAATCAACAAAATTCTCAATTTTTTCTGTGCCTTATCGCTTTGTTTCTTTTACAAGATATTAGAAAGTGAATTTAAAATAATTTTCTTCGTATTTTAGCTTCCATGGTGGAATTAAAAAAGCGAGTCGAGCGAATCCCGGAAAACCAAAAGTTCGAGGAATTCGCCGAATTCCTCCGCTCTCTGATCGCCGACGAACAGCCCAACGAAGAGTCGCTGAGGAGAGTTTTCAATGTGTTCGATAAGGCAAGTGCAATATTATTGTTTAAAAAAAACCAATTTTTCAAAAAAAAAAAAAAAAAATTTTTTTTTTTGATTTTTCAAGATGAATTTAACGCCGTATTTTACGGTGATTTCGAAAAATAATTTCATATTTTTAGCGAAAAATCATTTCGTATTTTAGGATGCGGACGGAGTTCTGAACGAAAAGGAATCACGGAAAGCCAATGCGAAGCTGGTCGATCAAATAAACGGGTTAAAGTCGGCCTTTGTTCTGGTCGATTTTCAAAATGACTTTGTCGATGGATCACTCGGAATCAAGGTGAAAATTTTTAAACCTTATTTTTTTTTGAAATTTTTGTTTTTGCACTGTGCATTGTTTTTTTGGGAATTGCACAGTGCAGTCGAAAATATTTTTTGTCGCACAGTGCGAAAATTTGGTTTCGTTATTTGGGTGCACGGTGCGGAGAAAAAAATTTGCGGGCTGCACTGTGCAGTCGAAAATACTATTTTATCGCACGGTGCGAAAATTTGGTTTTGTTGTTTGGGTGCACGGTGCGGAGAAAAGAATTTTGTGAGTCGCACTGTGCAGTTTCAATTTACTTTTTTTATCGCACGGTGCGAAAAATTTTTTGTTATTTGGGTGCACAGTGCGGAGAAAAAATTTTGCACGGTGCACTGTGCAGTTTCAATTCGTTTTTTGTTTGCGCGGTGCGAAATTTTTTTTGTGATTTGGGTGCACAGTGCGGAGAAATTTTTTTTTGTCTGCACGGTGCGGAAAAAATTTTCATTTTATGCACCGTGCAGTCTGAAAATTTTTGAGATTTTTCCATTAACTTTCTCTCAAATTTCAGCACGGCCGAGCGAGACAAGACCCTTACGATGCGATCCCCAAGATCAACAGTCTTCTGGACCGCCACAACGACTTCGATATGATTGTTTACACCTTGGATTGGCACCCCCAAAACCATATTTCCTTCTACGAACACTGTCGAAACAACGATCGCACCCTCCAAAAATTCGACCGCCTCCGCAAATTGAAGCCTTTCGACATTGTGAGCTTTGAAAATCCACCACTTCGACAGGTTTTGTACCCATCCCATTGCATGATCGACTCGTGGGGAGCTGCTTTACATGACGATATCAAACGAGTCGAGCCGGCGAAGTATGTGACGAAAGGCTCCGATGTCTATGTGGACTCATACTCGGGATTTGCGGATAATACTGGTCAGAAAAAGTGGGTTTTTTGGAGGGGTTTTATATTGTTTTAGAGGATAAATTAATGAGAATTATCGCTTTTAGATATCTTAAAAGGGTCATAAATTTTTTTGTGGATAGTTTAGAGAGCCAGAAAATAGAGTCCGGCCTGTTTTTTGCTTTTTCGCTATGAGGGGAACACTTGACCCAAAATGTGTCAAGTGTTCCTCTCAATGTAAAATCATTTGTAATGGAGAAATTGATCTGTTTTTAACATGTATCTTATCCCCCGATCAAGAAAAAAAAATTTTAATTTTTTACTGGATACTTTTTGATACTTTTCAAAAATCTCCTGGATACTTTTTGAGGCTTTTTCTCATAAAAATCATTTTTTATGCTTCTGATGTTTTTAGAACCGAACTCGAAGGCATTTTGAAGGAGGAAGCAATCAACGCGTTGTTTGTTTGCGGAGTTTCGTTGGACATTTGTGTGGCCTCAACGGCTAGAGACGCGGCCAAACTAAAGTTTTTCACTTGTATCATCGAGGACTGCAGGTAATTTTAGAGGGAATTTGAGATCTGTTGCTTGTAGAAAATTTTAGAAATAGTTATTTTTTGAAAAAATAATTTTTTTCGTATTTTAGCAAAGGTTTGAGCGAAGACCAAATCAAAAAGACCCGCGACGAACTGCGCGGCCGCAATGTTCCCTACGTCACGTCGGAAGTGGTGAATAAATTCCTTGACGATGGCAAAATCCCATGGCTCTGGATCTGCCACATGGTCGGACTGGGCGAACGCCGGCATCGCCGCCACAAACATCGTCATCCCAGCCAAAGCCGAAGCAGTTCCGAGGCGTCGGGCGAGGAGGGAGAAGTCCTGATCAAAGGCCACGGCCCCACACGAGAGCTGTTGAGCGATAGCGGCCTGAATGAAGTCTCGAGGAAAAGTTTGAGCGACGAAAATGGAAATGAAAATGGAGATAAAGATTAAAGTGCGAGGTTCTCCAAGCCAGAGCGCAAATAAGGACTGTTCCCGCTGTGGGACCCAACACGGCGGGTCTCTCTCGCTAAAAAATAAAAAAATAATTTTTTTATTGTTTGAAATGGTACAAAGAAGGTGAAAGATGAGTGAAGATCACTGAAAAAAGGTATGTTTTTTGTGTTTTCTGATTTAGAGCAGCTCGGTAAAAATTTTTACGACAGCTGAGCCAAGATTTTTTGTGTTTTGGGCGAATGAAGGTAATTTTGGACATTCCTAAGCATGAAAATGGGTGTAGCTTTCCAAAGAACCATCCAGGAGTGATGTTGATCGAGTTTTTGCCAAGTTAGAGTCGATGCCTTCAGCAAACTACCTAGTATAATATATTTTTTTCCAGGATTTTGAATTGGAATGCAGCCAGACGGCTAAATTTCACCGCAAGGACTCGCTGAAGCCAGAAGAAGAGACGACACCATTCAAATTCCATGTGTATGGCTTTTTCCGAAGCTGATGTCAACGTCGAAAAGGTGAGTTTTTCTTGATTTTCACATTTTAGGTCGGGAAATCCATTGCTTCTTGAGCAAGGCAATGGGTTTAGCTTCCCAAACATGCTATCTGGACTGCGGTTGCTTCATCTTGCGCCACATCCGGCCCACTGTTGTTTCTAGTGTAATATAATTTTTGCAGGTGAAAATGCTCCCCGACCGCGAAGCTTCGACGATGCGAAACGTCTGGGACAGTATATGGGCGATAAAGAAGGTCTCATCGATGGCAAACACTGAGGAGAACCGAATCAATTTATTATTGTAAAAACACACCAAATGTTTTGATATGAATCATAAAATATTATACCGTTGATCTGGATATTGCTGAACCTGTCTTTACTGAGCTCTTTAGATGAGGCTGGCGGGCATGGAAGCCGAATGGGCCGGTTTTCCTGTAAAAATTATATTACACTAGAAACAACAGTGGGCCGGATGTGGCGCAAGATGAAGCATCCAGATAGCTTGTTTGGGAAGCTAAACCCATTGCCTTGCTCAAGAAGCAATGGATTTCCCGACCTAAAATGTGAAAATCAAGAAAAACTCACCTTTTCGACGTTGACATCAGCTTCGGAAAAAGCCATCCACATGGAATTTGAATGGTGTCGTCTCTTCTTCTGGCTTCAGCGAGTCCTTGCGGTGAAATTTAGCCGTCTGGCTGCATTCCAATTCAAAATCCTGGAAAAAATTATATTACACTAGGTAGTTTGCTGAAGGGATTGACTCTAACTTGGCAAAAACTCGATCAACATCACTCCTGGATGGTTCTTTGGAAAGCTACACCCATTTTCATGCTTAGGAATGTCCAAAATTACCTTCATTCGCCCAAAACACAAAAATTCTTGGATCAGCTGTCGTAAAAATTTTTACCGAGCTGCCCTAAATCAGAAAAAACACAAAAAACATACCTTTTTTCAGTGATCTTCACTCATCTTTCACCTTCTTTGTACCATTTCAAACAATAAAAAAATAATTTTTTTATTTTTTAGCGAGAGAGACCCGCCGTGTTGGGTCCCACAGCGGGAACAGTCCTTATTTGCGCTCTGGCTTGGAGAACCTCGCACTTTAAGTAAAATACGAAGTGACAAGAATTGTTTGAAATTTTTTTTGTCTTGACCAGTCGATTTCAATTTTTTTTTGATTTTATTTTTTTCCAAAAAATCTGTCATCATGACGGATTTTTTTTCTCTTTCGTAGCCTAAAAATTCGACCAGTCGATTTCAATTTTTTTTGATTTTATTTTTTTCCAAAAAATCTGTCATGATGACGATTTTTTTTGTAGCCTAAAAATTCGACCAGTCGATTAAATTTTTTTTGATTTTTTTTCCAAAAAATCTGTCATGATGACGGATTCTTTCTCTTTTTTTGTAACATAAAAATTCGACCAGTCGATTAAATTTTTTTTGATTTTTTTTCCAAAAAATCTGTCATGATGACGGATTTTTTCTCTTTTTTTGTAACCTAAAAATTCGACCAGTCGATTAAATTTTTTTTGGTTTTTTTGTCCAAAAAATCTGTCATAATGACGATTTTTTTTTTGTAACCTAAAATACAGTAAGCCATATTTTTCCCGCCATCTTCCCGAATATAAAAAACGCTTTCTCTCCTCCCAGTGACCACAACTTTCATCCCAAATGACATTCGTTTAGTCTTCCCGGATCTCCTATAGGATTATCTACGGTCTAAATTAGTTTTCCGATATCGATTATCACAGTTTTATCCTATTTTTGAGTTGTATTTTCTAGAGTTCAAACAGCATTTACAGAAATAATAAAGAGTTCAAGAATTTTTGAAAATAAAATTTTTTTTGTGTGCACGGTACAGCCAAAAATTTTGATTTTTTTGACCGCACAGTGCGGCTAAAAATTTTTTGAAACAGTTCCGAATAATTTTTTTGACTGCACAGTGCAAAAATATTTTCACAAAAAAACGAAAAAATGCACAGTGCGAAAAATTTTTGACAAAAAATCTGCACAGTGCGATAAAAAGATAAGAATTTGGTCATTATGCCCGTTAAAATTGATTATCGTTATCAAAAAACAAAACCGGAAGACATGTGAACGATCAATGAGTCCGATTTGTAATCCTGGAGGAGAACAGAAGAGGGAAAGAGGTCAAAGGTTTGATCTCATTAATTTCAGTATTGTTTCGGATCAAGAATATAAATCAAACCCACGTGTTCTCTTTTTTGCTTGGCTTGAAAAGTAAAAAGAACGAAAATTGAATACTATACCAGGGGACAGGGTTGAAGTGCGACGCCCAGATTTTGATGAAACTTGGCATAAGTTTAGAATAATTTTTTCTAAGATATATGCGAGAATTCTAGCTCGCGCTTTGCAGAAACAACCGAGATTTTTAGATCGAAAGTTGGTGTTGGCGACTTCACTGAAACCGCTTCGTTTATAGTTGGCGAAAATTTAGGACTTTTTACCGAATTTCGGCACAAAAAGTTGCATACCTATTTCTACCGTAAAGGGTGATGTTTCCACAAAAAATCAACTTTTTCCGCACGAAACTGCCAAAGTTATGGGCAAAAGGCGTTTTCCTCTCTGACCGCTCTCCACGTTGGGCGTACTCTCTCCGCGGCAAAGATCGTTCAATATCTCGGTGGCGCTTGCAAAGCGCGAGCTAACTTCAGGAATTGATATTTAGTTGGAGCCCGACGTGTGTGCAAAATTTAAAAAAAATGTGAGCGTCGCACTTGGGGTATTATACTTCCCGTGTTAGCCGTATCTCTACTTTCCGGGCAAAAATCTCGAATATTTTTGCAAACAGTCAGTCAGTTTGAGCGGCGTAAAAATACGAAGCATTCGTTAACTTGTGAAATTTTGGAGGCCTTCGTACTGACCGCTGTCATTTTCAATAGAAATTTTGGAGCCCGAAACGGAGAAAAGAAAACATTTGCAATGATCTTGAATGTTTTTAGAGAGAAAGCCTTTTTGGAGAATGGTAATTTTTCATTTTCCCCCCGATTCCGGCCATTTTCCATTTTTTGTTTTCATTTCTTTTCGTTCTATGCAAAAACAAAGTCCCAAGATTATCGGGGAGCCATAAAATTTGCGGACCCGGGTTTTTATCGTTCCAGAACGGTCAAAATGACTTTTTAAATTGTTTAATCATACGACGAATATTGGAGCTTTATCAATGTTTCTGTAGTTCCAAATATATTTTTTTTGAATTTGTGTAGCCATAATTTGTCATCGCCTAGTTAAATATCGGGCGCGTGGCTTTGGAGATTCAAGAAATTTTAAGGTGATTTCGACATGCCTCTGCAGCTCCAAGAAAATGCGACATTTCCAGTGTTCGAAGAGTATATTTTGAAGATCGTTTCATACGAAACACCAACGACGGACAAGATACGACTGCTATTTGACCAGTTTGATAAAGTCTGTTTTTCCCATTTTGCGTAAAATTATAATGCTTTTTCTAGGACCAAGACGGGTTTCTAGACACTGCGGAGGCCGAGGAATTCAACAATAATGTCATTGAAAAGATTAATAGTCTTAAATCTGCATTGATCATTGTTGATTTTCAAAACGACTTTGTTCATGAAGAAGGAACATTGCGACTGAAGGTGAGTGAATAAAATGGGAGGTTTTCTATAACATATATCTTATGAAAATAATGCTTAACAAAATATGCATACTAACGCCCAGTTTCACAAAAATCTCAGCGCCGTACGTCAAACTGAGGAGTCCGGTGACCGGAATAGACTCTTCGCTATCGCTTTTTTACACTTCGTCTTGATTTCGCAGAGAAAGAGAGAAAAAAGACACGCAAAAACGTACTCTCTCGCCTCAAAAATTCCCCATTTCTTCCCCGACAAAACGTTTTTTCGCGTTTTTTTTTTGGCAAATTGCCAATCCATTCGCTGGACTGTTTTAGCTTATCTCAGTTTGACGTGCGCCGTTCTTCGAGCACTTCCCTTCCCAGAAACTCCGGTTTCAGGACGGCCCAGCCCAAGAAGACCCTCTGGAAATTGTTGACAATCTCAACGCTCTTCTCCAACGTCACAGTGATTTTGATTTAACAATCTTTACCATTGACTGGCATCCCAAAAACCACATTTCCTTTTACGAAAATGCCAATGAAGACGACAGAATTCGATCGAATCCCGCCGAGCCAGTCCGACCATTCTCACTTGTTCAATTTGAAAAGCCAAAATTGGATCAAGTGGTTTATCCGGCCCATGCTATTCAAGGGAGTTTTGGAGCTGAAATCCATGAGAAAATTTTGAAGCCAGAAGATGCGATTATCGTGGAGAAAGGCTACGATGTTTATGTGGATTCGTATTCTGGGTTTGGAGATAACCGTGGGGTATCCAAGTGAGTTGAGACTGTTTTAAATCACGAGATCTACAATTTCTTTTGACTTACCGCTTGTGAAAGCGGAAGTGTAAAATGTGGCAAAAGGTTTCAAAAATCCGCAATGATCACTTTTGAGGATTTTTGAGGGTTTCTTTAGTCTTACTACGTATTTTCAAAGGTTTTTTAGAGCATTTTAAGAAAAAGATACATTTATTGTGAGACTGTAATGTTTATGCAGCTTGGAAATTCTATACATAGAGCCTTATGTACAACAAAATCTGTCTGTGAAAACCAGTTTTTACAGTAAATATTTACTTTGCAAAAATTGGTACCAGACAGCCAAAAGCTCCAGAAAATTTCAAAAAAATGTAAAAACGCCTGCTAATTTCCTCACCTTTGCTTTGGCCATCAAATTCGGGCCGGCCCGTTTCCATATTTTTTTAGCCCGGCCCGAGAGCTACTATTTGTGTCTATTTTTGTCATATTTTTTCCCCATAGCCTTTGTATAGATTTTATATTTTCTTGTCCAAAAATTGAGCCTCTTATTTATCATCCGTACCCGATAAAAAAATATTCTTAAATTACTGTCCAGAAAAGCTATTTTTTGACCGCCGAATAGAACTTACCAAAGACAAATACTTTTTCAGAACGCAACTTGGGCCAATTCTCCGCCAACATAACATTGAAGCATTATTTCTCTGCGGAATCGCGTCGGATATTTGCCTGGCCTACACGGCAATTGACGCTTCAAAACTGGGGTTTTATACAGTCGTTGTGGAAGATTGCATGTAAGTAAAGTGATATATGTATATTTCTATCAACTACACATTATTATTTTCTATAGAAAAGGAATTGATCCCGTGGAAATTCAAAAGAAAAAAGACGAAATCATCGCTCTTGGAGTGCCATATGTCAATTCAGAAGTGGTATTTGAATTCCTGACGCAACGAAAAGTACCATGGGAGTGGCTGCAAAGGCTGGCTGAAGGCAATTGAGATTACCAGCATTCCAAAGTTTTGATTTGTTTTTTTTTTTCATTTGCCCATCTCGTAGTCATCTTACCGGTGAATAAAGTGCAATAACGGCGTAACCAATTGATAAGAGGAGTACCCCAAGTGGACCGCTCAGGTTTTTTTTAAATTGTAGAAATAGGTGCAAAAAAATATCAGATTTTTCGCTACTTTCGATCTAAAAAATCTCGGTCAATTCAACATTGCTAGTAGTCTAACATATGCTTTAGAACTCGTTCAAAAATTTTTTGGTTTGGCTGTGGCCCAAAGCAATGTTTGTTCGCTAAGTCTACATCAAGAAATAGTCAAAATTTTGCCAAAAACTGACAAATTTCCCATATCTTTTACCCATTTTTATTTTTAAAACAACGAGCTGTATTACCATACAGAATATAGATTTTTAAAAAATCATCAACCATTTAGTCAACAAACGCCAGAAAATCCTTTTCTCCAATCAAAACGCCTCCAAAAATTATGCAGTCTCAACTTTCGAACCACAAAATCACAAGATATATCACAAAATAGAGCGTCTTCCTTGAGTTCGATGTAGACACAACGCACTGTTGTGCTCTAGACAAGGGTGACCTCTAAATTATAGTCTTTCCCTTCGTCGCTGGACGATTAAATTCGTATTAAACCGCCGCCAATTTCGTCAATGTTTGTCCGCAACACATTTTTAACATTTTGTCATCGTCTAAGAAAAAATTTTAACTCTAGTTTCTATCTATTATTTTGTATTTGGATTTTAAATTTTTAAAGTCACGCAGTGGCATTGAATTTGGGCCGACACTTCATCATTTTCTCGATGTATAAAACGTGCGCGGTTCTGGCGGATGATCTCATACACTGTGATTTGGGTTCAAAGGAAAGTCATTGGGCTAGAACCGGGTAGGTACTTCAAAAACTTTTTCGGCAGAGCAAATTTTTTTGTCGTATGTCAACTGCAACTTCCATTTTAAAAATCTGAAGAAAAATATTTATCGTATAAAATGTCATCTCCCATTTTGAAAAAAATGAGTAAAATTCTCATTGTATATAACATATATCTCTAACCTACAATTTGAAAATTTATTTATTTTTTAAGGGGACTCTTCAAAAGGCAGAATTCTCATCATACGTTTAGTATAATACTATAGCAAGTACAGGGTGACCCAAAATAACGGAGACAAAATTTGATGGGTCCCACCGCGAAAGCTTTGTTGGGTTTGGCCAAATAAAATACAGTGGGGAAATCTCCACTCTTTTCTGTACCTATTGGATACTTTTTCTTGTTTGTGTTACCTCAGGGTCGGCTTTATTCGACATGTCAAGTGAGCGTGGTGCTATTTTGACTCTTTTTCGCAGTGGAAAACGCCAATGTGACATTGTTAGAATGCTTGGAGTACCCAAGCAAACCGTTTCAAAGGCCGTAAAGCGATTCAGAGAGCTTGGCCACGACGGTGACCGTCCGAGGAAGGGAAGGAAACGCACCGTCAACACTGCTCGGAATCGGAAGATCATCAAACAACGGGCTGAAAGGAATTCGTTGGTGTCCATGAGGAAAGTGGCCAAGGAAACTGGCCTAGCCCGTGAATCTGTTAGGCGTATAGCCAAAGAGCATCTACAGTTACAGCCTTACAAGCTCCGAAAAGGTCAATTGCTCACAGAGAAAAATAAGCAGGTACGGCTTGAAAGATGTAAGAATCTCATCCGTCGGCACGCAGGTAAGAACTCAAATGAAATTTTATTTTCAGATGAAAAACTGTTTTCCATTCAGCAGACCTACAACCCCCAAAATTCTCGTCGTTGGTCCTCAGACCGTCCAAAAGAGGATGCCATTGTTCCCCGACGCCAATACCCCCAGTCTTTGATGGTATGGGCAGGGATCTGCGCCTCGGGCAAAACTCCCTTAATTTTTGTTGAAAAAGGCGTTAAGATCAACGCAAAAGTGTACCAAAAGGACATTTTAGAGAAGGTGGTATTGCCATGGTCTGCTGAGCACTTTGGCCAGCGTAGATGGACTTTTCAACAGGATTCGGCCCCGGCACACAGCTCAAAATCCACTCAAGATTGGATTCGGGCCCATTTCCCGGATTTTATCCCTTCGAAGGAATGGCCCCCCTACTCTCCCGATCTCAACCCATTGGATTATTCGATTTGGTCGATCCTTGAGGCCCGAGCTTGTAGCAAGCCCCATGACAATATCGAGTCTCTGAAGGCTTCACTCATCAAGGAATGGAAGCGTTTGACTGCGGAAGAGGTGCGTGCCGCGGCCCTCAACTTCACCGAACGCTTGAAGCTCTGTGTCGGCGCACAAGGTGGCCACTTCGAAACTACTTAGATATGATATTTATGTTATGTAGTACTGTTAATTAAAAAGTTTGTTTGTTGTTATTTCAACCGGTAAATAAATATTAAATTAAAATCTTTTGTCTCCGTTATTTTGGGTCACCCTATATAGCAACACCCGCCCCAACTTTTAATTTTACTTCATCTTATTGAAAAAGCGCTTCTTCGGGTCAACTTTCCATAAATTCTAGGCTAAAAGTTTGAGGTTTAAAGCTCCGGCCAGACCCGGTTTGTAGTGTATGTACGCCTCTGATGTTACAGGAATAGCAAAAGTTATTGCCGAAAACGTTCAATTTATAACTTTATTTTTTGAGCGAACTCGATCGCTATAAAAAGCTTCAGAATTCATACCTTGGCTGCGTCAGCATCATTAAACTACAGGGTGTCCAGAGAAATTCCGCGGAAAGTGTTTGCCGATTTCTCGGCGCTCAGGCAAGATATGCAAAAAATTCTTTTTGCATTAGAAAGAAGACTATGGGCGGTTTTTTTTCTAAAAAAGATTTTTTGTCCGCCGACGCGGAGCATACTGCATTCGGCGGAGACTTTTGGTAGCTTTTTTGGCCATCACACCAATCTTAAAAGCTTCAGTACGATTCCTGACGGTTAAAAAGAGAATGTTATCTTATTTTTATGTTTACCAAACGTTCGGCAATGGAATGGCGAGCTTTCCGTATCGGCGGAGGCCACAACTCAGCTTTGGATAGGAGATGTCCCAAACATTATGTGGCTAGCATTCTTTGCTGATCCCATATGCTCTCTAAAATTTCGTCGCCAAGCCTTGGCAGCAGCTTAGCCATCAGTAAACGACTTGGTGCACCAGAAAACAACAAAATATTTTTTGTTTGAACTTCCCTTTGCCCCGCTGCTTCAAACTTCCGCACGGTGCGGTCGGACTTTATCGCTGTTGACGCAACTGCACAGTGCGGTGCAGTCGCTAAATGCGATTGCATAGCGGTGTCGTCGGTCCTCTGATCCTCTGTGGAAAAAACTGAAGGCTTCCCGATAGTTTCAGGATCATAGTAAAGCTCTTAAGATTGGTGTGATGACCAAAAAAGCTACCAAAAGTCTCCGCCGAATACAGTATGTTCCGCGTCGGCGGACAAAAAAACTTTTTTAGACAAAAAACCGCCCATAGTCTTCTTTCTAATGCAAAAAGAATTTTTTGGATATCTTGCCTAAGCGCCGAGAAATCGGCAAACACTTTCCGCGGAATTTCTCTGGACACCCTGTATATCACATAAATCGAGATTTGCCTTTCTTTCTTTACTTTTTCGATTGTTTCAGCAGCCTTTATACAATTATTCGTAAACAATGACTTCTGCCTCGCCCATCTCCCCATTGAAAACTGACGGTGATTTCAAGCAATTCAAGGATTTTTTATTGGGCAACCTGATTTCCAATGGAAAACCGGATGAGAAAAGTTTGAAGCAACTTTTTCAAGTTTTTGACAAGGTAATAAAAGACAACTCAATATAATAATCAAACCAAATACTTTCAGGACAATGACGGCCTCCTCAATAGTGCTGAGACCGCCGTGTTCAACGGCAAGATTGTCGATAAGGTTAACAACTTGAGAACGGCCTATATGATCGTTGATTTGCAAAATGATTTTCTCCACGAAGCCGGTGTTATGCCAGTAAAGGTTAGTTAAGAAAATGCTCCTTCTGATGCTTTTAAAATTTTGCATACATTCCAGACGACATACATACAGTGACGGATCTGATCCAGGGCAAAAAACGTACCATTTGGCATCCCGGAAGCATCAAAAAATATGGCAAAATGACTCCCTCACCAACTAAAAGAACTCCGTTTTGAAGGGCTATCCCTCACAAAAATCGGGCGCGCTTTTAAATTGGAGTTTTTTCAATTGGAGAGGGAGGTATTTTGCCACATTTTTTGATACTTTCCGGATGCAAAATGGTACGTTTTTTGCCACTGGATTAGGTTCGTCACTGTATATAAGCTGCTTAAAATTTTTTGCTGGCTCGTTGCAAAGGCAGGTTAGATATTCAAAAAAAACTTTTACGTGAGAGTATGCAAAATGCCGTGAGCGATCAGAGAAACAATTTTTTTGGTCGTGCCTTCGGCCATTTAGCCCACAAAAAATAGAATTTCAGTATCGTAACTCCAACATTGCCTCTTGAATTAAAAGCTGTAGTTGCGACAAATTTTTTATTATAACCCACTTTCAGGAGTGCCCGCCAAAAGAGGATCCCCTAAAACTCGTCCCAACAATAAACAAGATCAGCGACCGTTCCGCTGACTTCGACTTGACCGTTTTTACCATCGAATGGCACCCGCCAAACCACATCTCCTTTGTTGAACATGCCCACGACTCCGATCGGGTTTTGGCGGATCCTTCGAAAAAAGTTGAATTCCATTCAATCGTTGAATTCGCGTCCCCAAAAGTGAGCATACCCGTATTGCCAAAGCATTGTGTTCAATGGTCATGGGGAGCTGATATTCATGCGAGTGTTAAGAGGCCAGTGGGATCGGTTACTGTTCCAAAGGCCTACCATGTTCTTGTGGAAACGCATTCTGGCTTCGGGCTGGAAGGGTTTGAACGGTGAGAAATTGATGACATTTCGAAAAATTTAGGCTTACAAAGAACGGTCATAAAGCAGGAAGTTACCAATGTAAAATTTCTATCGTACGACAGTAACGGATCTGATCCAGGAGCAAAAAACGTACCATTTTGCATCCGGGAAGTATCAAAAATGTGGCAAAATGCTTCTCTCTCCAACTAAAAGAACTCCATTTTGAAGAGCGCGCTTTTAAAATCGAACTTTTTCTCTGGGACAGGGAGCTATTTTCCTACATTTTTTGATACTTCCCGGATGCAAAATGGTACTTTTTTGCCGCTGGATAAGGTCCGACTGCACGTAGACTACGGAATAAAAATCATACTTTTAATCGTTTTGAAATGTCGGCTGCCCGCAAAGTTGTGGCCCGCAAGAGTCGCGACGCCTGATTATTCAACGTTTCTTACGAGAGAGCAGGCAAAATGTGGAGGCCAGTCAGAGAAAAAATTATTAGCTATAAATCCGCCAAATGACCATGTGGAAAAAGATTCTTCTTACAAATGTATTATCGAGTACAGGATGGTTCGTATTTTACAATTCCTTTTTCAGCACTGATCTTGAAGATGTTCTCCGCGCAAAGAACATTGACGCCATCTTTATGTGCGGAATTGCTGGGGATATGTGCGTTCCGGACACCGCGTTTGACGCCGTGAAACTCGGTTTTGAAGTGGCAATCCTTGAGGACTTATTGTAAGTTCTTGATCAATAAAAAAATTTAAAAATGATGACCAAAAAACAATTAAAGAATACTTTTTTCAGAAGCAATGTCGATTTCGACATGACCAAGACTGCAAGAGCGCAGATGGACTCCGTAGACGTTGCGTACGTCCATTCCAACGCAGCATTTGAGTATGTGAACAAGCGGAAGGTCCCATTCCAATGGATCAAACATTTTGCGGGAATCAAAGCGTAAATGTGCAAAAAAATTACAACTTTTAACGTGAAATAAGATATAGTAGTATGCGAGAAGAACGTATTTTAAAAATAAAAAAATCATTAATTACAAATTTACATTGTATAAGTTAAAATTGAGGCTAGCAGGAACGTATGAAAGATGGCCAGGTTTACTAGCCAAGTGCTCTAAGTGTAATGCTCAGATTTTGATGAAAGCTGGCACAAATTTTGGCTCATGTTTTCTGAGATGTATGCCAGATTACTAGCTCAGGCTCACCAGAAAGAAATGAAATATTTAGTCCAACCTTTGGCAAGTCTTTTTTATATCGGAGAGCGCAAAGTTTCCACAAAAAATTAATATCTTACTTTTGAAATAGGGAGATTTACAGCCAAAAAAGTGTGTTTTTTCTGACCGCTATCCACATTTTGCGCACTCTCTCGGCAAAGATCGTTGAATAATTTGGCTGTGCCTCCAAAGCGCGAGTTAAAATTTTCTGTAATTAGTATGTGGCCTATGCCCAATGTGTGTGCAAAGAATAAAGAAAATTCGAGCTTTCGCACATGGAATATGATCTTGTCCATTACTAATGCGGCGAATAATGTTTCTACAAAAAATCAAGCTTTTCCAAGCAAAAGCCTGAAAGTTACGTGGGCATCCAAAGTTCAAAAACTATTTTACAAATACGTGACCAACCTTGTTCTCCAAAACATCCCTCAAAACTGTCGCGTGCAATTTCTAATACTTCTGACCGGCGAAACATACAAAACACATCATCACAAAACATAGGGAGTATTTTTTCGATTTCCCTTTTCAACGCAACACAGTTTTGTGCTACGAACTAATTGCTCTCTCAATTATAGTCTTTCTCTTTTCTGTCAAACGGTTAAATTCGTATAAAAGCGCTGACCTTTCGTCGAATTTTGGCAAGTAAACAATTGGCGACTGATTGCGATTTGAGCGTTAAAAATTCTGTCTAAAAACTTGTCGATTTAACAACGTTGTAAAACCAGCGAGATGACCGTTGCCGCTCCTATCCCTCCGTTAAAAAATGACAGTGATTTTGGAGAGTTCAAAGAGTTCTTGTTGGCCAATCTGATTTCTAGTGGAAGTCCGGAAGAGGATTCGTTGAAGAAAGTTTTCAACGCCTTTGATCAGGTATCCCAAAAAGATTTCTTTAATGCCATGTTTTAGGATCTTGATGGCCGTCTCAACGCGTCCGAAACTGCTGAATTCAATAGAAAAATTGTCGATAAAATCAATGGGCTGAAGACTGCATTTATGGTCATCGATATGCAAAATGATTTTCTGGTTGAGACCGGCGGAATGCCAGTTATTGTAAGTGCTCTTCAACTGGTCGGATTTCGGTTTTTTGGACTTACAACTATTTTTTTGAACTTACAAGTATTTGTTGAAAAAACGCCGGATAATTATGCATCAACCTAATATTATACTATATATCCCTGTCCATTTATAGCGCTGCCCACCCAAAGAAGACCCTCTGGAAATTATCCCAACAATAAACAAGATCATCGACCGTTCCAAGGACTTCGATTTAACCGTTTTTACCATCGAATGGCACCCACCAAATCACATCTCCTTCGCTGAACATGCCCATGATTCCGATCGAGTTTTGGCGGATCCCTCGCAAAAAATTGAGCCGCTGGCGATTGTCGAATTCGCGTCCCCAAAAGTGACCATACCCCTAATGCCGAAGCATTGCATTCAGTGGTCCTGGGGAGCTGATGTTCATCCGGCGGTGAAGAGGCCACAGGGGTCAGTCACTGTTCCGAAGACATACAGCGGTTTTGTGGAAACGCATTCTGGCTTCGGGTTGGAAGGGTTTGAAAAGTAAGAAGAGCGATTTTATATTGTAAATACATGCTTAAAAAGAAGGTGAGAATTGACGAAGAGAGCGAAGAAATTCAACTTTCCGACTTTCTGAAATTTTTGATCGATAAACTCGCAACAAAAATGCCAAGTTTTGTCCAACTTTTGTACCAAAAATCTCGATTGTTTCTGGGAAATCTCAAGCTAGACATGTCGCATATGGCTCAGAAAAAGTAATCAAATTTGTGTCAAGCTTATATGGACATCCGAAAAAAAATTTGAAGGAAGTCCCACGTATTTTACAACTCCTTTTCAGAACCGATCTCGAAGATGTTCTCCGCGCCAACAACATTGACGCCATTTTTATGTGCGGAGTTGCGGGTGACATCTGCGTCCCGGACACCGCCTTTGACGCCGTGAAACTCGGATTTGAAGTCGCAATTTTGGAGGATCTAATGTGAGTTTTGGGGAGTCATCAAAATTTTATTTTTTCAGTCGAAATATCGACTTGAATTGGCCAAAGATGTCAAGAGATCGGATGGCTTCCGTGGACATTCCGTATGTGCATTCTGATGCCGCTTTTGAATACGTGAACAAGCGGAAAGTCCCATGGCAATGGATCAAGCATTTTGCAGGAATTTAGGTGTAAATTTTGAAAAAAATGTAATTTTACAACTATTTGTTACCCCAAAAATTTCAAAATTCGATCAAATTTTTATTGTTTCGAAAAAAATAGAAAAATCCACTACTTTTTTTCTGGAATTTACAACTTTTAAGACTGTTTTTAGCACAAAATTTTCAAAATTCGATCAAATTTTTATTTTAATTTCCAAAAATTCAATCAAAATGCTTTGTAAAAAATTTATTTTTCTCTACGAATTCCGATAAATATTTACAAAATATCGATTCCCAGCTCCTTTCTACTTGGTCGGCTGTCTGATCCCTTGTGCCTTTTCCTGATCGTACAGGATGTTCTCCTGTTTTTTGGCTTCCATCGCCTGCGCCCACGCCTTTTGGACCATGAATTCGGGGAAGAGGTCCAAAAACAGGTCAAAGTGGAGCTGACAGCGCCAGTTCCCGCGCGTCTCTTCGGCCAGCCCGACCGTGTTTATGGCCGAGGCGGCGTACTCGTCGGTGGTGGCCACGTTCCAGGCCCGTTGGCGGAGGCGCGACATCTCGGTCTGGACCCAGCCCGGGATCAGGTTTTGGAAGAAGATTTGGGGGTATTCTCGGCGCAGCGACTTGGTGTAATGGGTGGTAAATTTCTGGAAAATACATGAATTTGAATTGTAACACCAAAAATTTGAAGGTTTTGAGATTTTTAAAATCATGACATATTTTTTTGAAAATGTAAAAATCGATTTTTTTCACAATTTACAACTTGATTCCCCTCTCAAAGTATTTTCGGAGTTTTCAGAGCCTTCAAAAAATCAAATTTCAAATTTCCCGCCAAACTACCAAATCCTTGGCATTCCGCAACACCCTTCCAAATTGGCCAAAAATTCCCAAAATCGGAAATTTTTGGCTTCCCTGACCTGAAAGCTTCATCCTACCTTCGTAGCCGAATACAGCGTCCACATTGGGAACGGCAGTTCTCCAGCCGACGAGCTGACATTCACAATGATACCACCATTCCGTTTCACCATATGCCCCACCGCCAGATGACACATCATGGCCATGGAATGCGCGTTGACCAGGACCGTGGTGGATGCGTCACGCATCCCGTTGGGAATGTCCAAAATTTTGTCCGGATATGGCGCAACATGTCCAACATTGTTCACTGAAAACAAAGTTAAAATACGTTTAGAAAATGATAAAATATGGGGTCAGTAGGTCCTCAACTGTCTCTAGTGACATTCTAAGGTCCCTGTTGGCGAAAATTTTTTCCGAAAATACTCCAAAACTAAAGAAAATCGAAAAATTTTCAAAAAAACCCCAAAATTTTGGCAAAATTCCCAAAATTTCGGTCAAAAAATCGCCTAAAAATCTCAAATTTTGTCGACTCACCCAAGAACCCGACCTTCTCCAAAGGCCCTTTCAGTTTCTTTTCATATTCCACCTCCGACGGAGTGCAAAAATCGATTTCGGCGACTTCAAACTTGACCTTTGGGTACTTCGCAGCCAGTTCGGAGCGAGTTTTCTCCAACTTGATGGGGGTGCGGCCGATCAAAAGGACATTGAAGTTCTTTTTGGCCATTTCCTCGGCATACGCGCGGCCAATTCCGTGGGTGCACCCGGTTACAGCTAAAATACGGATAAATTTTTGGGATTTTTGATGACTTTTTGAGATTTTATCGATTTTCAAAAAGATTACTGTAATTTCTGTAAGTAATATAATAAAAAACAGAGTCTATAGATATTCTAGAAGGTTTATTCAAAACATTTTGTAAAAAAATTTATCAAGATTTTTTGTTTTTGAGATTTTTAGGCCAAAAATCAAAATCTCGTTATAACTTTTGTTACAGTAATCCAGCCCTCAAAAAATCCCTCCTACCTCCCCAATCCGACTTGGCAAGAGCATGCAGATCCACCGGCTTCGCCACATGATAGATGTAGTTGTGGTAGACGAGGTTCTTCACAAATCTGATTGGATGAGCCATTGATGACTTTTTGAGGAAAAAACCACCGCCAAGCAAGAATCTATTCGACCAATTTGGCCTCAAAATACCTCAGTTTTAACTACCTTTCGCAATTTTTCCGAAATTTGCATTATTTCGAAATTTTTTAACAAAGAGTATTCCAAGGGCAACTCTCAGATTCTGATGAAACTTGGCACAAATTTAGAGTATTTTTTTCTTTTCGAATATATACGAGAATCCTAGCTCGCGCTTTGCAGAAACAACTGAAATTTTTAGATCGAAAGTCGGCAAAAATGTGAGACTTTTTGCTGAATTTCGACACAAAACCTGCAATGGAGGACCTGATCCAGTAGCAAAAAACGTACATACAATTTTGCATCCAGGAAGCATCAAAAAATGTGGCAAAATAGCTCCCTCTCCAAGTGAAAAAACTCAGATTTGAAAAGCGCGCCTGCTGTTTTTGAGAGGAAAAAAGGGTGCGCCCTTCAAATCGAAGTTTTTTCACTTGGAGAGGGAAGCATTTTGCCACATTTTCGATATGGATGCAAAATGGTACGTTTTTGCCACTGGATCAGGTCCGTCACTGTATTTCTACCGTAAAGTGTAATGTTTCCATAAAAAACCAATTTTTTCCGCACGAAACTGGCAAAGTTATGGCCAAAAAGTGTTTTTCTCTCTGAACGCTCTCCGCCTTTAGCGTACTCTCTCGGCGACAAAGATGGTTCAATATCTAGGCGGCGCTTGCAAAGCGCAAACTAAAACTTTCAGGAATTGAAATTTAGTCCATACCCGACGTGTGTGCAAAATTAAAAAAAAAACCCCCGAGCGTCGCACTTGTGGTACTAACCAGAGATTGCCACGGTCAAAATTTCGGCTCCGGCTCTTAGCTCCCAGAGCCGGAACCGAGGCCAAATTTGCAGCTCCGGCTCCCATAAAAAACTTAAAAAGGTCTGCGGCTCCGAATCCCGGCTCCCGTGCAAAAAATTTTTTAAAATATTTTTCCAAAAATAAACGTTATTAGAGATCATACACCCAACGTTTTTGCAACCAAGTCGACTTCCCGGTATTTTTCAAGCAATTTGGTTTAACAAGATCACGAAATTTTTACTTTTCTGAACGCTGAGACGCCTGGCTCCGACTTTGGGCTCGGGAGCCGCACCCAAAATTTCCTGCTCCGGCTCTGGCTCCCGGCTCGGAGCCGGAGCGGCTCAGAGCCGGAGCCAAGAGCCGGCTCCGGAGCCGTGGCAATCTCTGGTACTAAGCCTGCAAATTTTTTTAAAAATGGGTAAAATTGATTACTCGAAGAAACAATCGGTCAAAAAACAATCAAAAAAATAATTCCGATGACAAAAAAAATGCTCGACGGTTCCTTGGAACGCTAAAATTGAACTCTTTACACCTTTTACAAACAACTGTTTGTTTGTGCACAATTCAACTCACAATGGAGGAAGCTTTGCGCGTTTTTATGGCCAAATCTTTTCAAACAACAAGTAAATTCAAGTGTTATTTATGTACGAACACCTAACCCAGACTCCCCATTTTTGTCTGAAAATCATCGAAAACACCTCAGATATCAAGGGTTCTCACTTACGAACAATCAACTCTTTCCACCTCTACTACCAGCCCATAAAACAAATAAAATTCCCATAAATTCGAATAAAAATCAAAATTTCCGAACAAATTCCAAAAAAATCTCAAATTTCGTGCATCGAAAGCCACGGAAATATGATCCCACTTGTTTGTTATATTCTCAGCCGTCTTCTTTCTACCATTTTATCAACAAAAATCTAATCAAAGTCCCATAAATCCGTCGAAAATCTAATATTTTCTGAAAGATCCATTAGGGTCCTCAGAAAGCTTCATTTTTCTTCGAAAAAATCATCAAAGACCTAATGAAATTGCCTTTTCTTGTGCTCTAAATCATCAGTCATCTCTCTGTCTAGTAAAACCTAATCAAATTGCTATAACTCTTCCCATAAATCTTTCAAAAAATCTCATTCTTCCGCTCTGATCCATTAGGATCTTCCCAAAATTAAAGTTTTAGTCAATAAATCTTTACTGAAATGTACAACAGACATATACATACAACAAGTCAAGGCTAGGCATCTTCGGTGAGTTGTGAGCGGGATCGGTAGTCGCGGGGAGCGGCGTCGGGGTTGTTCTGGTCGTAATAATCGACCAGGGACTGGGTCGAATCCAGCAGATCCAACTGGTTCACTGATAAGGATTGATTATGGACTAGGAGGCGGAATCTTCGGATCGGGAGCTCTACATCTCGGAACAACTGCATTTGGAATATCCCGATGATTGTTGTGAGGAACCCGATCACATTTCCTATCACATCCGACGCTCCGAGGCAAGACCATTCCTTGTAGAGGATACCCGAGGCCAGAATTACTAGCGTCGTGAAGAACACATAGTAGATTGGAGTCACCATCGAAGTGTTGTAGATATCCAGAGATTTGTTGAGGTAGATCTGGAAAAAATATATATTTATGGCATGCACAATATAAAATTTTTTTTCTCGATGTCTCAAAAACGCTTCCAACTCCTAACAGAGCCCTCTACCTTCGCCTTCATCACATTTGCCACCTTCTTCACCTATATATCTTATGACAAGACCAACTTTATCAATTTTCAAGCTCATGTACAATATAAAAAATTCCTCCAATTATATTTAAATCCTCCAAAACTCCATCCAGCATCCCAAAATGTTATCTCCATCTAAATACCCACCTTTCTAATCCATTTCTCAACAAAAAATATAAATTTTTACCTACTACAACACCCAAGACCCCCAAAAAATCCCTTTAAAATCACTCACCATCTGAATTGATACACATATTGCAACCGACAATAGCCAGAACCATGTCAACATATTCGTGAACTGTTGTTTTCCACCCAAACTTTCCTTGATGGCCAGGCCGAGGCCTTTCACTGATATGACTGACAATGATCCCATCAGGGAGCAAACCGCGATAAACACCAGGATATTCGAACGACCATACTTGGGGGCTACATAGATGATAATGGTGAGGACGAGGATGATCACAGCCGTTACATACAGGATGAATACTAAAACATGGATAATATAGGGGGAATGGCTAAAATAATATAAAATTTTAGCTATCCTTGGAGATGATACATTGCTAAAAAATCCATCAAGTTAAATGATAGTAATATCAAAACTTCCTATGCCCATATCCATTCAGACAACCACAAAATCGCAAAAAGTCCAGAAAAAGACGGCCAAAGAAATGAAACTTCGTGAAAATCCCACGAAAAAACGGATAAATTTTGATCAAAACCCCAGCCAATCTAGCGCAAAATAAACTCCGACCCTCCTTTGTCCATTTCGTACCTGCATCTTTCATTTTAAGAGCGAGATCCTCCATCGTCGAGACCTCTTCTTCTTTCGGTGAATGAATAACAATCGTTGTTGATCCTAACAAACAAATGGCACAACCAATCTTTCCCAGCAGATTCAGACGTTCATTCAGCATCCTTGACGACAATACCGCTCTAAATTTCGAATCAAAAATAAAAGCAAATTAACTTACGTTACTAACACACTTAGTGCACCGAGAGGTGTAACCAACGATGCTGGTGCAAATGCGTACGCCGCAAAGTTGCAGGCTTCTCCAACGCCCACTGAAATTAAATAATCAGTCAAGATAGGCAACAAAATTCAACGTGATTTACCAAAACCGAAATTTTTTATATTATCCATGACATGTTTATGAAAAATATAAACAAAACCGTGTTTAATCAGCAAAACTCACTTGTCAAGATTCCTAACCACCAAGACCATTCCCTGAGGTACCCGTACCCGCCTTCTGACGCCCTGTGAGCACCACCATATGTTGTGGCGAGTTTAATTAAAGCTTTCTTCTTGATGATAAATGAGGAACCAATGAAGATCGAGGACGAGACCGCAAGTCCAAGTCCGATGTAAAAGTCGACTAGATTCGGTTTTGACCCATCTGATGTCGCGTCGTCTATCTCTGTCGTCGACATGTTGCTGAAAAAAAATTTTTGGAAATTTTTGGGAGAAAAACTTAAAATTTTTTAAAAATCAAAAAATTTTGGCAAATTTTCCGTGCAAAGCAACTATACAGCCATTCAAGGCCAAAAATCATATATTACTTTAGCCAAAAAAGATCAATTTTTTACTAAAACAACCTTTAAAAATCAAAAAAACCCCGCCAAAAAGCCCAATTCCTCGTCATTTATCACGTGATAAAGGTGAGGTCCGAGCTCGAACATAAACGCCATAAAAAACTTATATCCCACAATCTTATCAATGGCTGGAAATGAGTCAAGTTTTAAGAGCATTGAAAAAAAGTTTTTTGGGAAATGAATCACTTCACTGGTAGTCCCAATCAATCGGAGTCCTTATCAAAGAAATGGGAGAGAGAACTCGTCTTGAGGTTTGTCTCCTTTTTTTGGTCACTCTTTGTTTGCAAAGACAAGAACCAAGGGAATTGAGGTGTGGAATCTTCGACTAGGGCTCGAATTTGACTTTCATATTACGCACTTTTGTTTTTGGTTTTGAAAAAAAATCAAAAAGATTAAATTTTGCAGGCTGAAAATTATGAATCACATCAAAAATCGTCTTCAAAACACCTCAAATATCGCTACTTTCCGAATTTCCATCAAAAATGGCTAAAACAATATAAAAATCCAAAAATTTTTTTAAGAAAAATAAAATATAGATGGAATATGTCTCTAAATTAACTGCAGTATCAAACTCACTTCGAAGACATCGACGACATTCTAATAATTTGCACTAGAAAGATCAAACATCAACTATTCGACCGGTTAGTCAAAATTAGTCGAAATGAAATTAAAATTCATTTATAATTGAATTTTCAAAATATTCAAATACGTTTATCAAATTCTGAAGCAAAATACTGAACCATCAAAAAATTTCGAACCAAAAAAATATTGTACTTGATACCCAGGAACACGAAAATAAACTACGCCCTCCGTAATAACACAAAATCCCCATAAAGACGTCAAAGAACTAATGAATTATCCCCCACCACGACGTAGAAATCTTCCCATTGCGTTGTCTGCTCACTTAGCAACCGAAAATGTATAAAATTGTATGTGAAAAGAACAGCCGTTTTGGCATGATACATAACTAATTAAGCCAAAACACCTGACAATTCCCTTTCCCCAATAACCAAAGGATTGGGAAAGGTTACAAGTTTGTTTATTCCTACGGCATTTACTTGCTATTTGCGGCCTTGACGACAGATTTCAGGAGGAACAAGTTTTTTGATGCCAAAGCATGAGAAATCTTAATATTTTCACAAACCAACAAGTGAATACCAGCTTGGAATTAACAAATAATGTTTTGTCAAGCTTTGAACAAAGTCTTGACATCAAATACAGACAGCTTTCACCTACTATAATAAGTTTTTGACAGCTTTTGATCGGACTATAAATATAAAAACCAACCAATTTGGCAGCACCCCGAATTCCTCTCCAACCTATCAATCTGCGACTCCTAAACATCAAAAAGCTAATCAAAAGGTTATCAAACTTACAAAGGATTGAAAAATGCGAAATTTCACTCCACCTTGGGCTAGCACACCATTTCCAGTAAAGTATAATATAAATTGATATTATTCCCGTAACGCCAGCAGCAATTGACACAAAAACTCTCGCACGTTTAGCGTGTTATTCACCTCTCGACACACCTCAAAGAATCTAGCCTTTTTACGTCGGGAAGATCAATCAATCCTGACATTTCGTCTGACGAAGTGTCACATTTTGGAATCCCGTGAAATTTCGCCGCGAAATGGAGCGCAATGTCAAAGAAGCGGTCACATTTTTGCCGAGCTCCTCTTTTCGGCCAAGTTTTCTCTGGTTTCACTCGGTTTGCCGCAAGAACAAGGTCGGAAATGTTGTTTTGAAGATAATTTAGGAGCGAAATTATTTTATTAGTTTTTTAGCTACTGAAACTAATAAGTTTATCCTTGGAATTATTTTCGGACCCTTCAGAATTAATTATAAGGGCCTTTTATGAGCTTTCTGCAGGTTTTTGTTTTGCTCGTTCAGTTTAGACATGAATTTTTAAGTTGTCGCTCAATTTTTATGGCTATCGGTAAGAAATTCTAGGAAAAGTATTTGTAAGACCTCTTAAATTTTATATTCCGGAGGTTCAACAGAGATGCCGATCGAATTTTTCCTAAAATCGACTTTTTTTTGATATTGATGGTTATGTGTAATGTTTTATGCGATTTTCGGCAGACTTTGATATTGTGGTAGTTAGGAATGCCTCTCATAATGGTTTTCCGGGCCTTATTTATACAAAGCTTGCATCTGCAGGTGTCTTTCGTTTGAGTTCACAATAGTTTTTGCAAGGCTCCATTTGATGATCTAGTATAATATAATTTCCTTTGAAAACGATCGTTTGAAACCTGTGAAATAATGAAACCCGCTGACGGTGACGTATACAGGCTCCGTCGCACAGCGTTCTGTACTTTTTTGGAATGATTCCGACACCGATTTTTTCAAATTTTTCTAAAATAGTCCGCATTTACGCGGGTGTCGCTAGGGAATACTGTAAGATTGACGTGTAAAATTTGCAGCGATTATAGAGTAAAGAGAGATCTTTCCAACGATACAACTTACGTAAATTAATATGGAAAAAGAAATTTGTAATCAGCGCTGAAAAATGACCGACTTTGGATTTTCGGCGCTAAAGATTGCCCTTAGGCAGATCTTTTAGAAGAAGTGGATGGTACCACCTTATGCGGAATTTAATTCTCTACAACATATCCAAAAACTACAAAATTTTACTGCTTTTCCGTCGAATTATGCCTCAAAAATGCAATTTTTGCACTACTTTTACCAATATTTTTTAAATATTTGCACTTTAAGGGCATTATTACAAAAACAGAGTCGTACATATTGAAGCTTGCATGGTAGCTGAGCATACTGTTTAATTTTACCCTGTCATCTTTCTCCATCTTCAAGAACAACGGAGCTAAAGTTTGGTGCTTGGACCCAGCATAAAAATGCCCTAAGGGCGAATTTCAAAAATGCGATAGTGCCACTGAACGTAGAATTTTTTGTACTACAGGTACGCCAAATTTGAGGAAAAAATCAGTTTCCGGAATAGTTTGAAACATCGGTGCATGCCGCGGTGGCCTCAGGAACACATTTACGTGTTCATGATGTTGCATGGAAATCTCGGAGCAGTGACAGAAGAAGGAATTGAATCGTTGCCTTTTGAGCAAAGCTGTTTGAACGCTTATTCTACGTTCAGTGGCACTATCGCATTTTTGAAATTCGCCCTTAGGGCATTTTTATGCTGGGTCCAAGCACCAAACTTTAGCTCCGCTGTTCTTGAAGACGGAGAAAGATGACAGGGTAAAATTAAGCAGTATGCTCAGCTACCATGCAAGCTTCAATATGTACGACTTTGTTTTTGTAATAATGCCCTTAAAGTGCAAATATTTAAAAAATATTGGTAAAAGTAGTGCAAAAATTGCATTTTTGAGGCATAATTCGACGGAAAAGCAGTAAAATTTTGTAGTTTTTGGATATGTTGTAGAGAATTAAATTCCGCATAAGGTGGTACCATCCACTTCTTCTAAAAGATCTGCCTAAGGGCAATCTTTAGCGCCGAAAATCCAAAGTCGGTCATTTTTCAGCGCTGATTACAAATTTCTTTTTCCATATTAATTTACGTAAGTTGTATCGTTGGAAAGATCTCTCTTTACTCTATAATCACTGCAAATTTTACACGTCAATCTTACAGTATTCCCTCGCGACACCCGCGTAAATGCGGGCTATTTTAGAAAAATTCGAAAAAATCGGTGTCGGAATCATTCCAAAAAAGTACAGAACGCTGTGCGTCGCTCTGTTTAATGTTAATGTGACCCTGATTATTCATTTTTTCTCGCGATTTTTTTTATTTCTTCTCGACCGAAAAGAAATAAGAACATAATATTCAAAATAGATTTTCCGATCTCTCGTTTCTCCTGGATTTCGTGGGTCTCGTGAATATCCACTTGATCGGCGATTGTGTAATAAGTGGGATTTTCGAATAGCCGTTTGAATCTTCTAGTATTGGCAGAAACTTTCTCTATTGGCAGATTCGTAGGTTCTTCCGGTCCTTATCGTTGTCGTAAAAGCTTTTTATTGCACCTAGCACAATAAGAAGTAATTTTGTAATCCGGAAGATTATATTTCTCATTGTGTGCAGCTTGTTTGCCCATGTTCTTTGGAGGAGCGTCTCGTCTAATTAATTTGGTTGGTTTACTGCAGCGGGAAGAAGATAGTCTCATAGTTTGTTGTTCTAATTGGCTCTTGATAGATGTTGTGGAGGTAATTGATTGATTGGTTTACCTCAAGTGCCCTCGAAATGGGGAGATAGCGTTCTAGCTGAAGAGACGGCAAAGATTTGATAAAAAAATCTTTGCCGTCTCTTCGCCTGGAACCCTATCTCTTCCAAAAGACGGTCAGACGGTGATAATATGACCACAATTGTCGTTTAGATGTCATATATGGTATAAGACACGTTTCTGCTCAGTATGATGTTCTTTGATCATCTTCCTGATAGAGACAGTATTCAAATCAAGTTTAAAATCACTTTGCGTCCTAAGAATTATATTACCCTTTCTAAATCAAATCTCTTCCCGATTCTCGTAAGCCAACACCCAAGCCTACGTCGCTCAATGAGTAATGGTATCAAATTTGAAGTTGAAAACCCCCGCCGCATCTGGTTTTAATCCCATTAAAAAAATGTTTTCGGAATCAGTTCTGAAAACTTATCGGCCCCGTCTAGTGTTTTTGGCTTTCCCGTTCAATCCGTTTTCCCACACACCGGTTATTAGAAGCTAAGGGGCGAAAGAAACACGAGAATGACATAAGACCTGAGGTCTGTTTGCTTTGTTTTCCATAACTCAAAAGGTGGGATTTTACGTAGAGTGATGGTCGCCAACAGACCGTGAGCGAATTGAATAGATCCGAGAAAAAGTGTTCAAATAGGAAACTCGCTGATGAATGCAGTCGGAATTCTGACCGTTTTTTGCTCTCGGAGATTGGGATATTTGGTGGGCGAGCTGCTCGAATATTAGGGATAAGCTTCAAGGATTTGGCTATTCAGAGTTGGGTGTCGTTTGGCGACTTGGCTGTACGGATTTTGGCTGATTTATTCTGTCTTTCGCTGCGTTAATATCTAATAAGGAGCAGAAACGCAGCTAGTTAGTGCGTAAATAACTTGATGAATAGTCGATTCTCTTGTGCTTTCTGCTTTTGGATTTAACGGATATCAATTCTAATCGAATTCTGGGTCACGCTTTCACTCGACCTTGTTTTATCTCATCCTGACGTAAACCCGCATCTTCTTTAATGAAAAATGCATTCGTTGAGGGTGGCTTGGATGAGTTATGAATCAGAGATAAATTGAAATGGTCTTTGGTCTATCCGATCTGTGATTTAGAGGATTAGAGTTTAAGGTGTTAGTCATCCTGTTGTTTGGAATTGCCCTTGGCAATAGTTTCTTCAAAATTAAACGGATGTTTATTCTGAAGAAACGATTGCCAAGGGCATGATCAAGGGTAGAACATGACATAGTGACTAATGTTCCGCATCATTTCGGCCTTCACCTGATTGAAGCAAACGAATTTAAGACCAACTCTGACCAGAACTGAGCTGCCCTCTCGGCAATGTAAATTTATAGCCCTTATCAGCGAGAGGAGAGACCCTCATTAAAATCCGGTTTGTCCCTTCACTCTCCGCGTCCAGATGCACTCGTATCCGGCGGCTCTTAATCCCCCCTTCACAATGTTTTACGCGATTTCTCACTGCTTCCGTTCAATCGAAAAAGCAAAAAATTTGTCATCTTTTTGTTTTTTTCTTCGTTTCGGCCCAGATAATATGGCCAACTGTTTTTGCACCGCTCGAGAGTTGGTTTTTCGGATGATTTGAGTTTGCCTGTGGAAAAAACACGAGGATTCCTCGAATGTTTTGACCTTGAAGTGCTTTGATTGGCAAGAATTGAAGCTTTTTGAGGTTTTAGTACATAGGAAGTTTTGATATTTCAAGCGACACAAATTTGAAGTAAAATACGAATTCCGGCTTAAGTAGTTGAAGTTAGTTTAGGCTCGTTATTCATCGAGTTTGAAAAAAGTTCTTCTGAACCGAGAAAGGAGCAGAAATTGTAAGGCTCTTTGCATCAGAAAGTCAGTGTCATTCACGGATCCGTAATTGCTTATTTAGTTGTTTTTTGCGATCGCCTTGGAATTTGAGATGAAGCGTGGAGGGCGATGGGAGTTTTATGTGCGCTGTCGAACTTTACTATCGAGTTTTAATTGCCAATCTGTCTTATGTAAACGAGAATTCCGTCTGTGGGTCATAAGTTGTTTTTCTTGGATTTTGCACAAGAATCGGCAGTTAAATTACTGATAACTGATGAATCAGACTATCAGGTTGCATCGGTGACGTCTTTTGTTTTTGAAGAATAGCATTCAAGGTTGCTTTTTTTAAACAGCATCCAGATGGGGGTATAACGAAACTTTGAGCTGTTTTTTATCTCTAGCCGAATGTCTCGAGTCTGGAGTGGTTCGTAAAGTCATATGGAGTCTATCATAGTGTCTTGAAGACATGAGGTAACATTTAGCAGGAGTTGGTGCGTTTTTTTGGAAGTTTTCGATGTTACCCATGCCAGGTTTGAAGATAAAATGCGTTTTAAACCGAAAAGATGGGGGTTTGGTTAAAATTGCGAGTAAAATGGCTTTTAAGAGCAGCGGAGAGTGCTATGAAGACCCGTTGAAGTTGCTCTTACAGTATTTGCCGTCAAATTTCCCGATCACAAGCTGCGTTCTTATCTCCGGCGGTTGTTTTCGCCCCCTATTTGAAAGAGAAACCCCAAAAAGTTTTTCCTCCGTTCGAAACAGCCCTTCGGATTGTTTGCTCTGTCTTTTTTATTACTGATTCAGTCTGAGTAAACTGGACTGACACTCGGTTCAAAAATAATACTCTACTCGAGGCTAAAGAATAATTTTTTGTGTGGATTACCTCTTGAATCACGCAATTTGAAGTTGACCAGCGGCTACGCAGGGGTTGTAATGCGTTGTAATCTGTTTTTCTGTTTTTACAGCACTCGTTTATGATTTTTTTACGATCAGGATTAGAAAGGGTAGTGTAATATAATTTTAGTCATGTTGTGAGGGAACGGTGTGTCCGTGTTGAATGAATTTTGGTTGGTAGTGCGGATATCTTATAACCTTTCTACGGAACAAAAAATTTTTCGATACAATGTCTTCCAGGCTTATCTTCGGCATTACTTTAGGTTGCAACTATAATATATTTTTTTGTCCTGTTTTTCCTCGTTCTGCAGCTTGATTAGCCGCTCCGAAGACGGTATTCGAGTCGCCGCGTCATATCAAATGTTTGCTTATGGAATTTACGCCGAAATTTTGCAGGTGAACGACCCGGCGGTTCAGAAAACATTGGGAATTACGAGTTGGTGCTTGCAGGTTCTACTGTGATTTGAATGACCCAGAAATGATCTCCATACTTCTCTCTCGTCTTCTTATCTTGGTTAGCGGGATTATGTACCCGTCTTATCGGTCGTACAAGGCTGTCAGACTGAAGGTAAGATCTTGTAATTGTTTTTCTCAAAATTTAGGTAACAACTTGATGAATTTGGTATCATAAGAAACTAAAACAAGCTCCTGAGCGTTTATTATCTCCGTTTCTTATCTGTTTTTGTAATTAAATGTTTGGGTGAAGTATTTTATATCTTGTTTTATAACGAAATCTCTTCAGGATGCCAAGGAGTACATGAAATGGATGATGTATTGGATCGCCTTTGCCGTCTTTTGTGTCTTCGAATCGTTTGCCGACATTTTCATTTCCTTTTGGTTCCCCTTTTACTACGAATTGAAGATCGCCTTTGTTCTCTGGCTCGTGACCCCATGGACGAAAGGCGCCACAATTTTGTATCGAAAGGTGAGAAAACTTTCACTTTCCTTTTTTGTCTCGTTTTTAGGCGGTATTCCGAATAAAAACAAGGCCAATGAATCAAATGAAACAGCAAAAGTTCAAGGTTTTTTGAAGAAGGTGCCTAAAATAATATAATTTTAGTGGATTCATCCAACGTTGATGAAACACGAAGATGAAATCGACCGTTTCTTGGAGAAGGCCAAAGAAGAGACCTACAACCAGGCCGTGAACGTTGGTCGACGTTCTCTTTTGTACGCCAGAGAGGTTGTTGCGACAGCGGCTTCTCGAAGTCAGGCACATTTGGCCGAGCAAGCGCTGGCCTTGAGTGGAACCCTGGTGTCAACCGAAAATTTGCAACAGAACGAAAATACGAAGCCTAAAAGAAGGACCAGATCAAGATCCAGGAATTCAAGCGAGTCTGCGTTTGATATTGACAGTAGAATGGACCCCATGTTGGACTCGAGAAGTGAACGCGTTCCTGTTCATAGAAGGGTGAGATATTACTCATAATGGATTCTAGGGCATATGTAAAAATTCTAACTTAATTTGCACACTAAATTTTACATTTTTTATATTGCACTTGCCATTATCTCGAAAATTTGTCATGTGTAATATAAAAAGTTTGCCGAAAGGTATAAAATTTATGTGTTTAGTGATCATCAGCTCCCATACGTGTAAACTTTGTATGTTATTCGATTGGAAATCTAGTGGTTTATGTAGAAATGTGATTGTAAGTACAAAAGTGTGTGAGTTTGAGTTCCGACCCCTGTTTTGTTGATTTTAATGTGAGATCTTTGGCTTTGGAGATCTTGAAAGTCTTGTGTTTGAATTTAAAGTCTTTTTTTTGTTTGTGGTGGTGGAATTTTTTGAATTTTTTCGACCTTGCCTAGTATAATATAATTTTTTGAAATTTTTTTTGTTTTTTGGGTGGTTTATGGATTTGAATGTTAATTTAATGGAATGAAAATTCTTTCAGGTCCCCTCCGCCCCCACTCACAGCGATTCCGAAGATGATATGGAGGTGTTGGATTCGCGCGGCGACTCGGAATATCGTCCCAGAGATTCCGCCGACCCCGATTACCACACCCTCCCCCGTCGTAGCAGCCGAACTCGCCGCCAACCCACCTAACCCCAATCCTATTATCCACCTCTAGTACATCTTTTTCTTGACTGTACATATACCAAAACTAATTAGTTTGAATTAAGTAATTTGATGACTAATCTGCAGGTCTCGGGTTTCCAAACGACCAGAGATTTCGTTTCCAATACGCTGCTATCTTGTGGATTGATTTTTTTCACCTCGATTTTTTTTTCTTTTCTCTGTTTTTTTTTTGATATTGTTCTTCTATTTTTGAATATTTAACTCAAATTTTGGATGTTCTAGTGTAAATTTTAGCTATTTTTAATATATTTTTTTGGGATTTTAGCGAATTTAAAGTAGTCTTGATTGATTTCTGAAAGAAAAAAATTTGATTTTCCAAAAAAAAATTATTTTGTTTTAGGTCTGAAAGGTGAATTTTGTGCATTTTTTGCCAGTAGAACATCCAAAATATATGCTATTTTCATTTTACGAGGTTATTCATGCAATTTGTTTGTGAACTTATAATAAAAATATTGGAAAAAATTAAAATTTTTTTATTCTGAACAAAAATCTAGTCCAGTTCAATGTCATGACGCGTATAATAGACCTGCGGAGAGCCTTGAATAAAAGGCTTGGTGATGATTCGTCGGGGAGTCGCGGAATCACATCGATGGTTGATGAAAAGGACCGGGGAGAAGCTGGTCGGATCGGCCATGACCAAAATTTGGAAGAATCCACTGGGCGCCGGCATGATTGGCCTGAAAAAGAGATTTGATTTTTGGATTTTTGAGCGGATTTTAGAAGTTTTAGAGCGTATTTGAGATTCTGCAGGTTGAAATGAGAGGAAAAATTTAGAAATGACTCATTTTTAGCCGTATTTTAGACGGAAAAAATATCAAAAATAAAAAAAATCCTCCCAAAACCTACTTGAACATGATTTTGTTGATAGTATCCACAACCAGGACCGTCATCTCCCGATAATTCCGATTGTTCGCACAGTGCACTCGGCCCTTCAAGAGGATCTGCCTCTTCTCGGCTTCCACCATAAAAGCGGTACAGATGAAAAATAACACAACCGACTTGATCAGCATTTTCGACAACAACAAAATGGGAAAAAATTTGACTTTTGAAGAGGGTTTTTTTTAATTTGAATCGAATTGAGGCTTTGGAATAAAGATTTTTTCAAAAAATTGCAAAATTCAAATTTTTGAAAGATTCGAACGTGTCCATACGAGGTGCAGGGCAGGTGGATACCTAAAGGGAGGTTGTAGGAAGTGCCTACGAGGCGTGGCAAAGTCGTCAGACGGCCGGCGGACGCTCGGCGAAGGCTCGGCGGAGACTCCGGCGGCCTTCTTTTCGAGAGAGCATGTAAAATGATGAGAGTCGGCCAGACGGCAAACGGGTTTCGTCCGTAACTTTTTTGTTGCTGAATGCAAAAAATTGGTTTTTTGTATAAACATTGTCCACCTCACTAATAGTCTACTTTGTATTTTATAGACCCAAAATCGCAAAAAAAATTTCAAAGATTTTGACTTCTTATCAAAAAATCTCGAAAATTTCTGAACATTGCGAACTAAGAATCTCTCATACTTCTCGATTTATTTGTATCTAGACCAACGCCGTAGGATTTTCTCCTTACATGGTATTAAAAATGATTTTTCGAACTAAAAATCCCGTTTATTTCCAAGAACAATTTTTAATTTTACGAGTTTTACAAAACGTATTTCTGGCAGTGAAAAATGGCACAAAAAATTTTAAAAAATGTGGCAGTATTTTATACACACTAGTTACTGGAGGTGCTGGCGTTGCTAAATCGGTCCATGGAGGAGCGGCTGGAGCGGCCATGGCCAAACTCCTTCTTGCGCATCACGGTCTTCAGGACTGGGAACTGAAAAAAGAAACGTTTTTTTCATTTTTATAAAGTTTTAGGAGATGGTGACAAAATTTGGCCACAATTTAATTGGTCAGTGAAAAATTCTAGGCAAATCTTACCTCATCATCCTGCGATGTTCCCGGCTGAATGGTCACGGTATCCGCCTGACTGTGCAGTTGGTTGGGAATGGAGTGAAGAGATGCGGCCAAGGACATGTCTGAAGATGTGAAAGCTTAGTAAAAATTATAAATATCAATTGCTAAAATCTTTAGATTGCGTTTTGCAAGGGCAGCAGAGATATAGATATTCAAATATTGCCGAGAGAGTATACAAAATGCGGAGAGCGGTCAGAGAAAAAACAATTTTGCCATATCTTTGCCAGTCTCGTATGGAAAACATTGATTTTTTTGGGAGACATTACTTTATACCGTACGAATAGTCATCAAAATTTTCATGCCGAAATTTGAACAAAAAAATTAAAAAATTTTTCCAACTTTTGGCCTAAAAATATCGGCTGTTTCTGCAAAGCGCGAGCTAATAGTCTTAAAAAAAAACATTCTTAATTTACTCCAGGCTTCATCAAAATACCAGGGGATTAGCCACCTACCTTTTTCAAACAAATCCCCATCATAAAAATCGGGCTTCATTGGCGTTACACACCTCTCCACCACCAAGGGCTCATAAAACAAAAGAATGTACACCTTGGTCCCAAACATAAGGCCCAATAAGATCAAAGCCATCGAGTTCAGCTCCACAATGTCCAATTCACGATGCAGATTGGTTGGAATAACATGACGCGCGACAATCCACGAGACGAAAAGAGTTAGCGCCACCAGATTCGCAATGAATAACCATTTGGATTCCTTGTAGTTGCGGCGGATTTTGCGGTTTCGAATGTTGATGAAGAGCGCGAAAATGGCGAGGAAGAGGATGTAGATGGAGTTGTAAAGATCGTTGTGATTGGGCAACTCGATATTCCTGCAAAAAATGGGAGAAATTATATTGTTTTAGAGATCTGATGGGAATTTTGAAATTTTGGTTGATTCTGGATTTGTGGGGCTTCTTTTGGCTTCAAATTTTGTTCATAAAATCTACATAGACTAGCGATGATTTACTGAAAATTTCAGGTAATAATTTGCAAGTTGAAATGGAGAACTCAACAATTTTTGCGGTCGAGGGGTGGGTAAAATACCAAAAATTTTAATTTTATTTTTAAAATCTCATACTTCGCATAGACGGCCAATTGAACTCCAATGATGAACAACAGTGTCACCCAGTAGTTCCAAATCCCAATTTGTTGCCGATGCTTTCCGCACAAGTCTTCGGCGTTCCTCAAGCAAATCGCTTTCGTCAAGATGACGCCAAAACAAACGACATGAGCCAAGGAATTGAGGAGAATTCGGAGCTCCAGAAGCTGAAAAGCGCAAATTAAATGAACATAGACCTTGAACAGCCCTATGAAGTTTAAAAACCTCAATCCAGATATGTTTTTCTCACCGAATTTTTGCTGTCGATAATGTACAACAAGGCCGTCAAGTTCAAGATGATAATTCCGGTCAGCGAGCACATTCCCAGCGACTGATTTCCCTTGATCACCCTCGAATAGACCTTGTAGACGATCAGCAACAGGATCAGCACCGTGATCACCATCAGGATTACCGTAATCACGAGGAAAATGTAGTTCAAGGTGGAGTTGTCCCAGTTCGCGAAGAAGTTGACATTATTCGCATGGAACCACTTGATGGAGCCGCTCACTCTTTCCAGAGGCCCTAGGCGACTAGCTGCCACCATGCGTTTGCAAGAGCATGAAGGAGCAGTGCAAAGCGAGGTGTAGATGGTGTCGGAGCGGAGGATGCCGGAGATGTAAAGTTTGTAGTCGTTGATGGGCTTGTAGATGAGGTCGGCGGTGTAATTGCCGATACGACGGTAGCCGAGATTGCCTGGAAAATGATTTAAGAAAGGTTTTAAAAAGGCTAGAGCTTCAAGGCTTCCTAGATCAGTAAAAAACTAAAAAAATTTTCAAAAAAAGATGACTTTAAAACAATTTTTTTCACCTTCAAAAAACTCGTTGTTCAAACTAGCTAATGCACAAACTAAAAGTATATTTTTCAGCCCTTACCATGATGATCCAACGGCATGAATTCGTCGACTTCAAACTCAGCCATTGGCTTCTCCGTATCCAACAATTTCCTCACCATTTCCCTCGACTTCTCCATGAATTCCGGACAGTATTCTGTCGCACTGTTCCCGCAAACCCTGCGGAAAGCCTCATTCAACGCCAACACAAACCTCTCCAGGCCTCGAATCAGATAACCGGCTTCGATCATCCGACCCAATTCGACAATGTTTGTGAGCTCATCCCCAGTGCACATCCTTCCTTCGTATTGATCGCGGTTATTCAGGTTCAACGCGCAATGCCAACGTTTCTCGACGTAGTCCCAGAACCAGGGCTCGGCTAGGTGGAGAGGGGTCACCTGAAAGATTTAGTTGAGGCTCCGGAAAGAAATCTGTGTATTATATCTTATTATATGTGTAATAAACGGGAGGTTCTAGAAGTAAAGACAGTGCTCAAAGTTTAGATTTTGATGCAATTTTACATAGATTTGGATTAACTTCTTTTGTAAGTATAATAACATATGGGAGATTTCTAGATTGTGCCTTGGCGCACCGAGACTTTTAGGGCGGTAAAAAATTGGCATAAAATCGATACTTTTTTCAAACTGTAGCATGAACAACATCAACAGTCCAGCTCCATTTCAACAACAGGGAGCGATACTTCCGCACATCGTTCCAAAGTTTTTTGTGAGCAAAATCCGGTGTCAAAAAACAATTTTTTTGCAATGATTTTTTTACAGCTAGAGATGCCTCACAATCAGACATGGCGTAATAAAGTGCGGAAAAATATCAAAGCGATAAAACACATGTCGCTCTCTGAGATTATCCAAATTTTAAGGATTTTAACGGCTTACAAAGGCCGGAAAAAATTATTTTTTTCCCTGAACTTGGCAAAAGTCGTTTTCTATAGGAGTGTTTTTGCTCTCCGCATTTCGAGTACTCTCTCGGTGTAAAAACTTGATTGAATATTTTGGCTGTCCTTACAAAGGGCAACCTAAATTTCAGGCGCTAAAATTTTCTGGATTTGAATCTATAGCCTCTAAACAATACCTATGCAAAATTTAAAGACACTCTGAGTCTCTCAAGCAATTCGTATTTTATGACAAAACTCATGCAAAAATTGCAGTTAGTTTTTCTTCTTACCTGCTTCAAATACTCCACAAAGTCCTTTGGCAGGATGTCCTTTGGTCTGATCGCTACTGTCCCAGTATACTGAACAGCACTAACCGGATCGGCCAAGTAGAAGTCTCCCGCCTCTCCCACCATGATATCCACGTTATTCACGTCGTAGCTGAACCTCAGCCTCGCTGACACATACTCCGCCGCATCTAGAGCCGTCGTAAAGAACACGGTGACATTCGTATTTCCCCTTAAATTCGAGGCTGTCCGATTGTGTGCCGCAATGTATGTAACACTTCCAATGCACAGACCAAATTCCTCAGCAATCGCGGCAAATTTCTCGAACGTTTTTCGCTGCTTTGCATGGCCGCTGCTGACAACAACAGAGATGTATTCCCAATGTTGAGCGCGCAGAAACTCGGCCACAGCTCGGGCCTGCAGGGTCAGCGAGGGAAGAAGATTCAAAATCCCGTCGCTCTCCTGCTTCTCCGAGCTCATGCTGATCGCCGGGATTCGCAGCCCTCGAAGCAGCGCGTTGTGCTCGGATTGCGCGATTTCGTCGCCCAGCGCCGAAATTTGACCCAAAATTGTACCCGTTGGAATGGTCACATTGTAGTCGTTGACGGCCAAGCGTTGACATTGAGTCTCGGAATCGACGGTGAAACCGCGAACTCTGGAAGGGAAACTTTGAGAATTGAGGGAGAGGAATTTAATGCTTTATAAGGCGTATATATACTTGGATTGTTGACCTACAATTTTAGGAGAAAGAATTCAGATTTTTAGCCCAAAAAATTTATTTTTCTTGCGTCCAGTGAGGCACCTGATCCATTGGCAAAAAACGTATAATTTTGCACCCGGGAGGTATCAAAAATGTGGCAAAATACCTCCCACCACAATAAAAAAAAACTCCGTTTTGCTGCATTTTTGATACTTTCCTAATCCAAAATGGTACGTTTTTTGCCAATGGATCAGGTCCGCCATTGTAGAATGCAATTAGATCCCGCGAAGAAAAACTTTTTTCTCTCTCACCGACTCTCCTCCCTTTCCGTACTCTCTCAAAAAGATTGCTTAATATCCCATCTGCCTCTGCAAAGTGTGAGCTAAAATTCTCAGGGAATGGTGTGTAGTCTACTCCAAGAAATTATGTAAAAATTCAAAGGTATCCGAAAAGTCATAATAGGAAAATTTTTACTGTGAAAAAATCCGAAAAAAACACAGAAAATGTTTTCGATAGTAAAATTTTTCACTTTATTTTTCTCGGACTATCTCAAATTACTAATTTATGCAAGAGAACAAACCAAAATGTAAAATAAAATGATATTATACGTATTTTACCCCCAAACCTACTTGTACGCATCCGAGCAACTATCCACCACCAACGCCCCAAAATCTCTCATCGGCTTCAACGCCAACGCCGGATATTTGACGTCCATGGTGTTCAAGGTATACGTGTAAGCCAACGCCAAGACCACCGAATCCTGTCGTATCTCCTCGCAGTTCTCTCCATGCAAATTGAAGACTCCGCTCAAATAAAATGGAAGCACTTTCTGGCCATTGATGAAGGTTGTTCGGGGATCCATTTCAACCGGGCGTCCGCATTGGCCGCAGTACGGGAATTGAGGGAGACAGACGGAGCGGGGGAGACGAAGGGAGGCAACTGTGTTGTGTTGATTCACCTTGGGCTGAGCGCCGATTTGGAAGGTGAACAGCTGAAATTAATGGTAAAATACGGCATCTAATAGTGCGTTATCTTTAATCTCCCTCAATTGCCGATAAAAACGCATAAAAATGCATAAAATGACAAAAAATGAAAAAGTACCAAAAAACCTCAGAAGGTATCAAAAAACCTCAAAAAGTATCAAAAGTGATCCAACCTCCAAAAGACTCCAAAAAGCAATATTAAAACAAAAAAATCATTTTTGGACTTACATCTTCTCCACCTTCAACTTGCACGACCAACTTCAGCCCAATGCTTTGAACAATATGCCCGTTTTTCACAAAAAATCCCATTTCTTCGCCAGCCAATTCCAATGGTCCTCGTTCCTCCTTGACGAACCTCACGGATGTTAGGCGCTCCAAAACTCCGAAGGAACAGGCCTCTGTGTTTTCGGCACTGAAATATAAGGATTTTAAATTGGAGTGTCCCGTGCAGCATAAACTGAGGTAAAAATTATAAACAGTCCTTGAAATTGCATAGCTCAAAGGTCGAAAAATATCTAAAATACGCCATAAGAGATGAATTATAGCAGCTTAAGCTCAAGATTAAATTTCAAACTTTCAGATAACGCGATTTTTTCGAATCTTGGCATTCTGTTGCAAGGGTTTTTAAAGGGTAAAATACGATATCGTCGCATAAAAAATACGCATATTTGTACAAAACTGCACTCTTTTATCAACAAAAAAATTTTTTTTTGAAAATTTAAACTTCCCGCCATTTTTAATTTTTTTTGGCATTCTGTTGCAAGCGATCGAAAATGTCGCAAAAGTTTAGGAAACGTTTAGAAAATTTTAAAATACGTTGTGGGTATAATGCATCTTGTTTAGGAGTTTTTTTCCTAACTATTACTGCTTTTTTATATTACTCATGACCAAGGTGGAGCATAACACTAAAGACTTCAAAAAATCATTTTTGTTTGTAAAATACGACCAAGGCTACTACCTTGTATAAAATTAAATGTTTACCATTTTGCTTTCAATTTCTCATCGCTCTCAATGAATCTTCCAGCCACCGAGAAGGCATACGCCAATCTAACGACAGCATCCACTTGTGGGCCTTGATCAAATCTCGTGCCCAAGATCTCGGTCGTGACCTCAGGGCAATCCTTCTTTTCTGCCGAGCAGTTGAGAAGCTGGTGGATGTAGGAAGCAGCCAGAGCATAGGATTCGTGGTTGTTGACGAGAAGACGCAGAAAGTAATCGCGGAAATGAGGGATCTCGGTTCGGGCTTGACGAATTATGATCTCCTGAATACGGTATATAAGATGATGACTTAAATGTAAAAAATAAGATTTAAAATTTTCAAAATCTCACCTTAGCATCCTTCACAACGAACGGGAATGTTCTGCTGTGGTCGTCCAACGCCAGCGTGATAATTGTTTTCGGCTTGGCATTCAAATATTGCAATTTTGGAGAGTCCATCTTCTGACAAGGCAAGTACAGCATAATCTTGGCGTCGGTCGCGTTCATAACCTCGTTGAAGAACAAATGCTCTGTGTGGATGATTTCGCTGATGTGGATTTGATTTTGCGCCAGAAGTCGGCTGATTTCCTTGACCCGGTCATCTTGAACTTGGCAGGTGACAAAGACCAAAAGATCCGATTCCAGCTGGTCCATGAGCTCGGTGAGGGCCTGGAAAAAAGCGGTGATGTTTACAGAAGCTTAGCGTATATAAAGATCAACATTTTTTAAGACATCAAAAACCAAGAAATCAATAAGATAATGGAATTTTTTTGGTAAAAAAACTGCAAAGAATTGAGTTTTTATGTGAGTTTTTGAAAACCAAAATTTTGCATTCAGTCTGAGATGCCGTAAGCAATATATGTATCAAAAAATATCGCTTTCCACAAAGAGGTAACAAAGATATCCCTAAACGAACCTTTCTTTCTCACCTACTCTCCTCAATTTTCCCAATCTCTCACCGAAGACAGTTTTTTGCGACGAAAAATTAGTGACCTATTACAAGGACACAGTAAATTTTTGTAACAAAAAACCAAATCTTTCTGCAGGAAATTCACAATGATATCAATCAAAAAAGTTTTTTCTCTGACCGGCCTCCTCATTTCCCATGATATTTTGTCAGCAAAGATTGTTGAATATCTCAGCCCTCCATAGAAACCGCGAGCTAAAATTTTCAGGAACTGAAATATGGTCTATACAGATTACTAGGGCCAAATTTGAAAAGCCACTCTTGCTATTCAAATTCACTACTTTCAATTTGATTTTTAGTTTTTTCTTAAAAACTTGAGAGGAATTTGAACTATTTTCTTTCAAAAATTTCCACAGCGTTTCAAGAAAATCTCGCTCTCCTCACAAACCCACCATAACATAGTCCTCGAGCATTGGTGACGTCACAATTGTCGCGATTTCACTTCCTTTCACAGCTTCAGCCGACTCCACCGAAAACGCTCCGGCCAGTAATTTGGATGACTCGAGCACACGGCTAGTGCTCACAGCCAATTCCCGTTCCTTGGGCAGCACCACTCCCAACATTTTCCCGGGATTCTTTGTCTTCACACACTCGTCCGGATCATAATAATCGACCGAGTCGAGGAAGCGCAGGGTCTGAAGGAGCGATTCTTTCGTTCGACGACAACTGTCACCGACATAGAGACCTGAAAGAGAAGGATTTAGAAACCAGACTATTTTGCTTATTATGCCGGATACATGCTTTAAAAAACACAATTATAGACCACGTATTTTACAAATTAAATCTGTCTAAGAGATAACATGGTCAGCGACTGAGAATACCAAGAATATCCTTGTAGAAATTCTTCTCTGTATGGTAGAAATAAGGCATACGTTTTTCATACCGTGACCCACCAAAAATTTCCGAATTTTCCCCATTTTCAAGACTAAAAACCTCCGTTGTTTTTACAAAAAGCGAATTAGCCATCTCGCAAACGCCTTAAAAATTTTTGTTCTACAGTGACGGACCTGGACCAGTGGCAAAAAAAGTACCATTTTGCATCCGGGAAGTATTAAAAAATGCAGCAAAATGCCTCCCTCTCCAACTAAAAAACTCAGTTTTGAAGAGCGCGCTTTTGAACTCGGAGTTTTTTCACTTGGAGAGGGAGGTATTGTACATGTATTTTGCCACATTTTTGATACTTCCCCGATGCAAAATGGTACGTTTTTGCCACTGGATCTGGTCCGCTACTGTAAATTTGAACTCGGTTTTATCCTATTCCGTTTGACATACCTTGAGTAAGATCGTTCAAAAAAACAAATTTTTTAATGTCATTAAAACTTTTGGGTCGAATTTGTAAAAATTTCCCAGGCAACCTTAAAATTTGAGCTTACCAATTTTCGACCCAGCACTCTGTTGCATCCGATTCCAGTGCGCGAAAACCCATTGAAACGCGACAATATCTTGGACGGAGTCCGGGATCAGGGTGGAGCAGTCAGCTTCGTGCAAGGCAAAGGAGCCTCCGACAAAGTTCTGAAAAAAATATTTATATAAAAGAGATCTTAAAGATTACGTATTTTACCAAAAAGCTGGACTATTTTTTTTATTTTTTTTTGCGATTCTTACGGAAATTTCTAACCGCGTTATGCAGAAATTGACGATTCTTTAGAAGCAAAAAATTTGGATTTTTTTGATTTTAAATTGCACATTAGAATTATAGCTCAAGGACTATAAAAAGCGTATTTTACCTTCATTTTCAAAATACACCAAAAATATTTTAAAAAAACTTACAGTACTGTTCGCCGGCACAACCTTGAATGCATCGAAGACGCCGCATTTCCCGGGGCTCTTTGATTTCTGCCGATTCAACGGATTCTCATGATTTTCCGCGCTGTTTACAAACACTACGAATGCAGCAAACCAGCAAAGTAGAAAGGCATGGGATAAAGATTTCGGTTTCTCCCAGGAAATACTCATTTATTCACGCATCTGAAACAAAAATTGTAAAATACGGAAAAGATTTGTACAACGATATAAAAATCAAGCAAGACATTTTAAGAAAATTGCAATTGTAATTGAAACAGATATCACGAAGGGACATTTTATACGATCGAAATTTTTTTGAAATAAGTTTTGATTGTATAAGATGTCTTCAAAGACCATTTAAAAATATTTTAATGGAAAACTCTTTAAACTGTTAAACGAAATCATATATATAGTTAAAATTTCGATCAAGGTGACATTTTATACGAAAAAAATCAAAACAAAATTTACAGCGTATAAAATGTCACCTAAAGCAATAAACGCAAACAGAAGGTTCAGAAAACGTCGAGGAATAAGGTAAATTATTGACGCAGCAAAATTTTTTGATAAGGGGACATTTTATACGAAAAAATATAAATTTTTTTTTGCGTATAAAATGTCGCCTGATGGTATGACGTTGGTAAAATACGAAGAATATCATGAATGGCTTAAAAATAAACGTCATGACCAAACTGCGCGGACTATATTTGCGTTTTCTCATATAACCAAGAAAATTTTTTTTGCGTATAAAATGTCCCCTTAAGAAAAAGTTGTAAAAACCAAAATAAAGGGAAATTTAACAACATTTCAGTTTATGGATTTCTTAAAATATGACAAATATTCCCAAAAAAATGAGTGAAATTTCCCACGAGTTCCAAAAAATTAGTCGCCAATAAATAAATTGTGGAATGAAAATCCCATTATGCGCGCTAAAAAACACACGGAGAACCCGTTTAACTCCGCTCCGAAGTTTTTTTTTGGAAAATCCCCTCAGAACATACGCAGCGCGCGGAAATTAATGAGCTCAATAATTAACAGTGATAGGTCCCTTTCTGGAATCGCGATGCTAAATATTTTTGGTCAACCGCGATTCAGCAAGGATTTTGAGGGGATATGCGGGGAGAAAGAAATTTTTTTGGATGTATTAGTTGATAAGAAACATTCAAAAAAAATTTTTTTTAAATATTTAGAATTGAAAAATTTTAGAACAAGCATAAAAATAAGAAACTTCAAAAAGTATCAAAAGTGATCCTTGAGAACTTTTGAAGCTTTTGAAGCAATTTTAACACTTTTTTAATATCCCAAACCGCAAAAAATGATGTAAAGACAATAATAAGGTAAAATATAAAAAATCCTCAAAAAACCTCAAAAAGTATCAAAAGTGATCCTAGAGAACTTTTGATGCTTTTTAAGCCATTTTAACGTTTTTTGAACATCAAAACTAGCAAAAAATAATTTAGAAACAAGAAAAAAATAACAAATAAAAAATCCTAAAAAAACTTCAAAAGGTATCAAAACTGATCCGTAAGAACTTTTGATGTTCTTTAAGCTCTTTTAACATTTTTTGGAATACCCAAACTAGCAAAAAAAAGATTGAGAAGCAAGAAAAAAACAACAAATAAAAAATCCTCAAAAAACCTCAAAAAGTATCAAAAGTGATCCTTGAGAATTTTTGAGGCATTTCTAAAATCAGCGACAAAAATTGACCAATTCCACAAAAAAAAGATAATTTCCATAAATAAAAGCAGTGCAAACAGCTCAAAAATTCTGAAAACGCTCAAAATTTTGATCAAACTTTTGCAAAAGTAATCACTAATCCAATTTTGCAAATTTTTCATTTTCTACCCAAAGCTGACAAGACTACAACATTTTGCTACCTTTTACAATAAAATCACCAAAGACTGGTCAAAAGGCCGCCTGCAAACACTCCACTCCATCCCACCCGCTGGAACTGATAATAAAAAAGGGTTAAAGGTTTCAAAGTCGCAAGCGAATTCAAATAAAACTGGTGTATTTCCCGTCAAGCGCGAAAAATATTTATCACGGAAAGTTAATGGCTTTGTGAAGTCGAAGACAAAAAGCGTTGTCAACCGCCGGGGTCATGACATCGCCGATATGGATAACATAATGGGATATAACATGAGGGGTATGATGATGAAGCGAATATTGCAATTTTCAAGACAGATGAGGGAATTTTGGGAAATAACTTACGATTTATAATGGGGATAAATTGAGAATACAACACCTCAAAGCACATACTAGGTTTTTACTTTGCTGTTTACAGGATAATTGGGATTTTATATCAAAAAAACATAAAAAAATCGCGTCCCGACTTTTCAGGTTGATGAAAGTTCGGCTCAACACAAACTCAATTGATACGAGGAGTAGGGCAGGTGGATACCCAAAAAAAAAGACTGTAGAAAGGCCTACAAGGCCTAGTAAAACCGTTGGATAGCCGGCGGACGCTCGGCGAAGGCTCGGCGGAGACTTGGCAAAGACTTGCAATGTGTCCACCTTTTCTAATTTTGGCTACGACTAATGTTAATTTTCTTCACTCTGAGTTATTGTAACAAATGAAAGACCAAAGTTTGCAGCAAAAATGAAGATCCGTAACATTTATTTAGATACATATTATTGATGTGAGTACATGTCAAACACCTCAAAATAGGTGGTAAGCTATCGCAGAACCCGATCAATCTTATTATCTCTATTAACTAAGCCTTCGAACAACGACGGACCGACACAATTTATACATATGTAGTATCATCTACCTGGACTGTAGCTGACCCGAAAAATAAAGTCTTAGCGCCAAAAAAATATTTTTTTATATGAAAGTCTCATCGTCAGGGTGAAAGTGGCATCCATTTCCTGCTGCTCAACAAACTGTATGAACAGCAAATTATTTCATTTCCCGGAAAATTCAAGAAGACATCGCCTGAAGATGTTTCCCTACCCATATCTCCTCATTCGTCAGGCCGCTCCAGTTGTAAAAAGATCTTTAAATATCTTGGCAACCTTTGCAGCGCCAAACACAGAAATTTCATGCATTGCAGTACTGTCCTATATTGATTGTATAAACATATTTTTAAGCTTCTCAAAAGGTTACCTTTAGAGTACTGAATCGATATTTTTCAACATCAAATCTCGCCTTCAAAAAAGTTTTTTTATAGATTTATACTTTATTAATAACACAGTTTCCTAAAGGTAACAAAATCTGCATCCCACCCTCACCCCAAAACTCCTTCTACCGTAGCCGCAGGCGTCAAAATATTTTGTGGTTGAATAAATTGTATATTATCCGTCAGTCCGCAAGAAGTGACCGTTGGAGGTCCGTCCGCGCATTTTTTTTGTGTGTCATCGAGCGGATAACGACGTAATAAGGCGATTTTTTTGACACATTTTGCGGTAATTGCCCCGTGGAATGGAAGGAAAACAGGAAAAGAGACAATAATGATTAAGGGTAAATACGGTGTGCAATTAATGACATATCAGAAGGAGGGGGCGGAAATCGGGGATACAAATGGGTGAACAACTTGCCGACATGTTTGAAATGACTAGAAATGGGTTGAAACTTAATTTGAAAAAAGCTCGCAAAAAGTATCAAAAGGTATCCAAAAGAATCAAAAAGTATCAAAAGCACTCAAAAACTCTTAAAAATGGTTAGAATGGCAAATAATGGCAAAACAACAAAAAATAAAAATGAAAGTCTTCAAAAGCGATCCAAAAGTATCCAAAATCCTCAAAAATTCCCCAAATTCTCGAACCGTAAAGTCGGTTCCGTCAACAGCAAAAGCATACGTTAACAGCCATGAAAATGGTGTTCCGTAATCCCTTTAGCGATGCACAAATTCTCCCTTTTCTTCAGCCAATCTTCGTTGCAAAAAACTCGTTTGTAACGGAGCGAAAAAAACTCAAATTCCCAATTCGCTTTTTTCTTCGTTTGCTTCAAAGTAAATCATATTGTAATCAAAAGAAGAGGGGCTCAAAGAGAATATAAAATATACGATCAAACCCAAATGCCCGTTGTTTTTTGATTTTTTGCAATAAATGCGTGAAAAATGGGGAAAAGTTTTTTGGAGTCTTGATGCGATTGGGTGGGTAGGGAGAAATGTAGGGGTGTAAAAGTGAAAGTGGACGGAAAAAATATCAAATCTTTGGCTCGCGGTTTGCATAAACAATCAAGATTTCTACTGTGAGGTTCAGTGGCAAAAACGGATCTTTTTGCATCCGGGAAGTATCAAAAATGTGGCAAAATGCCTTCCTCTCCAACTAAAAAAAACTTTGTTTTGAACTGCTCTCACAAAAAGAGTGGGCGCGCTTTGGAGAGGGAGGTATTTTGCGGCATTTTTGATACTTCCCGGATGCAAAATGTTACCTTTTTTTCCATTATATCAGGTCCCCCACTGCATGATAAAATAAAAATTTTAATCTGAAAATTATTTTCATGGCCGCTCTCCGCATATCGCCTACTCTTTCGTTGGCAAAAATCATCAAATATTTTATCTGCCCCTAAAACGAAACATAAAATTTTCAGCAACAAATCCATGCGTTGGATGGATCACACATGCCAGATTTATAGCCAGAAATTTAATAAATTGCCGTTACAAATATAAGAACCGTAACATATACAGATAGAATATATATGTTTGCTTTTATGCATAGGTTAAAGGGCACTCTCAAGAACAACACAAGTCCTCGGCTAATCTGTTTGACCGGATTTCCCAAAAAAAGGAGCTGTGGCGTTAAAGCGTTCCCCCTTTTGGAGCGGTGCAAAAAACGAGAAATCGGCATTCGAAAAAAAGGGCAAATTCAAATAACGCAAAACGTGTTTTCGGAATAAGGCGACAAGCAATAGCGTTTTGAGCGACACCTCGGACCTGTCTTCATGGGAAATTATTTATGGTAGAAAGTGTTGTAACTGATGACTCGTGTACCTACGGTTTGTAAAATACGTCGTGTTGATATAACGCTTTGTTTAATCCCTGGAAAATTGATAACATTTGATCTTTGCCGGTAAAAATGGTCAGAGATTTTGAAGAAAGCGGTTTTTAGCCATAGCTTTGCGAATGTCGCATTCTACCGAACATCGTCTTGTTCGGTAAAAATAAGGGCCAATCTTTTCATGCCAAAGGTCGCGATTATTGATAAAACATCTTTAGGCCATATCTTTGTCA